AGCGCTCCTCTCTCCATCCAGGGCCAAGGGTAAGGCACATGAAGACCCAAGTGTCACTCATGACTGACCACATTGTCCGTGAGCTGTCCACCAGCCGCCCCCTGCATGCCCCACACTGCAGATTGGGCCCGCAGCCCAGCATTTACACTGACCGGGAATCGAACCATGACCTCTTTTTTCATAGGTCAATGCTCAAACACTGAGCCATACCAGCAGGGCAGTTTAGCCCTTCCTGAGGTTAACTAACGGGTACCAGCTAGCCGGCATGGCAAAGCTTTGGTTGCTTCTGGAACATGTAATTTCTGTAGTCTCTGGGATCTAGAAAATGAATCTATGGTAATTAGTTATTTTAGGGAGATTAAAGGATATAAACAAGGTTAAGAAAATAACAATCAGTTGTCACAAGCAGATGAAAACTGTGACTACTTGTTATATGTATTTCCAGGTTGCTTTCTGTACATATAACATGAATTGTGTGTATACATATGTTCAGGACACCTCAGGCTGCTCTGGCCCAGAACTATCTGGTTGGTGTGGCTGGGATATATAGCAGAAATCCAGTCTTATAAAATAGCAAAACACCATATTTGCCTAGAACAAAGGTTATAAGGATATACCAAATGCTGTGATTAACTGTGAATATTATGTTTTGTGTATTTTCCTGCGTGAGATGTGGCTAATGCAACCGAGGAACTGGATTTTTTTTTTTAAATATATTTTTATTGATTTTTCACAGAGAGGAAGAGAGAGGGATAGAGAGCTAGAAACGTCGATGAGAGAGAATCATCGACCAGCTGCCTCTTGCACACCCCCTACTGGGGATGCGCCTGCAACCAAGGTACATGCCCTTGACCGGAATCGAACCCGGGACCTTTCAGTTCCTCAGTGAGCATATGTTCTTTAGAGAAAGTAGAATTGGCTCAGCCTGGGCAGCACAGTCTGCCATCCATTCATTAGGCTGTGTGACAGCTTCTAAAGGGAGCTCCAAAGCTAACTGGAATCAATCTCCTTCAAGTGCACGCGGCAGCCGTAACGTGTACCTGTTAGAGTGACTCCCTCGTGTGAGTGAGTGACGTCTGCTGTCTTGCTCACTGAGACACTGTGCTCTCTCAAATCTTGCATGGACCGTTACAAACTGTGCTGTTTGAGGTTCTCAGTGAGAATGGCGCGTCCTGCTCGTGCCTGGAGGATCTCAGTCACTTTGACACAGAGAAGCAGCCTCATTCATCACCCATAAGCCGCGCTGCAGATAAGGGGTTTCTGGGCTCGGCATTCCAGGTCCTATCTGAACTGCAGTTTCCAAGTCAGTAGGACCCTGGATCCAGCTGGAAGTGGATCCCCTGCTATCCCCTGCTGCTTCACTCAATTCCCACCCACACCCCCTCCTTTCCAGAACCCCGCAGTAACTCCACAGATGCCCCTGGTTCCTCCTGCCCAGTGCAGTGGGTCAATGAACCTGATTTTGTCGGACTACAGGGACCCTGGTGGTCTTAGATCGATTAGCTGAGACACTCCTATAGTCAGGAAAAAAGTAAGGCCACTTACAAAGGTTTTATGTAAGTTTAACAAGCACATACACACCATCCACCTGAACAGTGTGCATCTAAAGAGTCAATAGCAGGTTAAGGAATGATAGTTACAGTTAACTTTTATTGGACTCTTACTGTGGGGCAGGCACTATTCTAACTGTTTTAAAGCTGTTATTTCATTTCCTCCTCATAGCAACCCTATCAGGAAAAAACTGTCACTCCCCTTTATACAGGTGAGGACTCTGGAGTTTTAGTGAGCTTAAATAATTTTCCCAGGATAACCCAGTATGTATTGGGAGCAGGATTAGAACACAGGCCATTTGGTACCAGAACTCATATTCTTAACTACTCTGAGACACTTCCTGAGTTGGGATACAGCTTCAGCTTAGCTGTATTTCTTCTCAACCACATTAACTAAAGTTCCTCTAATGAAAATATTATCTCTGGACTAGTACAAAGTAGTCTGTGGCCACTTGAAAACATTGATGTTTTTAATTTTTTCCTTAAACATATATATGTATGTTATTCTAATTTACAATATGTCCTTACTAATTTTAATATAAAAAGTATTTTAAACCATTTACCATACTGTACACCTGAGACTAGGATTTTATCCAGCCTTTGATGTTGGTAGGACATTCCAGTGTGTGTCCAAGATGGCTCTAAAGTAATATATTAAAAAAAAAATATGTATAAGGTGTGCCTAATGAAATAAGGAGACTGTTTTTGTTTTTAATTTGGCTTGAAACCAGTTCTAGTAATTCCAGAACTGTCCTGAACAGTTGACAGTAATTTAAACAGCTTTGTTGAGAATGAGAAAGTCACTCGTTTCCTATTTTGCCCTTTGGTATCAAGTGAAAGTGAATTCTACAAATTCATTAACCATGTTCAAACGCCTACTGTGCTCAAAGCACTGTGAGGAGGGTCTGGTGTGTGTAAAGATGAATTGGTTGTGGATCCTTGAATCCTTCACCTGCCAGCAAGATGCTAATAGTCCAGCATAGAGATCCACGTGGGTATAAATAGTTAAATATGAAGCAAGATAATAAGGCCAGAAGTAGAGAGTGAAGAGCTAAAGAAGTGGGTAGGTGCAAATATTGCACCCCATAGAAGACAGGAATCTAAGAAGCTTCGGAGAAGAATGGCCATGGACTGAGTGTTTAAGGTCAAATAAGATTTCAACAGCTAAGGAGAGGGTTATTCCGGGATAATTACCGCACCGGATTATGAGGGTTAAATGAGATCATGTAAATGAAAGTATCTAAACAGGTACCTGCTGCCTAACAAGAAGGATCTGTAAATGTTAGCTGGTGTTACCTAATAATGTTATGGATTCATTTTTAAAAATTAATTCTTTCCTCAAATGGTGTATTATTATTTTTCAGTATCATTGATGACTCATTTGTCCCAGAGCACAAATCACTAAGAATATCAAAAGAACAGATTGTTCAGAACACTGTATGTACCTGTTAAGTGTTACAGATGCTAACCCCTTATTAATTTAGCTCATTGTTTTAGTCAGTTTAGACTGCAATAGCAAAAATACCATAGAGTGAGTGGCTTCAGGAAGGAGCATTTGTTTCTACAGTCCTGGAAGCTGGGAAGTCTAAACTCAAAGGGCCGGCAGATTGGAGTCTGGGGAAGCCTGCTTTCTGGTTCATAGATGGTCTTCTCACTCTAGTCCCACTCGGTGGGAAGTGAGCTCTCTGGGGTCTCATTTATGCAGACACCACCCTCATGACCTAATTATCTCCCAGAGGTTCCAGCTCCAAATAGCATTTCAATGGAGATTAGGATTCAGCACATGAATTTTGGGGGAACACAAACATTGAGTCCAGAGCACTCACTGCTATTGACCGAGTGCTTACCACATGTGTAGCTCCAGTCTTGATCCTGTAGGAGAAGACAAGACACAATTCGCCTTCAGAGATTCGTGATAAAGTTGGAGAGAAAAAAGGTAGCATATCTTTATTACACACAAAGCCACAACTTTGTCTTAGGCTCAGATGGATTACCATTTTTTTAAAGAAGTATTAGGTGCCAAAGTGAAAAGCACTGGGCATGCCCATTTTCTTCATTCACAGCACTGTTTGTGAAAATGGGACTCTTTAAGTGGGCAATATAAAATAATGCCTAAACAGGTGCTATTCTAGAGCAGAGGTAGTTAGGACTTCAGAGAAGAGAAATACTCATGTGAACTAGGGGGTTAGGGAACGTTTGAGAGAAGAAGTACTATGGGTAGGATCTGGATCGGTGGGCAAGTAGGGGGATGGTTTCCAGAAGGAAACAGCATGAGCAAAAGCCTGGAAAGTGATCTAGTTTGCCCTAACCGATTTGGCTCAGTGGATAGAGTGTCGGCCTGCTCTCAAGGGTCCCAGGTTTGATTCCGATCAAGGGCATGTACCTTGGTTGTGGGCATCTCCCCAGTGGGGTGTGTGCAGAAGGCAGCTGATCGATGTTTCTTTCGTTTCTGACTCTATCCCTCTCCCTTCCTCTCTCTAAAAAAAAAATCAATAAAATATATTTTAAAAAATAAAAAGAAAGTGATCTGGTTGGAGGAGGACTGCCTGAAACTGTCCTGCTGAAGCCCCGGTGTGTAGCGAGGAGAAGAGGTGGGGTTGGGTAAGAGGGCCATTGTCTAGCACAGAGGGAATGATAGTCCCCAAAGAATAGCCCTGGGACCAGAGTTCAGAAAGCCCACCTGAGTGTGCTCAACATAGCCACAGCTCTAGGGTGTACTCAGCACTTAAAAGTAAACGTGTCTTTTTTCTAAGAAAAGGTGTTCTTAGTCACACATACACATACCTGGATTGCATTGTCAGCTTTGCGCGTTAGAATTACCTGGGAGCGGAATCAGTGTTGACACGTGTTCCCACTGCAGGTGCTCCCTTCTGTTGGTCTGACGTTCTCTCCCAGTGAGAAGCAGGGAGGGCAGGGGACAGCTGCGAGTGACGCTAGCGGGGCAGCGTGGTCCACTAGAACCTGCTGCAGTGATGGAAATGTCCATAGACTGTCCATTATACAAACCCTGAATGCCTGTGGGGCACTTGAGATGTGGCTAATGCAACCGAGGAACTGGATTTTTTATTTAATTAACCTCAATAGCCACCTAGAATAAGATAATTCTTCACCTTAGCTCACGCCTCCTTACAGGACAGTGCGGGTTCAGGAGGAAGAATTCACAGGCTCTGCCACCAATGCGGGAGGTGCCGAGTAGAATCCAAATTTCTCTCTGGATGGGGGCAGCAAGGTCATCATTCCCACGCCGGGCTCTCGGACACCGCCAGCTCGTGGCCTTGCACCCGGTCTGGTGTAGGCGCTCAGTCCCCGTCGGAGGGTTTTCATGATGCATGGGCAGGATTCACACTGTGTCATGTGTGATTAGTACAGACACAGCTTACGAGTAATCCCCAAGAATGGTATTTTCTTCCTATTCAACCTTTTCTTTTCTCTGTCTCTCTTTTAAACCAGGTATCAAATTGTAGTGGAAATAATCCAGGCGACGACCATCAGCAGCTTTCCGCAGCTGAAGAGGCAGAAGGGTAAGCACCGGTCTGTTTTCCCCAGTCCCGCGGCTGGAGGCCTGTCCCCGGCCTGCACTCTCCTCTCAGGGCTTCGCCACGTCCCAGCATCCCTCCGGCTGACATTGAAATAGCTCAGCGTCTTACAGTAATAGTGTAGCAGCACTAGCGAAAGTAAATGCGATTTAATCCTAACAGAAACCGTTGTGTTCCTAAGTTCCTTTATAACATTTATTCATCTGTAGTCATAATTCTTAAAAGATTAAATTTATGGGGTAGATCGTGATTTTGTTCTGTTCTTAAAGTCAACATGACTTCATCCTTTTTGTCACACAGTAAATTTAATCTTAATGTTTATTCATATTTCTTCTGTCTTGAAACATAATCTTGCTCATTTAAATGACTCCAGTGAGTTGCTGCTTCATAATTTACTTAGGCTTCAGTTAAGCAGTTGTTTTGTGAATACCTGCTGTCCCCCTTCTACTCTTGAAGATTTTTTTAAAGAAATGGGTTTTACGCTGTTTTTGTTTTCCTGTTTGCTCTGTTTAAAATGGTCCTTTCCCGGGCATGGTGCTGAGGAGTAACTGAGCTGTGGTGATGGCTCTTCGCCTTGTGGTTTGCCTGGTGCTGGCCTAGTCCCTTCTCATGCATGAGGCTGCAGGGCATGTTGCTGTCTGGATGCAGAGCAGGTTTGGCTGGTAGCTGAGAGGCAGAAGACTCTGCCATCTTGTCCACTAGACTTTACACACCTGTCCCCGGGTGCCCCCAGGACCCTGCGGAGAGCAGAGTGCCAGGAAGAGTGGGCCTGACAGGAGAAACTGAGGCCAGAGGGAGCTGGGGTTACGGGCTTTGCCTTGTCTCTGCGTCACTGGCGGAAGGTGGGAGCTGTGGGAAAAGGAAATGAAGACCTAGACTGTGGAGAGATAATCCTTAATAAGATAATTCTTACCTTATCCCAGTAAGAAGGTGGGGCAAACGCGTTCATTAGTGCTCAGAAATGTTTCCTGAGCACTAACAAGGTGGTTATGACCCAGTAGTGAACAAACAAAACAGCGTTCATGGAGCCCAACAGTAGGAGGCTGTGCGGGGGCGAGGTGAGGCATTGCAGCCTAGGGCTTGGATGACGGTAGGGAACAGGAAGGGCCTGAGAAGGAAGGTGATGAAGGGGAGAGAGCCTCCTTGGTGAATGATTGACTGGGGAAGAGTCAGATGAGGGCTGCATGGTGCTGACTTCACAGATAAGGAAGTGGCTCCCAGAGAAATTCAGTGCAGGAGTCTGAGCTTCTATCTGCAGCTGTTTCTGTCCTGCCCCGTGGCCGCAGGCTGGCGAGATGCAGTTGGGGGTGGAGAAGCCGAAGTGCTAGCACGGGAGTTAGGAGACCTTGGCTCACATGAGCTCCCCTGACAGCGTCCCAGTGGAACCTGGACAGTCCTTTCATTTCTCCAGACTCCGGTTTTCAGTCTAGATCAGTGGTTGGCAAACTTCGGCTTGCGAGTCACATGTGGCTCTTGAGCCTGGGTTTACCGCTCTGTTGACTAATGACTTTACCAACCACTGCTAGACTAAATGTTGGAAGCTGTAAGGATTAGGCAATTGTGGCATATTGTGTGCAAAGAGGTTAAGGGTAATATGTGACAGTGGTCAGCAAATTCATTAGTCAACAGAGTGGCAAACCGAGGCTTGCAAGCCGCATGTGGCTCGGAGTTGCAGTTTGCCAACCACTGGTCTAGATTGAGTGCTCCGGGTGCTCATAAAGGGTTTCTCACCAGGAAGTGAAGACTCTGAGACTCAGAGAGGTGGGGGCTGGTTCAGGGGGAGAGAGCTCACTGGCTCGGGCCTCTGGATTTGCCACCACGGAGGATGGAGAAATGTCTCTTTGGCATTTCTAAGCTGGGATTCAGCTGTGGAGAGAGAGCAACCCTGAGAGAAAAACTTGGAAGTTGCCAATATAGAGATAAGAGTTACTGTACTTTCCGGCGTATAAGACGACTTTTGAAACGAAAAAAAAGTCAACCGAAAATCGGGGGCAAAAGACCAAAATTGCACAAAAATTACCTGCAGATCTTGACGGCAAAGTAAGTCTTTTCTTTGAAGTGGGGGGTAGTCTTATACAGCGAATATAGGCCTAAACCTAGGTTTTAACTGTAAAAATTAGGGGGTCGTCTTTTACGCCGGAAAATACGCAATGATCTTCGATTCCTGCTGTCTCCATGCCCAGTATCTTTGCAAAGCCGATGCTCTGTTCCCCACTATTATAGGGGAACAGTGTATTAACGGCCTCACATGACTGCCCTGATTCAGAATTCCACCTGCTGCTCACTGTCATTAAAAGGTGTGCACATAAATAAAGACCGAATTTGGCACTCCCCCTGTCTTTTAGTTGAATACCTCTAAACTGATCCAGCTAGCCATTATGCCTCATTGCTTCTCAAATTGATCTTTAATTTATTTCCAGCTAAACATGTGTGTTTTCCCGCTAGAGAAATCATTAAGGAACATTGAATTTTAGCACCAAAGGCTCCCCAACATATATTTGTTGAGTTGTTTTTGGAAATCTTTGCATTTTAGGGACGGAAAATATCATCAGACAAAAGAGCCTCAGTCTGCATGTTAACCTCGTGCCACAAGCCCCACCTGCCTGCGTGGCTCTCCTGAGACCTGGGAGATAGGCCGGGCCCCGATTACTCGCCTCTCAGTGGCCACGCAGTGCTGCTGTGTGTACTGTGGCAGCAGTGCCATTTCCAATGTCGCTTCTCCTCATTCCCACATTCCCTGTGACTGGGAAACTGAAGAGGTTTAAAAAAGAATGAACAGATGGGACCTCCTGAGAGTATTTAGGTTTCAACCTGGAGATGAGAACATTACTTATGAATGTGGTGTATATATGCTATAAATGCAGTGGTTTTAAAAATATATATATTTTATTGATTTTTTTTTTTGCAGAGAAAGGGAGAGGGATAGAGAGTTAGAAACATTTATGCGAGTGAAACATCAATCAGCTGCCTCTTGCCTACCCCCTACTGGGGTTGTGCCTGCAACCAAGGTACATGCCCTTGACCGGAATCAAACCTGGGACCTTTCAGTCCGCAGGCCAATGCTCTATCCAGTTTTGTTGCTGCATTCAAGGTGTTTCTGACATATCTTTTCCAATCATAATCATTGATATGCAACTGTGAAAATACTTTGAAGACTTAAAGAAATGCCAGATAACAGGCTGGGAGGGATTTTCTGACTGTGTCCCCTCTGAGGAAGTGTCCCCTCTGACCTTGAGGAAGTGGCCAGTTCACTCTGCTGCTGAGAGAGAATGTCTAAATCAAAGGCCCACGTACCTCGTCATCCTCTGTGGTTTCTTGTCTCTGTGAATGGCCTCCCCATCCTTCCATGACAGGAACCTCGGAGTCGCCCTTGCTCATTCCTCCTGTGACATGTACTGTCGTTACCTGACATGCGCTCTGGTGCTCTCATCTCCCCAGGCTCGGGGGAGGTGGGGTTGTGATCAGAGAAGAGACATTTGAGATAAAATGCAAAGGAGAAGTAGGACTTCTCCAGGCAGAGTGACATAGGGAATAGGTAGCATTCCAAGAAGAAGAAACAGAATGTGCAAAGAAGAGGAAGGCGGGAGGAACAACTGGAGTGCGCTGAGAAGAAGGAAAAGTCACATGGCTGGAGGGACTTACAGAGGGAGTGGAATGGCGGGATCTCCGTGTTGATGGAGAATGTGCTCTGGAAGATACCTGAGTCACCAGAAGTAGGTCTTCAGCCATCCAGCAAACACAGCCACTGTGTGCAGGTGCAGCTGTGCCGTGAATAAAAGTGAGCCGGACCTTACTGAGAGCACAGTCTGATGAGGAGACAGGCAGACACACACATAAATTGCGGCGAGAGTGGCACATTCAGGATTCAGCAGTGACGCGGACGTGAGGGGCAGCGGCCACCCCTGAGCAGAGGTGGGAAAGGCTTTTCCTGGAGAGGAACTGAGCTGACTCAGAGGGTGGAGTGGCCCTCGGTCCCTCTGGTGGGTGGTGGGAACACGTGCACAGATGGAGGAGGCAGTTGGGGAACAGCCTCCTGTGCGTGGGTTGTGTCAGGTGAGACTGAGCTGCTGCTTGGCCTGTAGTGGAGAGAGGAGGCTTGAAAGGCCTTAGGAGGTGTTCGGACTTAACCCTGGAGAGCCGGGGTTCTCAGACACAGCCTGCATGTCTCCTGGAGGGCTGATTAAGATGCACACCGCCGGGCCCACCCATTTTGCACCCTTCTGTGGATCTGAGGGGCCCTCAGAGTGTGTGTCACTCCCGTCCCCCGCGATGCTGGTGCCGCTCACGCTGGAACCACACTCTGATGCAGAGCCATGGATGTGTTCAGGTTTGCGCCTCAGCGCCACTCTCCAGCTTTTATTTATAACTAGAGGCCTGATGCACGAAATTTGTGCAAGAGGAGGCCTTCCTTCCTTGGCTGCTGGCACCGGCTTCCCTCTGGCACCCGGACCCCCGGGCTTCCCTTGCAGCCCTGGCTTCGTCCAGAAGGTCATCCGGAAGGACGTTCGGTCTCAGGAGCTTGTTACACTTTTATTATTATAGATTACAACAGCCAGAATTGTTGAGAAATGGCCTATTTGATCTATTATAGTAACTGGCTGTATGGTTGGAAGGTTTGTCTTAGCCCAAAGGTCACGTGTTGAAATCCTGTCATCCAAACATGATGGTAGTAGGAGGCGAGGGTTTTGGGAGGTGCTGACGTCATGGGGGAGCCCTCGTGGGTGGGGTTAGTGCCCTGTTATAGTAAGAGTCCCCAGAGGGACCCTAACTTCTCATGTGAGGACACAGCAAGAAGGTGGCCATCTGCTGCCGCTTCCAGGAGGGCCCTCGGCAGAACCCGCGCACGCTGGCCCTCTCATCTCGCATTCTCAGCCTCCAGGACTGTGGGAAATGGCCGCCCCGCCCGTGGGGTGTGGCCGAAGTCTCCTGAACGGACTAAAACACTGGCCAAGTGTAGGAATTCTAGTGGTAAAGGGCCGTGTGCTAAATTCCCCCTGCACTGTGCTATGAATAAGCCCAGTATTCAGTTCCTTTAACGCTTCTTTTCTGCTCTTCTGAATCCCGAAATGTTGCCAAGAATGGTTAAGGTGATTTAGAGTTATGTTTACCCAGCCGACTACAGCAAGGGATGTGACTCGATCTGAGGCTGCTGGAGGCTGCTGTTAGAAACAGCACACCCTGGAAGGCTGCGGAGAGGATGGATGGGGAGGCTCTGACAAAATTGTGCATCTTTTTTTCTTTAGGGTATATGTAAACAGTGTTGGAATCGACTAGAGTAGGGCTGTAGAAGAATATCAAAGGTGTGTATACACACACACACACACATACACACACACACACAGTTACTCGCTAATAAGAACCATCATGCTCTCATGCTCTCCATCAGGAGTTTTTTTTTTATAAAGATGATACGTAGGGTCATTGTCTGATTTGGGATTTAAAGGTGTCCTTGCCTGAAAGAAGGGAGCTAATTGCCTCAGGGTCCTTTCTGATGCTTTGATGTGATCTGTCTTTCTGCCATTGCAATAATTTGATGCAAATAGTCCTAATTTATTTTTAAAAAGTTTTATTGATTGATTTGAGAGAGAGAGAGAGAGAGAGAGAGAGAGAGAAACATTGACTTGTTCTACCCACTTATGTATTCATTCACTGGTTGATTCTTGCATGTGCCCTGACCGGAAATCGAACCTGCAACTTTGGCTTCAACCCACTGTGTTTCTAATTTATGAATGAGCTATACCAAACACTGCAGGCAGGTTCCCTGCCACTGCTATAGGGGCCCTCGCCAGCGTTTCTCCCTGACTGGCCCTCACACTATGAGAACTGCCACCTCCAGTACCTCATGTCCCTTCCACTGTCCTACTTTGCCCCTCCTTCTCTCCCTTGGGGGACTGGGGGCACTTCTGTTAAATTCTCTATAGTCTCGTAATTTTATGGGCAACTCTGCTGTCAGCTCAGTCCCCCAGGGAAACTTCATCATCACAGGTTCTAACACCTGCATTTATACAATACAGCTTAGGTCCTGAGATGCTCAGCTCTGTACTGTGTGACCAGAAACTACCAGTTAGGCCACACACAGATCTGGGTCTCGAACCCAGGTCTCCCAGTTTTCAGTCCTGGACTCTTCCCACCTCACTGCTCATTCCCACAGCAGATGTCTGAGAGCCATGCTCACACTGACTGGCTCTGTGGACCAGGTCTGTGCCGGAAGCGGAGGTGTCAGAGCTGCTCGGCGGGTCCTCATGTGGGGGCCGGGATCCCCCACGGTAATTTGACGTATGTGTATCACAAACATGCCGGGGCCCTGACCAGAGGCAGTGCTAGGTCCAGGTGAAGGAAGGCCCGGAAGGTGTGCTGTCAGACCCCGGACCCGTCGTGCAGGCTGGCACCTGTGGTTTTTTCCATCATAATGTGGGTGGTTCCACCATCCACTCCCGTCCTTTTCCCTAATTCCTCAAATGTGCCTTCCACACACGTGCAGTGACACTTAGGAAATTTCAAGTGTTTGGTGTGGTAAGAACCCCCTTTTTCCGTAAAAAAAAAAAAAAAAACAAAAAAAAAAAAAAAACACAACACACACACATACACACACACACACACACACACACACACACAACACACACAAAACAAACAAAAAAACCTACCAACCTCAAGTTGAGAAGCAAGGGAAGTCTTTTTTCCTTCCTGGCCAGCCTTGGAGGTGATCTCCAGGTTACTTTGAAGAAGTGTGTGACGATTATTGAGAATTGCTGTCAAGAGGTCAAGCCCGTTTCTCATGAGGAAACTGGACTGGTGCCTAAGTCAATACACGCCTGTTTCCTGCGCCCTCCTCTCAAGGGGCTTGGTTAGGATTTCTACTTGTATGTTTAAGAAGCGTTCAAAGGCTGGTTACCTGTCAGCATGGGTGCAGGGAGGAGGAGCAGAGGCTCCTGGAGGGAGGAAGTCCTCGGAGCCCTTCCTGGCTGCCTGGGGGTGAGAGGACCCTGCGTCCTGAGGAGTCGGGGAGGGTTGGGTGTGTGGCCTGTGTCCTTCCCACCACAGAGGTGGTGCCTCCCGCTAGTACTTCTCAGTGGTGGGAAGTACCGGATTAGGGGACATTGTTGGCTGTCACATCTGGGAGGAAGGATGCTACTGGCCCCTAGTGGTAGGGGCCAGGGATGCTGCTACCCATCCCGCAGTGCACAGGACAGCCCCTGAGGCAGAGCTGACCAGCCCACAGGTGGGCAGTACTGCCTGGGGTTGAGAACTCTGCCGTGTCAGCAAGCGAATTCCTCACCCAGCCCGAGGAGAGGTGTTGTTAGGATATGCCTTGGGATTGGAGAGATATTATAAGAAAAGAGAAATATTTTGTTTGCTATTGACGTTTTTTTTTTAATACCCAAAAAATACAGGGGTGGCATTTCCATCCGCTTACATTTGTGCTGTTTCTGGAGTCGCTGGTTTGCGTTGTAAGTTACTTCACCCTCCTTGGCCTCGTTGGAGAGAGTACCTAACAGTTGTGCCCTGGTGTTTTTGTCTCGCTGCAAGCCTTCCTCTTGCTTAAGGAAGAACTGCATCATGGGTAGAAGGTGCTACCGCAGGCAGCTCTATGGTGTTGGTCACAGGCCTGCTGGCATCAGACCATTGTAAAACATCTACATGTGAGTGGACCCGTGCAGTTCGAACCGCGTCGTTCAGGGGTTAACTGTACATCCGTACAAACATGCGGATCTGTTGGTGAGTGTGTGACAGAGGAGGTTTGTAAAGTGACGTAATTAAAAATTAACGGTATTTCTATTGAGAGTAAGCGTACGTGTGGCATGAATTCTATCTCATTCTGCTCTATCCCCTCCTGTCCTTTAGTGCCCGACAGTGACCTGGTTCAGAGTCGCCGCGTTCCCTCTCACCTCCTGCTCTGACGGCACTGTCCTTCCTCCCATCCAGGGAAAGAAACGGCCGCGATGAAGGCGGACCTCCTGAGGGCCAGGAACATGAAAAGGTACATCAACCAGCTGACGGTGGCCAAGAAGCAGTGCGAGAAGAGGATCAGGATGCTGGGCGGCCCGGACTACGACCAGCAGGAGGACGGGGCCCTGGACGAGGGGGAGGGGCCGCAGAGCCAGAAGGTAGGACTTCCACTTTCTTCTTCTGACCATTTTGGGTCCGTTACGAACACTGGTGGAATCAGAGGGACAGCCTTTTCACTTCCTGGTATGTAACGTAAGGCATATGTTCCAGAGTATGGACTCACATGTTTGCTTTTGTGAGTGAGGAGCTGTATGACTTGGTGTCATTGACTTCCAGGAACGGTCATAGGCATGATGGGTAGGCATGGGGTGGATGTGTGTGTGCGCATGCCTGTGTGTGTGTTCCCATCCCCCCTTCCCCTCCCACAATCCTAAAGGAGCATAATTAAACCTTCCCGCAAAGACAACCTCAGGCTCATCGCTTCACTAGTGCATTCTGTTAACCATTTTAAGGCAGAGATAAAGTCACTCTTAACTACACCTGTTTAATAAGTCGAGGGGAAAAACGTTACAAGAAGAAAAAAACAAAACACCCCAAACTACTAACCAATATCTATCATGACCCTAATAGAAAATAGAAAATTCCTTAACAATATTTTGGCAAATCAAATAGATAACAGCAATCTATAGATAGAAAAGTCCTCCGATGTCCTTAGTTATAAACATTTTGTACATGTTTATCTGCGATTCTCTTATCAAGGCTTAGTGGAATACTCATTTTTAAAGACACCTTTATTACGGTATAATGACATACACTTTTATTTAAGGTGTATACAAAGACATTTGACACATGCACATAGTCATGAAATTATCAGCACAATTAAGGTGCCAGCATCCTCGTCATCCACAAGAGTTTCCTGGTGCTCTTTGTAACCTCGCGGCCCCACTGATCTAATTCTTTCACCCACGCCTACTCCCCTAGAAAGTGATCTCTTGGCTGCCTTGGTTTTTGCCAGCCATCATTGTCTTGTCTGTCTTAGCCAGAATCCTGGTTCAGGCCTTTTCTGATTAGTTTTGTTGTCTGTTGCGATACACAGCAGCTGTTGTAAGTCTCACAGCAACCCATAAAGTAGGCAGTGCTATCCTGATCCTACAGATGAGGAAACAGGCTCCGAGTGGTGGAGTAACAGAGTGAGTGAACTAAGTAAATATTAATGGTCTGGAGTATTTACGGGAACTAATTGTTAGTGGCCTGTAGCAAGGGATGGCCATCGTTTCAATTAGTTTCCAGAAGTTGTTAGAAAAAAATGTCCCTTTCTGCCCACAGAACAGATTGGGGGTTGCTGTCGGCAGAAGAGTTGAATATTCATTGACCACATGCACTTGGTAACATTCCTGAATATATTATCACAGTATTAAGAATCTTAAAATGTTTTCTTTTCATTGCGTTTGAGTTATACTTAGATGCCATTTAAAAACCCTCATTAAGAACCAAGAATATGGGACTTAAATTCCCTCTAAATTAATTTGGGGCATTTCTCCTAGTTCATTGAGTTATGAATTATAACGGAGGTCATCTGCTTTCTCATATCAGAGCAGTCCATGCTTACGATCGTTCCCACAGAGTCTTCAACTAATGCTTTTTCTTCTACTGTAAGCATGCAGAATAATAAAGGAGTAATTTGGGATATCTGTGCAATGGAATATTATGGATTAATTACATGATACTTATACAATAGTTTTAAATGAATGTGATACTCTAAACAAAAAAGGGGAAAATATAAAATAATTTGTAGAGTTGCTCAGCTATATAAAAATGGGATGGAAAGCAAAAATACAAATTATTACACTCAGGCTTCCTGGTCTTGAATACATTTCTCGTGAATTTTTCTATTATTGGCCTCTGTGGCTTTCAGCAGTACACCCAATAGGGCAGAATTATGTCTATTTCATTTCCTAGAAGTGTGCTGGATAACAGAGTTGATGCTAAATAGATTTTGTGCTGAACCAGTGAATGATTAATAGAAAATTGGTATTTATTGATTATGTGCATTTTGAATATTCAGTAAACGTTTACCATTTAAAATTTAAGAGGATGAGAGAAGTACTACATTGACTAAGTATTACATTGACTATGACCTTAAAACAGTGAGGTATTTTCCCCCTGAGTTAATCCATTGGGAGTTTGAACAAACTGATATTTAAAACTTTGTTTTTAAGAGCTTTTTCTTAAATTCCCTTAATAGATTCTTCAATTTGAAGATATCTTGGCCAATACTTTGTACCGAGAGCACTTCCGAATGTACATGGAAAGAATGGACAAGAGAGCTCTGATTGGCTTTTGGGAGTCTGTGGAATATTTAAAGAATGCTAATAAGGTAATATATTTAGATTAAGGAATATTAATCCCTAGCTGATAATAACTTGTATGTTAGGCAGTTTGTCTGTGTTTCTCAGAGAAACTGTAAGATAAGAATACATGAAAAGAACATTTTCATCAAATATAATATTGGCATTATGTTGTATCCCATAATGGTAAATAAAAACTAGCTTATTTTTTTTTTTTTAACAAAAGATGTTTTTGAATGTGTAATCAAAGGGGAAAAAAGCTTTATAAAAGTACCAAAATAGTGAATTTAGTTTCAGGTACTTCCTTTTTGACATATAACGGCATGTGCATACCCATGTTGCCGTTATAATAAATTTGGTCTTGTCACCTATAACTCAACCTAAAAACCTTGTTATTTTTAATATAATGTGCATATTTTATACTACTGATTGTTCTCCTTTTTTATTTAAAATATGATTGAGGTAAGGAACACAGAAAAAAATTTTGGTTACAGTGAAAAGCCCAACAATAAATATTGTGTTTTGTACTTGGCAATTTCTCAATATATATTTAAGAATTAAATTCAAGAATATGAAATATATATGTATGGACATACCTATAAATATACTTAATATGTATAATCTATATGCATATATTTTGTGTGGCTTATTAAAAGAACACAAAGACTGCATGTGGAAATATGTCTGCTCCTCCTTCCTATGGGAGCAGGAATGCCTCCATAACATGCTACGTGAGAGGAGTTCTCAGGGCTGCCAACCTTACAGGAGAGGTTGAGTAGTAGTATATTTCTCCTACATAAAAAAAAAAAGAAGAAGCACAAAGCACTGTGTACATTAAGTTACTCATGTTTACATGAGCGTTGCTGGAACTGAATGCCACCGGTTAACTGTTCAACATGAAATGTTCACTTTAAGGAACCGCTGTTGTGTTCAGTGTCTGACACTCGCCCCTTAGCCCTGAAAGTGCCCGAAGCCTTGGACCCACCCTGGCTACCAATGTGCATCCTCAGTGTCGCCCTCCCCCCTTGAAAGCACAGAGAGGGCAGAAGAGAAGAATTCTCAGAGGTGATATTTCTTACCTTCCTCATTCTCTCCCTGTCTTTTCAGAATGAAATCCCACAGTTAGTTGGTGAAATTTACCAGAATTTCTTTGTGGAGAGCAAAGAAATATCTGTGGAAAAATCCCTTTACAAAGAGATCCAGCAGTGTCTTGTAGGAAATAAAGGTATTGAAGTGTTCTTCAGAATCCAGGGAGACGTGTATGAGGCCCTAAAGGACAGGTATTACCCTTCCTTTATTGTCAGTGACCTGTATGAGAAAATGACGACCAAAGAGGAAGAAACACATGCCTCGCAGTTGACTTCTAACAAGGATGAAGTGGTGAGTCCCATTCCACTTTCTGCTTCCTCTCAGTGTGTAAACTTTGAATCTGATTAGGTGAGCACATATTGTATAAGCCAGATGTGGGGTGCACCTCCATCTTTTAACATACAGGAATTTCAGTAGAACGTGACGTTGAATTTCCATGTTGTCTGTGGCCTTACACATGTCTGTCTTTGTCCTTCTGACCAACTGGCTACCATTTTCCAACGTTGTGTCAGAGACCTCCCTGCCTTATGCCAGCTTGAAACACACCCTGGTTTGACTCCTAAAAATCTGCGAAGTGGGCCAATTGAAGCTTAGGCCAGGTTAGAGAATCAGTAGAACCATATCATCCAGCCTGAGAATAGACAAAGGATGGGGGGAAAGTAAGGAGAGGAAGAGAATGTGAGAGAGGAGTCATTGGAAATGTTGGAGTTAAGAAAACCAGGTAAAATGAAGATGTTTGGGAAGGAACCTTGCTCCAAACCTAAAGTCTGATTTCTTTTTTCTTTTTTTTCTTTTTATATATATTAAAGCAGTGAATTATTTAAAAATATATATATTTTATTAATTTTTTCACAGAGAGGAAGAGAGAGGGATAGAGAGTTAGAAATATCTATGAGAGAGAATCATCGATCAGCTGCCTCCTGCACACCTCACACTTGGGATGTGCCCACAATCAAGGTACATGCCCTTGACCAGAATCGAACCCAGGACCCTTGAGTCCGTAGGCTGACGCTCTATCCACTGAGCCAAACCGGTTTCGGCCTGAAGTCTGATTTCTGTTAGTGTACTAGGTCATTCTGGTTAGCCCCAGCAGCTCTCTACTCACTATCAGTAACTTACATTATCACAGTTTTAAGTTTTGTGAAGGTCCAATGAAGAAATGTGATTTAGAGTCTTACATAGAAAGATTATCATTTATCTTGATTCTTTCTTCCCAGTTCACTGTATCTCAAGTACTTGAAGATAAACTACTTGTGCTTGATAATATTAGAATTTGGCATCTCTGAACTATTGTTAAAGTCATTCATTCAGGCTTTTAAAAAACACATGTTTTATTGATTTCAGAGAGAAGAATGAAGAAGGAGAAAGATAGAAACATCAATGAGAGAGAATCATTGACTGGCTGCCTCCTACATGCACCCTACTGTGGGGGATTGAGCCTGCAACCTGGGCATGTGCCCTGACCAAATGTCCACCTATTGAACCATGACCTGCTGGGTCACAGGTGGATGCTCAACCACTGAGCCATACTTGCTGGGCCAGGCTTTTTTTTTCTTTTTTTTAATTTTTGTTACTTGATTGTTCACCTTTTCTGTGTACAAAATCACTAAGCTCTTTGATCCAAAACTCATTACTCATTGCATTTTCTTTATACAGGCCAGTTTGTTTGTTTGTTTGTTTGTTAATCCTCACCCACAAATATTTTTCAAGGGCGACGGGAAGAGACAGAGAGAGAGAGAGAAATACTGATGTGAAAGAGACACATAAATTGATTGATTCCCTCATACACCCTGGCCAGAACCAGGAATTGATCCTGCAACCAAGGTACTTGCCCTTGACCAGAATCAAACCTGTGACCTTTCAGTCCACGATCAACACTCTGTCCACTTAGCCAGACTGGCTAGGGCAGGCCAGTTTGTTTTAATTGTGCTCTCTCTCTACCTAAAAATTAAAATGGTTAATAAGCAAATAAGGTTATTCAAATTAATAAAAAACATTAATACCCAACAGAAAAATTGAATAAGGACTTCAACTGACACTTGATAAGAAAAGTAATAAATAGTAAACAAAACATTAAAAAATGTCCAACTTCACCTAGGATTCAAAGGAGGGTATTACGTATTACTGATGTTTGATAGTTCCTACTCTTTATTTCAATAATCAAATTTACCTACAAATTTATCCTAGAACATAGCTAAAAATGAGAAAAAAGTTGATGCACAATGGACTTTAATACATCTGGGAGAGCAAAAGTGCAAAATCAACTCACAGAGGAGCAGCGGTAGCATCTGCCTCAGTTAAATTTCAATTCAGAAAGTACCATGCGGACATAAATTATAATTTTAAAGACTATAATACCTTCAAAATATGTTATGGGAAAAAGGCAGAATACCCACTCAAGTGTGTTCAGGTGTAAAATTATGTCATAATAGATATAGACAGGATTAGAAAGAAACTACAGAAATGAAAGCAGCTTGGCTTGCTATGATTATAATAAATTATTTTTCTTTGAAAAAAAATAAAATTAATACCCTGTTACAATTCATAATAATTAGAAGAAAAAACTCCGGAAGAAAGTTAAGGAGTGAACAAACCTCAGGACAGTTCTCAGCAGTACTTTTCAGTGTCCTAATGCTGCTGCTCATGAATTTAATTAACAGGCCCATGAGTAATCTTGCCAGATTATTCCAAGTTATATAGTTCTTTGTGAACTTTAAGTCACTTTCAAACGCTAACCATTTTACTAGTAAATAATCGATGTAATGATTTATAAAATACATCTTCAAGAGAAGGACTGAATAAAGTGTATTCAGGAAGTACTTTTGCTAGTAGGAATTTGGAAATTTTATTTTAGAGACTTAGATGAGTTTTTCCATAGTATTCTTAGGACTCCAAAAGGGATCCAGACCTGTGTCTTTGTCTAAGATGAGGCACAGGACATTGTGGTTGAGCTGGGAACATAACTCTGCTGCCTCCCCCTGTTCCATGCACATTCCCTTGGGTGAATATTTGGGAAAGAATGGTGTGGAATCATTTCCCTTTCCCCAGGATAGTAAATGTTTCCCCTTTTTTCCCCCCCTCTCATTGCAATTCTGAACACCAATTACTTTGGTTCCAAATACTTTAATTTTTCACTTTACTGAGAAAAAGCTGTCTGCTTCTAGACCTTGTGCTGTAGATTTTTTCTTTAGTGGAGCCTCGCACTTGGGCCGTGCATTGCACTGATGCAGTGCCTGTCTGATAGGTAATGGTTACGGACTAGTCCATCTTTGTGTGACTCCGTGATCATGTGCCTTCCTCCTCCAGAGCCTGGGCGATGAGGCTGGTGAGGAAGCTGTGGATGAAGGCACCAGTCACATTCATGAACAAGCCAGTTTCGCTGTAAACAAACTACGAGAACTAAACGAGAAACTTGAATATAAAAGGCAAGCTCTAAATTCTATTCAAAATGCACCAAAACCTGACAAGAAGGTAACTCTTTCGCTTTCAAGGTTGTCTTCCAACGTTTCCATTTTTTAAATGTGATAAGTAGTAGTTTTCAGTTTATGCTGACAGGTGCCACGGTTTCTTTAAAAATAATTTTAAGTTCTATTGTTGTTACTATCATTTTGCTTCAAGTAAGAATTAGAAATGTACTTGTTTTTACTCTTAAGTGATTTGGGTTTCTTTCCCCACTGTCATGTGTGAGTACATGTTCCCTGGACTGGCTTGCCTGCGGGACCTTTGGGGGAGGGGCAGAGCTTTCTCAAGGTCGTTTCTGCAAGCGCGTTAACTGCTCAAGGACAATCTTTACCTTTTTTACTTTCTTATAAATGCTACAAGTAAAATATAGAAACCCTCACCAAATTATACAAGAAATAAATTATTTTGCTAAAAGCCAACAGAATTTGTAAACAGCATTTGTCACACCGGGAGGCAGTGAGGCCTTTTGCCTTGGGTTCCTGCCTCGTTGGAATCCACCAAGGAGGTCTCTCTAACAGGTGTGGCTGACACCCTTCGGTCTCCTAACCTGACCTCCGGCACTTTGTGCACGTGTGCTTGGAGACATAAGTGATGAGTAAATGAGTGATGCTGTGATAGTCACTGTGAAGAATCAATGAAATATAGACGCTGCCACCTGCTCTTAGGGAGCAGACATGCTGAATGTGGACCCAAAACATAGTTGGATGAAATGAGGCAGAGCGTCCCATCCCTGACCAGTGACAGAGTGCGGGCTGCTGGCCTAGCCAGAGGCTTCCTGCGGGGTTTCCGAGGAAGGAAGGAAGGGGTCCTCGTAGATTGCATGTTGAGGAGGGTTTGGGAAAAAAGCTGCTGTCCTCAAACTACGTTATATAACCTGCATGTTTTCTCATAAAAGGATCCAAGGAGATGGTACACATAACAATTTTTAAAAATTATTTTTAAAAAAATTGTAGTAAAATAAGCATGACATTAAATTTCACCGTTTTAATCATTCTAAAATGTATACAGATTAATGTGCAATACACACGTTGTTGTGAAACTATCACCATGATCCACCTTCAGAACTCTTCCTCTCGCAGAATCGCAGTAGCTCCCCATCGCGCCTTCCCCGGCCTTCGGCCACCACCACTGTCTCTCTGTCTGTTAGGAATTTAGTCCAAGTACCTCACATCTGTGGAATCATGCAGTATTCTTCCTTTTGTGACTGGCTTGTTTCATTTAGCGTAATGTCTTCAAGGTTCATTCATATACAGTATTACTATGTGTGAGAATTTCCTTCCTTTTTAAAGCTAACTAATATTTCATTGTATGTGTATACAATGTTTTGTTTATATCCATCTGTCGCTTAATACTTTGTTTGCTTCCACTTTGGGCTAATGCTGCCATAGTCATAGGTGTACAAATATCTCTTTGAGATCCTTTCCTCCCCTCCCCCCCCCCAGTTCTTTTGGGTGTATACCCAGAGCTGTAATAGCTGGGAAATATGTTAATTTTGCTTTTTAATTTTTTGAGGAATCTTCATACTGTCCCACAGTGGCTGCACCATTTTATCTTATTACCATACATAGGATTCTGATATCTCTGTATCCTGACCAATACTTGTTATTTTCTGGGGTGTGTGTGTGTGTGTGTGTGTGTGTACATGTTTTTAATAATCACAGTCCTAATGGGTATGAGGTGGTATCTCACTCTGGTTTTGTTTTGCATTTCCCTAATGACTAGTGATGTTGAGTATCTTTTCATGTACTTTTTGGCCATTCGTATATCTTCTTTGGAGAAATGTTTATTCAAGTCCTTTGTCCATTTTTTAATCAGGTTGTTTATTTTTTATTGTTGTTGAGTTTTAGGAGTTCTCTATGTGTTCTGGATATTAACCACTGTCAGATATGTGATTTGCAAATATATTCTTCCATTCTGTTGATTGTCTTTTTACTATATTAATAGTGTTCTTTGCCCAAAAGTTTACAATTTTTATGAAGTCTAATTTTTCAATATTTTCTCTTGTTGCCTTTGGTGTCATAGCCAAGAAATAATTACTAATTAAAAGTTATAGAGCTTTTCCCCTTGTTTTCATCTAAGTTTTATAGTTTTAACTTTATGTTTAGGTCTTTGATCTATTTTGAGTTAATTGTAGTATATGGTGTTAGGTAAGCATCTAACTTCATTCTTTTACATGTGATAACCCATTTTTTTCAGCACCATTTGTTGGAAAGATTGTCTTTTCCCATTGAATGGTCTTGGCACCCTTTCAAATGTCATTTGACCATATAAGTGAAGGTTTACTTCTTTGCTTTCTTTTCTGTTCCATTGGTCTATATGTCTGCCTTCATTTCAGTACCAAATTGTTTTGATTAGTGTACTTTTGTCATAGGTGTTGAAATTAGGAAGTGTGTCTTCCATCTTTGTTCTTTTCTTCCCAGGTTGTCTGTTCTATTCAGTCTCCCTTGAGATTCCATATAGATTATAGGATGGACTTTTCTGTTTGTACAAAAAAAAAAATCATTGAGATTTAGACAGAGATCACATTGCATCTGTAGATCACTTCGGGTAGTATTGCATCTCAGCAATCTTTCATCTTCCATGATCATGGCTATCTTTCCATTTGTTTATATTTAATTTCCTTCACCAATGTTCTGTAGTTTTTATTGTAAAAGTATTTCATCTTCTTGCTTAAGTTCATCCTTTGTATTTTATCATTTTTATGCTATTATAATGGAATTGTTTTCTTAATTTCCTTTATGGATTATCTATTATTAGTGTATAGTAATGCAGCTGATTTTTGTGTGTGTTGATTTTGTACCCTGCTACTTTTTAAAAATTGTATAGCATTTTAAATAGCTTTATGTATTCCCTGTGGCAGATTGTTTCCAAGTTGAAGGAGGAAATAATTCTGACAGAGAAAGAACGCACAGACCTTCAGCTGCACCTGGCAAGGACAGACTGGTGGTGTGAGAACCTCGGAATGTGGAAAGCTTCCATCACTAGTGGAGAGGTAGGTTTCATTGCTTTTACTCCCAATTTATTTTATAAGTTTGACTTCAGCCGAAGCCGGTTTGGCTCAGTGGATAGAGCGTTAGCCTGAGGACTGAAAGGTCCAGGTTCGATTCCGGTCAAGGGCATGTACGTTGGTTGCAGGCACATCCTCAATAGGAGGTGTGCAGGAGGCAGCTGGTCAATGTTTCTCTCTCATCAATGCTTCTTTTTATTTATTTTATATATTTTATTGATTTTACACAGAGAGGAATTGAGAGGGACAGAGAGTTAGAAACGTCGATGAGAGAGAAACATCGACCAGCTGCCTCTTGCACACCCTCTACTGGGGATGTGCCCGCAACCAAGGTACATGCCCGTGCCCAGAATCGAACCCGGGACCTTTCAATCTGCAGGCCGACACTCTATCCGCTGAGCCAAACCGGTCCCGGCTCATCAATGCTTCTAACTCTCTATCCCTCTCTCTTCCTCTCTGTAAAAAAATCAATAAAATATATTTTTAAAAATAAAATAAAAATAAAAAGTTTGACTTCATAGGAAAACATTTTACTTTGGAGAATTAAAGTTGAGGGTGGAAATCTTGTATTTATTCTCCTACACTGCATTTGTCCTACCTTCCTTCCCCCACATTTCACTCTGGTTCTCCCATGACTGGGAGCTACACTCAGCTGCCTGGTAGAGACCTACTCTACTCCAGTGTAGACAGAAAGTTATTCTTGTTCACTGAATTGTAAGAGACTTCAGATTGGAGCAGTTAATGTCTTTAAGTTACCATTTTATTTTTCCATTGAAGATTGAAATAAAATGGAAAGCACTATTTGAAATTTGGAGGTAAAAGTTTTAAATTTAAGTGTTTTTGGTCGTTCCATCCTTCTGACTTCAGTTGTTCCACTGTCAGTAGCTGTAAGATCTTTAGTAAAATATTTTATCTTTTGAATTAGAAAATATTTTGCTATTCTCTGATGAGATGGAATATCTTTTTTTTTTTTTTTAGAATATGCCGTATCCCTTCTATTTTGTCTAAATAAATAATTTCATTTAAAAGAAAGATGCTTATAGGCATTGTTAATGTTGACAACTCCTTCCTTCCTGTCTGCCTGGACCTAAAGGTCAGGTCCACCATAGAGCACACCAGTAACAAGAGTGAGAGAGTGTTAAGGTTTTGCCCCAGTGGCTTGTTAAATACTCAGCGCCTTAGATTTGCAAGGACCTATCTGCCAAGTTTATCTTTGTCCATCCCTGCCTTACCCATCATCCCAGTGGCTGCATACATACTGGGGGAGGGCTTAAGAGTCACAATCTTAAATTATTCTCTAGATTAGAGAACGACACGAAGCATGTTCTCCGAGAGCCACCCTGAAAGCACACACCTTACACGAGAGCTTAACCAAGTGCCCTCAGTATGTCTGTGGTACTTATTGGCACTCTTATTTAGGTAAACTGCAGGGTAATATGCTTTTGGGGGGCAATAGGTCAGGGATGATTGCACCCACCCTTGAAATACTATGTAGAAATGTCAGCCTTGATGCACAGCCAGTTTGTTACACAGGACAATGCTGGTTTGATTCTTGGTCAGGGCACATACCTGAGTTGTGGGATTGATCCCCAGTTGAGACACATATAAAAGGCAATTGATCCATGTTTCTTTCTTTCTCTCTCTTTCATCTCCTCCCCTTCCCTCTCATCCCCTCCCCTGTTCTCCTTTCCTGTCTTCTCCTCTCATCTCTCCTCTCCTCTCTCTTCCTTCCTCTAAGTATATTCTTGGGTGCGGATTAAAAAGAAACCCTTGATAATTGCAGATAGAGTTATCTTTACGGTGAAGTCAGGGGTATATCTAATGTCAAAAATGGTAGAGGGAGGCCAGTGGATGGAAAGAACACAAATTCTGTCATCTCCTCACTGTTGCCTTAGAGCTGCCTCTGACATTTTGCAGTTTATTAAAATCACCTTCCAAAGGCAGATGCTGCAGGAGGGAGAGAGGGCGGGGGAAAGCTCTCACAGGCACGTTGTCCTGGTCCTCAGCTGTACTCGGGAGCTTGCTGCGGCACCAGGGTCATTGCAGCGGGAACGGAATGCACTCAGTGGGGTTGTCTCACTGCCAGTCACACAGTCCCACGGGAATATGTGGGCGTGTTTACTCAGCTCCAGACTCTCCTGGGCTGAGGCTGGACCCCCCACTTACTAGACGTATGATGCTAGGACAGTCAGAGAGCCTGTCTGTGCCTCCACTTCCCGTTCTCACAGGGGATGACAGTCCTGCCTCACAGGGCTCAGCGTATGCTCAGTAGCTTTCACATCTCTGTTCTGTGCTTTTCTTATTGGCTCTTTCTCTCTGATTTGATTTGTTACTGATTCAAGCTTCAATTCTTTTGTTTCTTCTGTTATCAATTTGCATTAAAAATAATAGTGGCCTCTGCCTGGTCGGTGTGGCTCAGTAGTTGAGCATCGACTAGATGACCATGAACCAGAAGGTCACGGTTTGATTCCCAGTCAGGGCACAGGCCTGGGTTGCAAACCCGATCCCCGGTGTGGGGTGTGCAAGAGGCAGCTTATCAATGATTCTCTCATCATTGATGTTTCCATACCTTCCTCTCTCTGAAATCAGGAAAAACATATTTTAAAAATAATAATAATAGTGAGCTCCTGTGAATATGTTGGGGTGCATATGTGTATCTGTATGAATATGTGTGTGTTTGTGAATTATCTAAATTGGGAGGTGAGAACATTATGTCTCCCAATGTAAAATTTTATGAAAATAGAAACCATGGTTTGTTGAATCCTGAAATTAAGCTGGGGAAACCCTCATATTTCACACCTGTTTGCTTGCTGTTGACTTGAATTTTCAGGGAAACAGAGTGGTAAGGCTGCCATATTAGTTTTCTTTTGCTGTAGAACAAATTACCACCAATTTCAAAGCTTAAAAAAACAACACCCACTTCTCAGATGGCAATGCCAGGGCCCATAGTCCAGCACGATGCAGCTGGTTCTCTGTGCATCGTGTCACAGAGCTGAAATGGAGATGTTGGCCAGACTGAGTTCTTGTCTAGAGACTCTGGGGGACACTCTGTTGTTGGAGGAATTGGTTCCCAGAGGTTGTGGAGCTGAGGTCTCTGTGCTCGCGGTCAGCGGGGGTGCTCCTCGTTCCTGGAAGTGCTCCCAAACCCTCTCCACACGCCCTCTCCATCCTGAGGCTGGCAGCATGCTCAGTCTTGTGTCTCCAGCCTGCCTCTGTGACTGCCTCTCTCCCACTGGCCAGAGAGCTCTCTGCTTCAAAAGGCCTCATGTGATTAGGTTAGGCCAGTGGTCTGCAAACAGAGCCAAATATCAACAGTACAACGATTGACATTTCTTTTGAGAGCCACATTTTTAAAACTTAAATTTCTTCTAACGCCACTTCTTCAAAATAGACTCGCCCAGGCCGTGGTATTTTGTGGAAGAGCCACACTCAAGGGGCCAAAGAGCTGCATGTGACTCGAGAGCCGCAATTTGCTGACCATGGGGTTAGGCCCTCCCAGGTCATTTCCCTGTATTGAGGTCAGCTGTGCCATAACTACCCTCGTTGTCGGGAGAGAACCTCAGAGTCACAGGCTCGGACTGTGCAGGCGTCTGCACAGAGGAGGGGAGACTTGGGGACGTGGGAAATCTCGCTGCCACAGGCTCCCCATGCTTTTGGTTATTGTGTTTGTTTTGTTCTGTTTTCCAAGGTCACAGAAGAGAACGGGGAGCAGATGCCCTGTTACTTTGTCATGGTGAGCTTACAGGACGTGGGAGGAGTTGAAACCAAGAACTGGACGGTCCCAAGAAGGCTTAGTGAGTTCCAGAATTTACACCGGAAACTCAGTGAGGTACGAACACACACAGAAAGTTAGACTGACTGAGCAGGGGTGGGGGTGGGTGTGTGTGACAGCTCTTTTCCCTGTAAGGAAACTGGTTAATCTTTCTCTTGCATGTTAATTCTGGCAAAGTGGTTTTTTTAGCCTGACATTTAGAAATTTACTCATAGACCAAACCATCTAGATTCATTTATTTTTATTTTTTTTAGAATATGTTTTTATTGCTTTTTCTACAGAGAGGAAAGGAGAGGGATAGAGAGTTAGAAACATCGATGAGAGAGAAACATTGACCAGCTGCCTCCTGCACACCTCCTATTGAGGATGTGCCTGCAACCAAGGTACATGCCCTTGACCGGAATCGAACCTGGGACCCTTCAGTCCGCAGGCTGATGCTCTATCCACTGAGGCAAACCGGTTAGGGCTAGATTCATCTAAATCTTTCAGGATAGATGATGGTCTGATCTCATTGTAAATGGAGCCCCTGAGAACCCCAGAGCTGGAAGACGGCCAGGGCCCCGGGCGGTTTCACAGCTGCCAGTTGTGGCCAGTAGAGGGCAGTGCACCCGCTGTGGGTGCAGCAGTGGACAAGACTAGGACCGATGGGATTTCCTCACAGAACGACGGGCAGTCAGTGAAGAGTCAGGACTGAGCATGGCTGGGAGCTGGGATCCCAGCGTGAGTCCTTACTGCTCTGGCCCGGGCCAGTCTGACTCTGCCTCTTCTTCTCACCAGGAAATACAAACAGCATAGCCCTCCCTCGCAGAACTGCTGAGAGAATGAAGGGGAACATGGATACACAGTGTTTAGGAGAGTTGAAGCACAGAATAAACGTTATTGTGTTGTTGTAGTGGTGGTAGTAACGAGCATTGTCTCATGGGACTTCTGTTTCATTGTATGCGAATGTGTACATTATTCATGTAGACATGGACATCTGCGTGTGTGTTGTGGGTTGCAACTTAGCACGTATTTCCTACTGTGGATTTTGCTTAAAAATGTTTGAGAACCACTCATGTAGGTCATTTCTTTTATTCGACAGATGGGGAAACTGATCCCAGAGAGCTTAATTGACTTGGTACGGGAGGTATGCGTGGTGGATAGTTCCATGACCTGATGGATCTGGGTTTAAAGCAGCTAGAGTGCAGGTTGTGTGTTTCCATTCTTTACTCCCCCACTGGCCTCGGAAATGTCTCCTCCTCTGGAGGTGATCGCCTCCACCCAGCCGTTAAAAAGTTCTCCACTCGCTTCTGCTCTCACATCCCTTTAATCTCTTACTCAGAATGAACTCTTCCTGGTTAAAGCCTGTAGCCACCTCTCAGACCCTCTTTTGTCAGTGACATGTCTGTTCCTTAACCTTTTCTCCTAGGATGGTTTTAAAAAACTCTTTAATCACTAACCTCTGGATGCTATCACTTCCTCACCTGCTTTAAAGGATGGTGTCATACGACAGGATTTCCCAAGTGGGTTATGGCCACGTTAGCAGCATGGAAAACAAAATATTCACCTCAACGTAAGAACAAGTTTTCCCCAAAATGCTGACACTACAGAAGATGCATTCTTTGCCCTGTGACAAACCTTTGTGAAGCTCAAGTTTTTATTAGTCTAGTTGCTGATACAAACAGAAGGAAGGAGAGAAGGGAATTTACGGGAGATTTTAAAATAAAATGTACGTGAAAATAAAATGTTCTTTGGAAATCAGAGACAATTACACTGAAGCACGAGGGAAAACTGAATTCCACGTCTGGTTTTCGTCTTGTCGTCACCTGTCCTCCCTGTGGCCTGCTTACTGGGTCTCTCCTACTTGGGTGTTTCCTGGCGAGTGAGTTTTCGCTTCTTGACAGCTGTGACAGGAAGCACCTTCTGTAGGTGCCTGCTGATTTCACATTCCCTTCCAACTGTCACTGCCTGTTTCGTTTCTCTAAAACCTCCCCCCGAATCTGGGCGCCTGCCATAGGGGGTGTGCAGAAGGCAGCGTCAGTGGGCTGTGGGGGAAGGCCCCGGAAACACCTGGCACAGGTAACCTGTGACATGGCCGTGGGGCCGCTGTGACCCTGAGGAGAAGGAGAAGAGCTGTGGCAGGCAGGCCCTGTGCTCACTTTCTTCTCTGTCCCACTCCGTCTCCTGACGCCTGTGCCAACGGCCCCCGTGCCCCAGGGAAGGCCAGTGTCTGGGCATGTGGAACCCCTGCCTCTCATCGGAGGCAGTCGGCAGTGTCCCGGGGGGATTGCCACAGAGAGCACAGAGTTCCTAGTCTGATGGATCTGGGTGTAAATCCTGACCCTTGGTTCTGCCATGTGTTAAATGGGAACAATGGAAATTCCCAACTCAGAGCCATTATGCAGGTTTCTAGCACGGCGTCTGGCACAGCCCAGGACTAGGACACAGAGGGAAGTGTGGTCCTTATTTGTGACATATGTCATCATTAGCAATAGCTCTGCATCCTGCAGTTTGCCGCTACAGACAGCAACAGCTTCAACCCAGTTACTCCTCCTTCCCATTGTGTTCTTTGTCCGCTCTGATTGCTCGGGCAGTGATGTTGTAAACCGCACGTTCTCCTGTGGGCCAGTGTGCGTGCCTCGGGCTGTGCTCCTGGGCGTGTGTGCTCACCAGCCTGTCCACGGCTCCAGGACTCAGGGTCTGGGGTGAGCTTCAGCCTTTTCATCACAGATCCCTCTCCTCCAGATTCCGTGAGCCTGGTTAGAACTGGTAGGCTTTCAAGTCTCAAATCTCAGTGGGACGAGTATGGAAGGAAGATACCTGGTTTGTTCTGTTTGTAATTCTGAGTCTCTTCCCAAGATTAAAATGTAAGTTCAAGATACTAACCTTGAACCCCTTCCCCACAGTGCTTCCCTTCTTTAAAAAAAGTCCAGCTGCCTTCCCTCAGCAAGCTGCCTTTCAAGTCCATCGATCAAAAGTTTATGGAGAAGTCCAAGAAGCAGTTGAACAAGTTTCTCCAGGTAAGACCGGAGCGTGTTAGCTGTGAGAGGAAAGCGGTTACTCTGGGTTACACTGTCATCAATGGAAGAGCTTGCTGGTGTGCTTTCTGCTCCCATAGGCTGTGCCCATCCTCAGGGGTCTGTTTTTGGTAACTAGCGTGTACTGTCCCTGCAGAAAATGCAGGCATTTAGCGTACAGTCTTCTCCATCTTCACAAACTGAACACACCCTCAGCCCAGAAACAGAAGATCGCTGGTCCCTCCAGCTTCCTTCCCGCCACTGCTCCCGAGCCAGAGCCTCTGGCAGAGGGAGCGGAGTGAGACGAGACTGCTGTCTGGTGGGCACTGCCGCCGTGGGACGGCTCAGGCTTCTTTTTCCAGCTGCTGTGCAGGGTCCAAATGTAGCCATGAAAGGGTGGTCGATGGGATCCTTTGCATTGTGCAGATGTGTAAGCGGTTCAAACACAAATGAGTGGGCATTTCAGAGGCGGGGGTTTGGGGTCTGCTAGCCATGTGCGAAGTGAGGATCTGGGTGGCAGGGAGCCTGCAGACCAGGTGAGCTCTGCTGCCTGCAGAGTCTCCCACCGGCAGAATGACTGGCACGGGCCCACCTGGAGAGCCTGGTCTGCCATCTCCACCACTGAGAGCTGATCTGCGACGCTGTGTTCCAGGGGGAAGGGGAGGGGCTTGGGCTCAGGATTCTGATGACGTGAATTGCCTCCATTGCCGGGGCCGTGGCCTCCGCAGCACAGACGTGCTCGCACCGAGCAGTGATCAGTCCTTTCCTCCCCAGAATCTGCTCTCGGATGAGAGGCTGTACCAGAGCGAAGCGCTTTATGCCTTCCTGAGCCCTTCTCCTGACTACCTCAAGGCTATTGACGTGCAGGGGAAGAAGTCCACCTTTTCCCTGTCCTCCTTTCTGGAAAGACTTCCCCGCGACTTCTTCTCCCACCAGGAGGTGAGTTATGCCATTGTTGGCGGGCGTAAGCAGGTGTCTTGCTGAAGGCAGTTGGAAGCGGCAGGTGTTGATCAAAAGCAAGCTACTAGCGGGGAAAGGCAGAGGCATCCACTTCCATTATTGTCCCTGTCACGCTTTGGACACCTGCTGTGCTCCCGACAAGCCAGGTGGCAGCAGAGACACGGGAACGAAGGGGTTAGTGACATGGAGGTATGTGGGATGACTTGAGCTGGAGGGGAGGAGGGAGATCCTCACATCCCATTGGTAACTCAGTGCCGGTGAAAGGCATCTTGGGAATAAGGAATTGGCAGCCCAGTTCCCTGTGCACAACTGAAGGCTGGGTAACTGGGCTCTGCCACGTCCCGCTGGTTGGCTGTCACATGCGCCTGCCCCGCGGGCAGAGAACGTTTGAACTGGAGGTCCAGTTTGATGTCTGGACCTCCAGCCCTACCGAGGGCGTGCAGGCAGAGGAGATCAGACGTGGTTTTCAGGGAACGGGAAGCCCCGGACTACTCTGAAGCAGTGGTATGTGCGGGTGAGCAGAGGGAGACGGCAGACTTTTGCCATCTTACCTCAGCCCCCCTCACATTCAGGCCACGGAAGCCCTGGTTTGGCTCTCCAGCAGGCTGCACAAGACCGTCTCCGAAATGGCATCTCCTTAGTTTATTGCCACGTGCCCCTCTCTGAGCTGAACAGAAGGAGCTGGTGATGAGAGGGAGCGCACGCTGCCGCATTCTGGGCTGGGAGGAGAACTGCGTGCAGCACAGAGTATGTCCACACCAGGTGCTGGTGTCCGTGCAAACCCGCTCCGTCTCAGGGTCCCTCCCTCTTCCCTTAAGGCCTTGTGCATCAGGTCTGGCTAATGCCTGGCTGGCTGACCTCCAGCTTATTCCTCACCTCTTCACGGCACCTCGCCTCCTTGTAGAAACAGCTACTGACTATCTGTCAGTCTTCCCAGAGCTGCGGGCCGCCAAGTCTGGATCCACGTGGCGCTCATTGGCACTAGCCTGGTGCCTGCAGCTTGCTGACATGCAGATCAGGAAGTGAGACTAGCTGAAGGACAGAATACAAGCTTGAATCGGAGCTTTAAAAATAGCTAGATTTCTTTAAAACATGCAGTTTTAAGAACAGCAAATTTAAAACCATTTAAGTTAAAAAGCCTTTTAAAACTCAAAATGCTTAGGAAACTATTTTGCTATCTACTAATTCACTCCTTATCAGCCCGGGGACAGGTTTTTCACAGTCATTTTAAACCTTTAAAGTGTAAGATCTCTCCCTTGGGGTTAGATACATTTCCCCTCTTCATTGGAAATGCAGAGATGTCTGCTGCAGGATGGCTGAAGGACTGTGTGGGGCTGAGATGTTACCACACAGTTTGGAATTAACCCCTGAAAAGGACAACTACTCTCTCACTTTCTTGGGTAAGTGACCTGCTCCTACGACTTTTCTGCCCCCCAGGAGGAGGCGGAGGAGGACAGTGACCTGTCAGATTACGGCGACGACGTGGATGGGAGGAAAGACTCCTTGGCTGAACCGTGCTTCATGTTGATAGGGGAGATTTTTGAGCTTCGAGGAAGTAAGTCTTTTTGTTATTATTTAGTGTTATTTTCTATTTAAGGGTTTATACATTGTATACACATTTAATATCCCTTTATTCCTGAATCAAACTTGTTTTTCATGTTCATTTATTCACTCATTCATTCATTCATCCAGCAAATACTCCTAAGGGCCAACCAGTCACTATGGCTGGACCTGAGGTTGCAGCCTTCAGACAGAAGGCTAGTGTTCTCCTGGCACTCAGGGCCTGACTTACCTGCACCGTGTCCCTCTGAGCTCAGAAAGAGAAGGCCTTGAATTTCTTTTCGTGTCACTTAGCACAGTCTCACTGCTTCATCACCTAAGGGTAAGCAGAAATACCTTTCCGTAGCAGAGGAGCAGCCTGTTGTTAAAGATGAGGTTTGGGTGTTGCCGAGATGGTGTTATGACCAGGGACACAGGACAGCCTCCATCCTGCTTCACCCTCAACCACCTTTCTTTCCCTGGAGGATGGCAGTCACTGGAGGGCTGGGGGAGTTCTGTCCCCAGGGGACACGTGGCATGTCTGGAAACCTTTTTGGTTGGGGTGATGCCACAGGCTTACCCTGCCCCCAGTGACAGGCATGCTGACTGAGAATGCCTACCTTGGTAGCTCTCAGGGGACATGTACTTAGAAGAAACAAGAGCAAAATAGGATCAAAATACTCTTTTGTTAAGACCCACCCAAGGGCCTCTCTCCTAAAGCAGTAGTTGGGTGAAAAGTCAAACTGTACTACTTGGTTTAGTCTTGAGTCCTAAACAGGACTCTCTCCCTCCCCCCCGCCACACACACACTTTCACTGCCCCCACACTCTCTAATGAGACAAGTGCACTCAGTCACACTGGGGCCCTTAGTGCCAGCTGGGATGTGATGGTGCCTGAAGGCCCGCCCAGAAGAGGAAGCACAGAGAGAGCAGGGTTGTTGGCAAGGCATTCTGATGGCACCAGCCAGTCAAGTGGTAGCCCCTGGCTATCCTGGGTTTTCCACCCAGAATAGCATCTTCTCCCTTGGGGCAAAGGAGGTGAGCTGGGAGTGGGTCTTATGCAGGAAGTGGGGCTATGTGTCCCTTCTGAATTATATATCCCCTAATGTTACCTACAGAATTATTAGCAGATGAAAAGACTCCAAGTGGTCTTACAAACGTAGGTGTGTCTATGACTTTTATTCCTCAGTGACTGCTACCTTGTCTGACCCATAGTAGATGGTCAGTAACATGCCTGATGGATGCACTGACAGATGAGTAGGCGAGAACATTTTAAGCGCCGGAATTAATAGATTTGGGCATTGAACTTTTTCTTTGCCTAAGCCCAAACTTAAACAATCAGCAAATACTTGGGAGCATATTTTAGATAATGCTCTGCAGGGGACACAAAACTATATCAGATACAGATTCTTCCTTCAGTGCATTTACAAGATAAGGGTTCCAAAAATGGAACTCACATTAAGCATCAGACACTATTCAATTCAAACCTGCAGGCAGAGGTTTATATGTAAGGATGTTCATTTTCAGCAAAATCTCAATATTGAAAAGTTGGAACTAAGCAAAATGTCAGAAGCGGGGGTTACGGAATATCACCCAAATAGTGAAGTTCCTTTCAGATGAAAAAGCTACAGCTGTTGCATACTGCAGACACTGTCAGATATCTACTGCCATTTCCCTGGGTTCAGGGAGGTCAGAAACATTAGCCTTTTACCCAGAGTCTCCCCGCTTCCTCACGAAGCCGGCTCATGAAGTGGTGAGGCCTGGTTCCCAGTCTTCGTCTCTGCAGGCAGAGATCCCGCTGCGGTGGGTCTGCCAGGCCAGTCAGGGCAGGAGCAGGCCCTCCATCCGGTGCCTGCTCAGATGCATATTTGGCTTTGCTGGCGACATTTCCGAGGGGGGGAAATAGAACATCATTTATAATGAGATGCGCTATTTTTGCCGTCAGCAAAATCCCAGTGTTGCTGCAGCTGCCTCCGTGGCTTTGAGCAAAGGAGCTCTTGGAAGGAGTCATTGTTTTGTACGTTCCTGGGGGTGGGGAGGACAGAAAAAGGAGTAGAGTAAGCAGGTATCAGTGATAGGAGGGAATTTGCAGCAAGGCCACTTTTGGTTCCTGCTCTGGTTGAGTGTGCAACAAGGAAGCAGTAATAATACAGCCTTTGTACATATATAAGCAGTCAGTCGGCTGACAGGCCTGTTTTCTCGAGATGCACATGTCCTCAGACCCCTGGTAGGAGCCACCGCCCTCCTGCCCTGGACAGGCCGGTGAGTTACCATCCCTGCCGGCCAGGCGCCCAGCCTGAGTGCCAGCCTCAGGCAACGGGATCTACCAGTGGGCAGCGTGCCCCGTGTGCATCGGGAACGTAAGGTGCTTTTCCAGGCATGGTTTCCACTCCAGGACTTGAATCTTACTGGAAGGATTAACAACACTTCTTTAACTGGTCATCTATATCCATTTAAAATCTTAGAAATGACCTTAGTCTGTTCTGAAGTCTAGAACCAGGCCTATGTGCATTGCTCACATGTTTGTGGCTTCCCTGTGCAGAGGGTGTGTGCACAGGAGCCCTGAGCCCTCGGCTCCATCATAGCGAAGTCTGAGTGTCTCATTTGCTTCTGTGTCTGTAGCTACATGCTTCAATGAAGGGAGGTGACTATATACATGGCACATTGGTTTAGTTTCCAACGCACAGACCTAAAGTGTCCTCACAGCATTATTTTGCCTTCTTTTTATGTTTATATTCTGTACCTATAGAATAATAAATGTTTAGATTTATAAACCCTTCACAGCACTCACACAAAATACCGACAAGACCTCAGCGCAAAAAAACCTCACATGTTAATACTGTCCTTTCCTGATGGGCAACAGGCTCAGAGGAAGTAGCTTTTGCCCAGCTGCTCCAGGCAGCAGGAGAGGACCGAATTCACGGCTCAGGATCCTGCTGTTCCCCCAGCGGCATTAAATATACAAAAGTGCATGATGCTCTGCAAACTGCTGCTCAAATGGGAGCAGTTAGCCCATCTGTTCATTAATATTTCACAATATTTGTGGACATTTGACTGCACATGTTTCTCATTCAGAGAAGTGTTAGAAAATTGGGCAACAAGCCAGACAGAAATCTGTCTGCTGGTGGCAAACAGACGTTGTCAGGAGCCAGGGACATAAGAAGTGTTATTTCCACTGGTTAGCTCAGCTGTTGTTTGGGCATTGAAAAGCTGTAAAAACTCCTAGGTTTCATCTTACCGGTTGCTAAGCAGAAGATGCAAGCTTAGTAAGAGTTTTCCTGGGCAGAAGTTTGCTAGCCTAGACCCGCATCCTGCAGCTACCATGGCCTGGCGTGGTGTCAAGCCCGCGGTTGAGTTCGGTGATGTGTGTGCGCTTTGTGCAGCTATGAAAATGTCATCATTGTGCCCTCCTGTGACAATACTTTTCCTCTGACTTACATTTTAGTGTTTAAATGGGTGAGAAGAACATTAATTGCTCTCGTTCAGGTCACTTTTGGAAGAACCATCAACAAGTGAGTTGCACAAAATTAATATTTGAATTCATGCCTACTCTTTGCCTTACTAGTCACATTAGCTGTGTACAGCGGCCAGTCATCTTTCCCACTGAAGGTATCTCATTTCCTCCTCTTGTTTCTGATACGATTCTGAGGTTGGCTGGGAAGGCAGATTGCTGAAGATGCTCTCCCTCAGAGTGCCCGGTGAGCTCCATGACGAGTGCTCGGGCCAGCTCCGCATTCCAGCCACCAGGTCAAGTTCTCTCTGATCCTGATGACCAGTTTGAGTGTCTTGGGCACCGTGTTTTTGTGTCACCTGATGGGAGGCAGGCTAAGGCTTAGACTCTAAACCAAAATGAAAGTAGGCTGAGCCTCACACACGGCCGCTATGTACTTGGAGGGAAATGCAAACCACTCATTTTTTAGTCAGATAACATTAAAAGGGTAATTCCTCTTGTTAATATCTGAGCATCCATCAGGGGTGTGTGTGTGTGCATCATATAACACTATTATAAACTATATGAATATTTTAATATTCCATTGTCTATACTGGTACACATAAAAGTTGAACTCCATATCTAGTATTCTCCAGGAGACAAACATTACGGCTTTCTTACACAAAGTGTGAATCGACTGTTAAAAATAAGGGGAGAAATCACATTTTTGTACAGCAACTATCTTAAGATGAAAATCAGATTTTTCAAATTGAAAGACTAGTTTTGTCGTCCAACACGTACAAGGTTAAAGTGATAGTTTAATCATATAAATCTTACACGTTTTTATGGGAAACATAAAAAATGTGTTATCTTCTTATTCATTTGCAATTTTCCTTGGTCATAAACAAAAGTTTATTTCTATTTATTTCTAAGATGTTTTTAAAACTGGTGTTGGTGATTTCTTTCGTTCATATCATAGGCTTTTGTTTTAATCAGAAAAAAATGGCCTGTTTAAGTTTTGGTCTGAGTCAAAATGTAGTTTCAGTATTGATAAGCGTTGGATAAAGAAATTTCCACAATGGCCCTTTTGTCCTCAGTACTCAGACCTGCAGATAGATTTTATTTTCAGTTTCGGCAAGTCATTCACACTTTCTTGCTCCCGTGTAGACATGGCTCTGACATGTCAGGGCTGGCGGAGGGGCGCCTGCAGGATGTCAGACGACTCCTCTCAGTGCTGTTTGTCAGGCGGGGAACATGGAGCCCTGCCCGCGGGCCTTGGCTGCTTTGCCTTTGGCTGATGATGACATAGAAATCAGCAGCAGCACTTGCCATGTACAACTCCCATTCCACAGACCAGGACTGCTTCAGAGCTTCCTGTGGCTTTGGCTGATAGAAAGTCAGACCTAACAGAAAAGATATAGGCGATGGCCTCTGGTGAGAGTCACTACCCAATGTTAAGCTGCAAATTGAAAAGTTCTTATTCATTCTCCATGGAGACCTGTGATAACCCAAAGACCGTGACAGGAGGCGTCTGCCTGGTGATGCAGGCTCCACACCACAAGCCGTTAGGTTACTGCAGTTACTGTGCTTGGTCTGGATGTGCATTGCATGGACGTCCTAGGCAGCGTAGGGGGTGTCTTGGAGACGTGCAGTTACAGACAACAGTGTGACTCCAGTGGAGGGGAGATTCAGTAGTGACTGGTGACTGTGTGCAGTCTGAAAACCTTACTTTGTCCCTTTAAAAATCAATAAATTTAAGAATTTAACCAATTCTTAAATTTATTGCTCATGAATTGAGTTTGAAATTCCAGGTCTTTCTGGCACTGAATTTTCAAATGATTCTTCCCCTCCCAACAAAGAGACTCCCTGCTCCCCTGACAGCAGCCCCATAACTGGTTAGACTTGGACTAACAACGATGGAACCAGGGATCTGGAGGAGACCTGGCTGCAGATAAAATCCACTTATTTATCACCGTGCCCGATTTTCATTCCCGGGGAGATTGGAAATGGCTGGAGAGTGAATCTCTTGGTCCTCCCGGTGAGCACGTGCCGTGAGTCCCTGGATCAGGACTCTGCCGGCTGATCTGCCACAGCACGCCAGGACCAGGAAATGTGGTTCTCCCCGCACCTCAGGACTCAGGGATGTTTCAGCCCCTTTTAACGCCTTTCGCCTTTCGGTGGCTTGTTTCCGATTGACAGCACTTCATGGAGAAATCAGTGTATTAAGTTCTGAGCACAGTTAGAATAGTGCAAGCTTCAGACAAGTCAGTCTCCTCTCAGTGAAAGACACCAGAGTCAGCACCAAAGAAAATGCAAGCTCAGGAATAAATGGTCATTCAGGATTTACCAAAATCACAACCAACTTTCAGAGCCAGAGTTTAAAAAGCCAATTCCTAGTTTATTCATCAAACATTTAGACCAGGCTGTGTCTTAACCTACTCATTGAAAATTGATAAATGCCTTTTGAGAACAGAGTATGAAAAAAAAATTTTAAAACCTCATCCAAGAAATATATTTCTCTTAAAAGACAAATTCGGGACACAGTGAACTGGATTTTCAGCGAGCAGATGCTGGTTTACTATATCACCGTTTTCCGGGATGCTTTTTGGCCAAATGGGAAGCTGGCACCACCGACCAAAATCCGAAGCAAAGAGCAAAGCCAGGAAACGAAGCAGAGAGCCCAGCAGAAGCTGCTAGAAAACATACCAGGTGAGGCGGCTTCTCACCTGTGGGCAGAGAGGGAGGGTGGTTAGCCGATGAGGGTTCACTCAGATCTGTCTGGAAACACTACTTGCTATGAAAAATTACATTTTTTAGTCATGTCCTGCCCCTTGCTAAGACATTGTACTGACAATCTTAATAAGAACAGTACCTTAATAAGAACAGTATTGGTTATATAATTCTTTTAACCAGAAGAATGTTTTAGAACAGATAATAAATATGTTGCTTTAAAAATTCTACTCAAGTACACTATTTTGAATGCTTAATTTTTAATTTGATAGCAATGTATTAAAATTATAGTTTGTATAAATGTCTTATGTTGAAAAATTCTAAATCTTATTTTTTCTTTAAACATTTGAAAAAACTGATCATTCATGTTCCTTAGGCCATGGTGCATTTATTTAATTATTTACTTACTTTTAATCCTCACTCAAGGACATGTTTATTGATTTTTAGAAAGAGGAAAGGAAAGGAAGAGAGAGAAAAATGTCAGTGTGAGAGGGATGCATTGATTGGTTGCCTCCTGCATGTACTCCAACCAAGGCCAGGGAACAAACCTGCAGCCCAGGTACATGTCCTTGACCCGGAGTCAAACCCATCACTCTGTACACGTGTGAATGCTCTACCACTGAGCAACACCGGCCAGGAAAAAACTATAGTGTTTTGAACAATTCGTTTTTTGTTTTTTTTTTAATATATATATTTTATTGATTCTGTACAGAGAGTAAGGGAGAGAGACAGAGAGCTAGAAACATCGATGAGAGAGAATCATCGATCAGCTGTCTCTTGCACACCCCCTACTGGGAATATGCCCGCAACCAAGGTACATGCCCTTGACCAGAATTGAACCCGGGACCTTTCAGTCCCCAAGCCAACGCTCTATCCATTGAGCCAAACCGGTTTGGGCGAACATTTCGTTTTTAATTGGGTAGCACTGTATTAAAATTACAGTGTGTATAAATGCCTTATGTTAAAAAATTATAAATAACCTTTTTTCTTTAAACATTTGAAAAGAACTGATCGGTCATGTTCCTCAAACCTTAGACTTCTTCCTTTCCCTTCTCCCTCCTCTCCTTTCCCTCCCTTCTGTTTCCTTCCCCTTATTTATTTATAATAAGGGATGTATTTATTGATTTTAGAGAGGGAAAAAAAGAAAGGGAGAGGATAGGAGAGGAAAAGGGGGGTATAGAAGGGAGACATCAATCGGTTGCCTCTCATACACGCCCCGACCAGGGATTGAACCTGAAACCTAGGTACGTGCTTTGACTAGGAATGGTACCGGCAACCTTTTGGTGTACAGCAAGCATGTCAAACTCTAAGGCTAACATGGGCCAAAGAAATGAGGCATGCGGCCCGCAGGCCACAAGTTTGAAGTACTTGGGGTGTACAGAATGACACTCCAACCAACTGAGCCACACTGGCCAAGGCAGTACCTTCATTTGTTGTGCACATATCACATAATATCTCCTTCACTGAACAGCTACGCATGTAAACAGCTACGCATGAACAGCATAGCATCTAAACTTAATTTTTCAGATATGCTTCAGAACCTTGTTGGACAGCAAAATGCCCGTCATGGTATAATAAAAATATTCAATGCACTGCAAGAAACAAGAGCCAATAAGCATCTGTTATACGTGAGTAATGCAATGCCCACCACAGGGCTGTTTCTTTAATTTTACATTCTGTTCACACACACAATCCCTGTATTCTTCATCGTTCCTATTCCTTGCAGCTCTGACCCATGTTCTCTGCTTCCTTTGTGTCTGCCTATTAAACCTGGTGGCAAGAATAGAGGAAAACATGCCCCTGGTGGGTGCACTGTCCTCATTCTCACGCTGTCTGCTTCGTGGCCTGTGCTATCTGTGCCGGCTGCTTGGCTTTCTCATGTCAACAGCAAACAGTGTCCCAGGCCTCCATCACAGGTAGCATAGTAAACATTGCTGATGATGTGGTGTTGATTAACAGGACACGAAATAACCGTGGATTCCCTCTCCTTGAGAGTAATTTGTTCACTGAGAATATCCCAGGCCTAAAACTAGACCTTTTTCCTAACTGTAGATAGATATTTGAGTAAACCCTTAGAGAGAAAACACCCTTTCCTCCTCCTCTCTTGGTTAGGTGCTGATGGAATTGCTGCTGATTGAACTGTGTCCTGAGCTGAGAGCTCACGGGGATCCGCTGAGAGCTGGCCAGGTTTGAGTCTGCATGAATAAACCACCAAGATGTCTGTGATAATAGACATGAACCATTTCCTCTTTTCCGCAGAGGGCCTCACAGAACAATACTGATTTTTATTTTAGGGACCTCCCTCCAGTTTCATGTGAGCTAAGCAGATTGATGCTGTAGCAGGCATCGGAAAAACCACTTCTGTTAATGATTGGGATTATTTTAATAAGGATATAAATACTTTAAAGTTGAAATATAATTGTTAATGTGATAAGAACCTAGGAAATATTATAAATATTTATGAAAAGCTGTTTTAAAATGAAGAGCTGTGAATACTGTACAGTTATTTTCCTCTCTGAGGATTTTGAACATTCCTATATTCATGTGTATTGAAGAACATTGTTGTACTATCCTTTATGTAAAGTTCTTGTGAAAATTTGTCTTTATTTTTACCAAAGATTTCCCATAGTTTGAAGCATTTGAAGCAATAAAATTTAAAAATAAAGCATAGAGCTCTGTGATGTTTAAGACACTTATATCTCAAAAAAAAGAGGTGGCAACACTTCCGGCACCCTTTTTGTAGAAAACCCTGTGCATGTAAGTACTTCTGCAAAGAAATATAAAGTTTGCTGCCTTTTATCCAGACAAGAATGAATATATAACAAATATGATGATTGATGCGAATGAGAAGAGCCTTATTAGTGCTTGAAATGATGCATTTAGGAGGTGGGATGTGAGCTGGACTTAAGAGGGGCAGGGATGAGATGGAGAAGCAGGAAGAGGAGAGAAGGAAGATACCTGATTTTTAAAATAAAGCAACATTAGTTTAGAATGTTTACAAAGAAGATATTAAGACATCGTTGCCAATGTTTTCGTTTCACAGATGTTTACCATTACATAGGTTCTCGGCATAAGAATTCTATTTTTCAGTCATTTTTTTGCCTTCATTAATATCAATGATATAAAGAAAGTCTCTTGCTGATTTAACTTTTAACCATATTTAGTTATAGTTCTGTATTGATTATTTCATTGGGATTTTTGCACATTTCATATTCTTTTGAAATACATCTAGGTTTCTTAAAATGTAGAAAATGAAATACAAAGAAAACTTCTTGCTATAATTGATTGTCTTACAGGAATAGGGCAGTTTTTCCCTCATTAAATTAAGATATTTAAGATAAAGAGGGGTGAGAGTCTAAGCAATTTTTTAAACCCACTGTTTTTAAAGTTTATCATAAATCAGCCAAGTTAATTATTTATAAGAATTTCTTTTGAGAATATAAAATGTCCCAGAAGATTCGGTGCAGTCTTAGCTTTAGTAACTTCAGAAGCTCAAGTGTTACACAAATTAAAATAAGCACACCTACATTATTTGAAAGTTCCTTTAAATTTCTTACACATTTTTGTGAGTTTTAAATTAAAACACTTAAATAACAAGTTAAAATGACAAATTTATTTAAAATGCATATAAAATTTTATAAGTGATAACATTTATACTTCTGAAGTTATTAAAACTAAGGCTGCATTAGTCTTTTAGGACACTGTTTGAAGAAAGTTGTTTTATGGAATGGTTTTCAGTATTTTATGTGGTTGGTGTAGGCCAGTCTAGAGGCTAAGAGCTGGATTTCTGAGGACTAGTCCAGCAATCTGAGCTTGTAGCTGCATTTCAAATTGCAAAATTATGAAATACAAATTCAAGAACGAAAGTGACATGCAATCAGGAAAAAAAACCAAGATAATGTAACTTGCAAAGCAGAAAATAACTAGATGTTACTGTTATAAAAATACATACATTTGAAGGTATTAGGACGCATGGTCTTTGTTGAAATGCACTGTGGTCTAAATTCTTTGGTGAATAAGTAAAGAGTGAAGTTCATCTGCCAATGCAGGATCCAGACGACAAGCCTTAAAATAAAAGACAGAGTCACTTATTTAAATACATTTTGGATTATTGGGTCTTTCTTCCTTCTTAACAATTTTTTGGTTTGTTTTTAAGAATAGTAAAATACAATTATTTTCAAGAGAAGGTTTTTAAATTTTTTTTTTTTTTTTTTTTTTTTTTTTACTGATTTCAGAGAAGAGGAGAGAGAGAGAGAGAGATAGAAACATCAGTGATGAGAGAGAGTCATTGATTGGCTGCCTTCTGCACGCTCCCTACTGGGGATTGAGCCTGCAACCCAGGCATATGCCCTTGACTGGAATCAAACCCGGGATCCTTTAGTCCACAGGCCAATGCTCTATCTACTGAGCTAAACCAGCTAGGGCTCAAGGGAGTTTCCTAATAAAGATACACATCTGTTCTGATTTCTTAATTAGGGAAGTTCAAAGTAGTGTATGTAAAAAAAAAAAAAAAAAAAAAATCATACTAAAAATAACCATGCCCTTATCATCTGAAAAAGAGAAAATTTTGTGTCAAAAATATAGCATTTCTATGATATGAATTCTTAAGTAATATGGAAAACATGAACATTTAGCCTCAAAATTGTTCTCATTATATGAATAGCAGCATCCTATCTATTAAAGAGGGGATATGCTAATTGACCCTCACGTTGTCACAAGATAGTGGAGCCCACAGCCAATGAGGGGGGATATGCTAATTGACTGCCCCGCCCTCAAAGATGGTGGCACCCACAGCCACAAGATGACGGCACCCAGTTCCCTCAGCCTGGCCAGGGTGGCAGGCACACAGCAAGGCTGGGCCTGCCTTTGCAGTCCCCTAGTCCTTTCAGCCCCCCAGCTGCCCAGAGCCGGCCTGAGGTACAAGCAAGCCTTGGTGGCAGCTGCCCAGCCCCCGAGGGTCGCCCGAGGCTTGTGCTGCTGGCAGTGGCAGCAGCAGAGGTGTGATGGGCTGTTGTCTTCCCCTGATCACCAGGTCGCCTCTTGCCCCTGAGGACTTCCAGACTGTGAGAGGGCCAGGTCAGTCTGAGGGACCACCCCCCTCCAGTGCATGAATTTTCATGCACCGGGCCTGTAGACTATAACAATCTTATTTTAAATTATATAATTTATTATGACTAATGTAAATACTGATACGTAATAGTGCACCATGTCATAGAATGTGACGAACTGGGATGCAGCGTCAGAGGTGATCTCATCCTGACCTCACTCCATGCAGACACCGTCCCTTCAAGTGACCAGCTGGTCACTAGAAACTTGCGTGGTTGCTCCTCGTGGCAAGAAGCCATCACCTTACAGGAAAAACTGTTATTTCCTGAACAGCTGCATGAGAAGATTCTTCTTTATATTAAGCTAAAGTTTCCTTTCCTGTGCTGCAGAGTTATTGAAGCTCCAGGAGAACGGACAGTGCTGGTTTCATAGAAACCCTGGGGAGAAGGAGGTGGCAGGCACCCAGCCTGACGCGGCTGCGCCGAGACCCGCCTGGGTCTCCTGACTGTAGCGCACTGTCCCTGCACCATCGTGGTCTTAGCTTTTCCCACAGTGCACTGCAGAGGCTGGCACTCTGCCCTCCCATCCCCACTGTGCCTTTTCTACGGGACAGCCTGTTAGCTGGGAGGACCACGCTGAGGACCCCTCGTGTCCTTTTCTCTGAAGGAAACACTCAGTGTCTGGTCATGCTTCATATGACAGGATTCCCGACCCTCTCTGGCTTGCTACGCCTGCACTTTCTCCATTTTAAAGTCTCTCTCATAAAATACAGTGGCCGCAATTGAGTAACAAGGGCATTCTCTCCTACCACGTGGAAAACCGTTCGAGGATCACAAGCTGTCCGGACCCAGAGTTGTCTCAGCTTATGTTTATTTAGAAAAGATACATGTCATCTGAAATGGACTTGGTTTGGAAATTGGTATAATACATGCAAGATTCAGATTTCTGCAAAGTAAAGGCAATTATTCATACTACAGATTGATGTAGTGATAAATATCTCAAAGGTTGGTTGTGTTTGTGGATTGTACTTCCACCTAATTCAGGGTTCCCAAACGTGCCTGCCAGGGGTCCCAAACACTGGCACCCCGAGGTGCTTCAGTACAGACAGTGCCCACTCCCGGGGCCTGAGATTGAGCTGCTCTGAAATGAGGCCTGGGCTTGGGAATTTTTGAAAGATCCCAGTGGTTTCAAAACACAGACAAGTTAACATCCATCAGTTGCCTCCTGTATGCACCCCAATTGGGGCTTGAACCCACAACCTAGTTATGTGTTTTGACCGGGAATCAAATGCAAAACCTTTTGGTGTACAGGATGGTGCTCAAACCAAATGAGCCTCGCCAGCCAGGCTGTCTTTTCTTCATTAAAAAAATATATTTATATAGCCGAAACCAGTTTGGTTTAGTGGATAGAGCATCGGCCTTCGGACTGAAGGGTCCCAGGATTGATTCTGGTCAAGGGCATGTACCTTGGTTGCGGGCACATCCCCAGTGGGGGGTGTGCAGGAGGCAGCTGATCGATGTTTCTCATCGATGTTTCTAGCTCTCTATCCCTCTCTCTTCCTCTCTGTAAAAAATCAATAAAATATATTTAAAAATATATATAGTTACTCTTTATTACCATTTCCCTCAACCACCCCTCCCCTCTTTTAACAGTTGTTGGAATTTTAGACATGAAATCCGTTGGAATTTGACTAAATCACATGAATTAAAACATGAAAAGGCTTATTTTAACTGGTTACCACAAACTCATGAATATTCCTCCTCACCTCAGCGAGGAAACTTTTTACAAAACTACATTTCATTAAGGTACTAGAACGAGAATCAGGCTCACACTTTTTTTCTGGGTGAAAGAAGGCCTAGATATTCTGGCTTTAAACTCTTAGTGCTGGCCTGAAGATAGCATCAGAGTGAGAGAGAATAATACAGGACTTCTGATCATGTTAACAAGAATCTGACAGGATCATCTAACAAGCATGTCAGGCGGGCCACATACCTCATTTACTTAAATTAGGCATGTGGCCCAGCAGCCGCAAGTTTGACATGCTTGGCTGCATGTCTGACAGCCTCTATAGACAGAGATTTTCTCTACAGTAACTAAGGAGGAAAGAACACCTGTCCATAGAAGCGGTCTCGGAGTCATTGATGCTTGTCCCTCGGGCTCACTTACTTTAGAATAATATTGGTTAGCGGTTGCTTCATCCTTTATGGTCCCCAAGCCAAGCTGCAGACACCGGGCGTGGTAGAAGGCGGCCATGGCCATGCCTCTGCTGATGAACTCGGGGAGACAGTCCGTGACCTGGGCTATGGTCGAGATGTTGTGCACCTCATCGTAGTCGGCAATCCTGTTAGGACGGAGATTGTGAAATGAAAAGGACGTCAGGTATGGGTTACGTTGTCACAAGCAGCCTGTCCACAAATGGTCCTTGTGTCTTAGATGATTTCCCCATTCTACCTGTTTGACAAAGTTGTGCAGTGAAAGGGAAACATAGCATAGCTAACACCGGAAAGAGTAATTCCCTGTGATTATACTAATTAGGCTTAGTAACCTAGAAAATGACTAGAACACAAAAGAAAGGTTGTTTCCTTATAATAGTATTTTAAATTTAACATCACTGTAGATTTCAACAGTGGGGAAAAAGTATTTTCTATTTCTTTGGATTATGTGTTTAAACATGGACCTTAAATTTGGACTTTACTCACATAAGACCAGAAAACACATTAAAAAAAAAAAAACTTGCACATCTATCTTTGGTTAAAAATGGGCAATAAAAAGAATTCATTCTGGCCCTAGTTGGTTTGGCTCCGTGGATGGAGCGTTGGCCTGCGGATTAATGGGTCCCAGGTTTGGTTCCGGTGAAGAGTGAATACATTGGTTGCAGGCTCGATCCCCAGCCTGGTGGTGGTGGTGGTGGTGGTGGTGGTGGTGGTGGTGGTGGTGGTGGGGAGGGTGTGCAGAAGGCAACCAATCCATGTGTCTCTCACATGGCTGTTTCTGTCTCCCTTCCACTCTCCCTAAAAATCACTGGAAAAATATCCCTGGGTGAGGATTAACAACAACAAAATAGCCCTAGCCAGTTTGGCTCAGTGGATAAAGCACTATCTATGGACGGAAGGGATCTGGGTCGATTTTGGTCCAGGACACATGCCCGTGTTGCAGGTTCAATCCCCAGTAGGGGTGCAGGAGGCAGTTGACCAATGATTCTGATCATTGATGTTTCTATCTCTCCCTCTCCAAAATCAATAAAAATATAAGCAAGGGGACTTGTGCTGCTATAAAAAAGAGAGAAATATTCATTCTGTGTAACCCAGACACAGATATGGAGAATTGTGTGAGAATGAGATCTAATCATGTTAACCCTAATGGTATGGAGAATAGGAATGTGGACAATAATTCGAAGTTTCAAAGACTTTAAGAACTTTGTAAAATCTTCATTTTAATCAGAGGGCACCGGGGATTTGGGATGTTGGTGATCACGCCTTTATGTGACCCGCTGTCTGGGAGCCAAGCTGTTGGGAGGAGAGGGTAGAGGCAGCAATTCATCCCCCATTGGCGTGGCTGCCTCCCGGGGGCTGGGCGGGAAGGAGCTGTGGGCTGCATAGGCGGCATTACTGGAGGGAAATGCATCCCCATGGCCTGTGGCCACTCTGGGGGCAGCCACAGCTGTTCTTCCCGGCGCGGTGCTTTTGTACGTGGTGGGTAAGTAAAAGTAGGAAGATACATGGGCTCACAGAAAAGCTCCATGTTTTATGGAAATTTCCAAATATTTTATCAGATGTTAGTGTTGGAGTCTTTTAACCATTATTCTTATTTTACAGACCTGATCAAGCATATTGCAGTTATGTATTGCTAAGGATGTAGGCATTTAATAGTTAATATACATTTTACTGTGCCAAGCCATGTTCAGTACTTTATATGCAATATTTTTACAATCCTGAAGAAGTATTTTATTTTATTTTTTATAAATAAAGCAATTGATGTCCCCTATAAGTTAAGAAACTTGCTGAAGCTCACTCAGCTGGTGTACTGAGCAGAGCGAATGCCACTGAAATCCTGAAGACCAATGGCACAGAACTGTACTACCTGATATGGTAGCTATTAGCCACATGTGGCTACTTCATTCAAATCCAATGAAACTTACAAAGTTTAATCCTCAGTTGCACTAGCCCAGTGGTCAGCAAATTCATTAGTCAGCAGAGCAACAGTAAATATCAACAGTGCAACGATTGAAATTTATTTATTTTTCTTTTATATTTTATTGATTTTTTCCAGAGAGGAAGAGCGAGGGATAGAGAGTTAGAAACATCAATGAAAGAGAAACGTTGATCAGCTGCCTCTTGCACACCTCCAATGGGGAGGTGCCCGCAACCAAGGTACACGCCCTTGACCGGAATCGAACCTGGGACCTTCCAGTCCACGGGCTGACGCTCTATCTACTGAGCCACACCGGTTTCAGCTGAAATTTCTTTGGAGAGCCAAATTTTTGAAACTGAAACTCTATAGGTAGGTGCATTGTTATTAACTTAATTCGGGTGCTCTTAAGCTGGCCTTTGCTAAAAACTCAAGGGGCCAAAGACCCCAGTTTGCCGACGAGGCCACTAGCCACATTTCCAGCCCTCAGCAGGGCTGGAAAATCGTCCACAATATTGTAGCAAGTCTACGAACACGCCCGGCCCAGAGTGCGCAGGCGGCGTTGCTGCACACACCGTCCCCAGCCGCTTACCTTTTGGAAAAGGCCATGCACTTGGTGAAGAACTTCATGTTGTAGTAGTACTCCACCAGGTTGCCCTGGGCGTAGACGTTCCCGCGCTCCGAGGCTTCCCGCAGGCAGTGCAGCGCGGCCTCCGTGTCCTGGGGGATGCCCTGGCCATACAAGTACATGAGCCCCAGCGCGCCCTGGGACTCCAGGCTCCCGTTGCCACAGGCTTCCGAGTGCCAGAAGAATGCCTTCACAGAAGCAGTGTGGTCTTGTTACTCACGGGGTGAGGTTACAAGGGGATACCAGAAAGCAGAAAGTCTCCAATGAGAAGATGGCACTGTCCATTCATCTCTTAGGAAGTAGTTCTAGCCCCTGGGAGGTACTTCAGGCTGGCATCAACTCCTCGGGCCTTAGAGACAGTGTAAGGTGAGCCCGCCTGACCACAGTGCAGGTGAGTTCGGCTGTCTCAGGTTTCAGGATTTTCAGATTTTCCACCGGAAGGATCGAGAAGGTGGGGATCTGGAACGGTGTCTGCAGGGCTTTGAGACAGACCTGCTACGAGGCCCAGCGGGGAGGGGCAGCTGTGGCCGCTCAGGAAGTCAGAGATGGGGCTTTTCAGATCAAAGGCAACCAAGGGTAAGGGCTGCATGGGGGCCAGAAACACCTGATCAAGACTCAGCTACGCGAATGTGAATTTGTTCAAAAACAGGTTGGCTGCTCAGTTGTCCAAGGAGGGTTTTAGACTGTTTGGTGCCCCTTACAAGCAGGACTTATCCCTACATTTCCTTTCCCTGTAAGGTTTCTTGGAAACTATTTCAGTCATGGTGATGAGAGAAATTATAGTTCCATAAAAATTTTATTTTTAATATATTTTATTGGTTTTTTTCACAGAGAGGAAGGGAGAGGGATAGAATAGAAACATCGATGAGAGCGAATCATCGATCAGCTGCCTCCTGCACACCCCCCACTGGGGATGTGCCCGCAACCAAGGTACATGCCCTTGACCAGAATTGAACCCGGGAACCCACAGGCTGACGCTCTATCCATCGAGCCAAACCAGCCAGGGCTCCATAAAAATCTTAAATGGGTCTAATCTTCATCTAGTATATTTTACTTACTATTATCATTGTTCCTTCCTCAAATCAAATGTCATCATTAATTCACACTTAACAGGATTTGGGCTTTATTTCAGGACTCTCCCTGGAAGCTCGCATGGAATAACAGTTTGCATGGGTAGCTCTTTAAAGCATACAAATTCTCTCACATTCGGGGTCCCTTTGGGTAGAGGCAGGGAAGGTAGCATTCGTAGATGAGTAAAGGATGGCATGAGCTTTGAGATCTTAACATTGACATTCTTTACGTTTTAAAGAAGTGTCAGATTCAAAGCCGAATTCCTTATCACTTTTCTCTTAAAAAAGAAATAGTGAGACAATCTAAATAGAATTCTAACTAACATTAAAACAGATCAACGTTACCTTTTCTAGCTCCTTGGGTTCTTTCGTTGAATAATACAACCCTAGGATGCTTTGAGCCTTCACGCTGGCCTTAGGATTTCCATTGTCCGCAGCAATAAGCCAAAGTCTGGAAGAGAAAGGCAAGGCAAGTGGTTGTTTGTTTCAGTGAATGGTTAAGACGAAAACTCATTCTCAGGTAAGTACCTCTCAGCTTCCTCCATCGATCGGCTAACGCCTTTTCCTTCGTAATAAGCTCTTCCAAGGTTGTAAGCAGCTGCAAATTGCAAGTGTCTTGCTTTGGGACATGGAGAATTAATTATTTGCTTCATATAGTCCACTCCTTTTCCCTTCCACAAAAGAAAAGAGAAACAACCCCAGTTTTTAGTTTTACCCAAACTAAATTCTTTCTCCCAGTAATGTTGTGAATCATTCACCCCTGACACGATATAATTCCTGACTCTGTGCCCAAGTGGTGTGTTGTCCTGGGTGTGCAGGGCTAGAAATAAGGAAGTAAAAGGTCATCGTCTGGCCCTAACTGGTTTGGCTCAGTGGATAGAGCGTTAGCCTGCGGACTCAAGGGTCCTGGGTTCAGTTCCGGTCAAGGGCATGTATCTTGGTTGCAGGCACATCCCCAGTGTGGGGGGAGGTGTAGGAGGCAGCTGATCGATGTTTCTCTCTCATTGATGTTTCTAACTCTCTATCCCTCTCTCTTCCTCTCTGCAAAAAATTATTAAAAATATATATTTAAAAAGGTCATCGCCTGGAAATGCATCCAGGGGCTCTGGGATATAAGGCAGTTCCCTCACTTCACAGCTTCCAGACGTACGTTACATTTCTATGTGGCTTCCGTTTTTCTCTTCTCCCAGCTCCTAGGCCTTATTCTGAATCAGCTCTGTTCTTGGAATTTTCAAAGGGCGAAAATAGCTATGACTTCTTCCACATTTGTAATTCTCACAGTCTACGTGAGCCCCAAACAAATGCCGTCTTCTCCCTTCCAGCACACGTATCCCTCAGTGTGCCAGTGATAACGTTCACCCGATATACTGATGTTCATAAGATATCCACACAGAGTGCGCAGGAGACAATCTACCCACTGACAACACAGCTTTCACCCTCCAGAAATCCATCCGACCCAAGCCTTGAAACACTCCAAAGAAAATAATTCTTGATGGTCAAAATGTGTTTATATATTGCAATATCCCTCGCTGCTTTCTCAAAGTGCTGTTGCTGGCTACATAGCACAGTAGATGAGGAAATAAAGGTGTTTTACTTTTTGGGAGCCCCAGGTTATGTGGATTTATTCTTGTGAGTGTATGAGGTAGGTATCTACCATTTTCCCTCCACCTGGATAGTAAGGACTTAATGGTAGCCAGTGAAGTGGCGGTAAACCCTCCCATTGGTAGTCCTACATGGTTGCTCCTTCTTGCTGCCCGGTTCTTAGTTTAGGTGTCAGATAAAGTGATGGAATCATACAGGGAGGAAAACTAATCCCAGAGCCAGTCTTCAAGTTAATGTTAGGAAATGGCCAATGGCCAAGAAATTGATAGAACTAGAAAGGCAATAAGTTGGTCTGAACGTAAAGGTAGGTACTTTGTGCTTGGGTGGAAAGTGAATTGGGGAGTGGGAATCACGCCAGCTACACCTTTGAGCACGGTGGTACTCTGCGATATTGGAAGGAGGGTTCTCGACCAGAGGGCTGCCTGAGGGACAGCCACGTTTCTGACAGAGCAAGGAAATGAAGGAAGTGGTCTGGGAAAAGGCTGAGGACATGGGGGCCTCTATTTGCCAGGCAGCTGGGAAGGGGAGAGGACAAGCAATACGGAGTCAGAAGTATGTAAGAAGACAGACGACAAGAGAGGCATACATTCTGTGTGGTGGCCAATATAATAAAGCTGGGAAGCCTGGTGGACCGAGTGAAGTCAAGGTTCCACATGGCATTCCGGTACCAAGTTCAGATGGAGTCACAGTGCTCTGGCCTCGCGATGCCTAGTGAAGCCCACTGATGGCAAGGGTCAGGCAGACAGGATCCCTGGGGAGGGTTTGGAATGGCAGTTACTGGTTTGGAAACTAAAGACTAGCTGGCTGGCTGTCCGTGGGAACAGACCCAGTTATGTCCCTTTCTTTCATCTTCAACATGGAAGTCTAAAAGTTTATAAAGATGGACAGGACATGATCAGATTTGAATTTTGAAAATATGGCTTTGGTGGCTGTATGAATGAATTTGGGACAAGAGCAGAAGTTTTGAGGAAATACTTCCTAGTACTGTTTTTAAAAAAAATTTAATGTTTTTTATTATGAATAAATATTGAGTTTTATGAAACTTTCAATATACTAAAACCATCATATGGTTTCTTTTATTCAGGCTATTCAAGTGGTATATTGCATTCATAGATTTCCTTATTAACAAATTATTAAATTTCTGGGCTAAATCTTACTTGGTTATTATATTATTTTAATGGATATAGATTTTGTTTGTAACAAAGGCAAACATTTTCTTATCCTAACAGCTGCCACCATAATTTTTCTTGGAGAAACTAACCCAAAGGTAAGTTCTTTGAAAATCTCCTGAGGTGATACCTGATAGCAGCATTGTCAACACAGGGCCACAAGTTAATCAGCCAACACTGTAGGCTTTGCTGTGTGGGTCTGACACTGGTCTAAATCCCGGGGGATTCAGCAGGGAGGAAGACAGACAAAACTGCCTAATTGTAAGGAGCTTATATTCCAACAGGGAGAAAGAAGTTAAGCAGTAACACTGGAGACCATCATCAAGCCTATGAAGAAAATGAAGGGGGCTGTTTTGGTCACGTGGCCACATAAAACCTTTCGGAGAAAGTGCGTGGAACAGTGACCTGAATGAAAGGAAGGCAGACGAAGAGGTGACTGAACTACGTTGTGTGAGAAAACGGGATAAATTCATTTGGGATCAGCAAAGGAGAGGGTTAAGGGAGAAGACACAGAAAGGGGAAAGGGTAGGGTAGGAAGAGTCCTCAGCAAGTTGAAGAATCCTGTGAGGTGGGGCAATGAAATGACTGATGAGCAAGTTAAAGTTGTTCACTAGGTGGGACCTGGTGTGGTCCTCCATGTTAGAAGCAATGCTAAGCACAATCCTGTTTTATGAGACCAGCAAAGACAACAGGCAGTGACCTATGCTGGGGCAGAGAGAATGGTACGGCCGCAAAGATGAAGAATATAGAGAAAAAATTGGGGAAGAAGAAAAGCAGAAGTGACTGTGAGAACATAAACCTGAACATTTTAGATAAATTTTGAAGCTCTGATTGTTTAAGTTATAAGGAATGAGTGAAACTGTCATCACACAACTTATTTTTTTTGGGGGGGGGGGCATTGTTTATTATGATTTTCTTTGTTCTCAAACATATATGCCTAGTATATTTTCAATTTTGGTATCTCAAACAAGGAGTCTTAAAATTTCATGTTAGGAATTTTATGGTGTGGATGCTGCTTAGTTTATAAAACTTACCTGTTATATACTGAATATTATCTTATGTCTAGAAATTAAATTTAATATTTTGTAAACTTATTTTTTAGCCCATTTTCTTTATGTGGTCTGATGTTATCATGTTTGGCACATATAGGCTCTGTATTATGATTTTCATATTAAACAGAGCTTTATTGCTATCGGACTATAATTTCTACATCAAGTTTTAATGTGTTTCTATGCTTCTTTGAACAGCTTTGATGATGCACTAAAAAATACATGTCATTTTCTTAAGTACATATTTACTCTCTTTTAATTTAGATTAATTACATTTGTCTGATTGTTGCAATAATTATGAGTTTCTTCTTTTTATATAAATTTTTAAACATGCAGAAAAGTAGAAAAAATATACAATAAAATACCTAGTATAACTACCATATAAATTCTCAGTAATATTTTGCTATATTTGCTTCCTCTATTTTTATTTTTGCTTTGTTTCAAGTCATTTGCAGATGTAAATATTAGTACAGTTCACACCTAAATATTTCATTATGCTTTACAAGAGAAGTTCTTCTGCACAAATACCAGATTTGTCACTTCTAAATGTTATACAAAATATATATATATATATATATATATATATATATATATATATATATATATATATTTATTTTTTTCGCATGGGGCAATTCATGAAAGCACATACTTTAAAATAATAACAATGTTTATATTTAATGGCAGAATTTGGAATGATCCTAATTTTTGCTTATTTTCTAGCTTTTTTTCCTCCATCTTTATATAGCTTTGAAATAACTTTAAAAAACACAGGAAAGCATATTAAAAGGGAAAATTATTGGCATCTAATGGTAGCAAGGAGAAGGAGCAAAAAAGAAAATTTGTTTTTCACACAAACGAAAAATGACTAATGCTATATCCTTTGAATGCAAAAAGTTAGAGATTACTGAACTATAAGGATAGAAATGTAAAATTAAAATGTGAATAATTTCAATTGTATCAGATAATCCATTGACAATGAGATCTTAAATACTGTGAACAAATCAATAGCTTACAGCGTTTTCAGCGGTCCCCAGCCCATCATAATACATTACGCCCAGCTGGTAAGTTGCTTGATGATCTTGTTCCTTGATTTCTTCAAACTGTTCCAATGCTTCTTCATACCATCCCTGCAAGCTCACAGGAAATACTGAATTATTATTATCTTAAAGTAATCCCAGTTATTTAATCCCCACCCAAATCTAACCAGTAGCACCAAATAAAACAAGAAAAGACAGCCACAGATTTATGGAATTTGCAAGTTAAGTCACTGACAACAGTCAACACACTATTAAGTGAATTAAATAGACCTAAACGTGGCCACTGAGGGAAGGGACTGCAGGAACTTAGGTAAGATTCTCTTTGGCTTTCACTCTTACTCTCCTGAAATCCTCTCTTGCCAATCCTCTCTTGAAATGAAGGCTTAGCCGGCTGCTCAATCCAACCTGCCACCTCCCTGCCACTCCTGAAGTCTGAGAAATTTCAGAGCTGGGACCGACGCCTCAGAGAAGATGTGAGACACTGCAGTATAATATAAAATCCATTCTTACACTATAAATTAAAAATCTGTTTATATTTTTGCCCAAAATATTTAATGTCATCTGTAAAATATTTTCATGTTCATAGTAATTAAAGACCTTGATTTTTAAAAAAAATATATTTTATTGATTTTTTACAGAGAGGAAGGGTGAGGGATAGAGAGCTAGAAACATCGATGAGAGAGATGTACCAGCCAATGTACCAGAATCAAACCTGGGACCCTTCAGGCCACAGTCCGACACTCTATCCACTGAGCCAAACCGGTTTTGGTGAAGGCCCTGATTCCTACCCTGTACTTACGAGTAGCTTATATGTTCCTCTACACCAGAGGTCGCCAACCGGTGGTCCATGAAGTCTGAAATGTTGGCCACCGCTGCTCTACACAGAGTAAGGAGGGAACTGCCCTCTGCCCACATTTTGCTGACATACCCTGTGGGCAGGTCAAGAAGGGACTGTACAAGCTATCTATCACCTATAGACTAGACAATAAAAATCTGCATAACTACCATATAAATTCTTAGTAATCCCATTTTGCTACATTGGCTTCATCTATTTTTAAAAATATATATTTTATTGATTTTTTAACAGAGAGGAAGGGAGAGGGATAGAGAGCTAGAAACATCGATGAGAGAGAAACATCAACCAGCTGCCTCTGCACACCCCCTACTGAAGATGTGCCTGCAACCAAGGTACATGCCCTTTTCCGGAATCAAACCTGGGTCCTTCTATAATAGTTCGCAGGCCCGACGCTCTATCCACTGAGCCAAACCAGTTTTGGCTTCATCTATTTTTTTAATAGTAGTGAATATCCTTATGAAGGACACTCACTATTATTAAACATCCACTACTGGCTCGTGTCCTTCAGTTTTTGCAGTTTTCCAGCTGAGAAGACATGGAAAAGCAAGTGTGTGCTTCTCTAAAATTAATTTTCTCCCAACTTCCTATAAAAACCTACATGCTATGTGTTATCACGTTAAAGGCTCCTCAGCAGTTAGACAGTCTGGTAACAAACATGCTATGGTGTAAGGGACTAAAAGGGACTTTATATTTCAATCGGCCATGAAAATGCCTCACACTAAAGAATGAATCACTGGTAGTGGTAGAAAGAGTCTTTTACTGACTTGGAAGGTCATTGTTAGGAAGAGCAGGCTAGAGAAAAACAACTTTTGGAAAACACAAAAAATAATTAAATTTCTCTTTTCATAAACTATAATCAACAAATTGATAAAAATTAATAAAAACTACATCAAAATCCTAACAAATATTTATTTATTTTAAAGACATAAAGTCAATGAGTAAATGACTAAGTAGTTAACATTAATTTTCCTTTCTGGCCAGTCTCTATTTTTCAGTCCATTATACCACTGTCTGTGTCTCCAGAATAAATCTAGGACCCAGCTCCACTGCAACAACTTTGGTCAAGATTACTAACCTCTCTTGCCTGAACTAATGAAATTTCCCCCTGAACTGGTGTTGGTTCTATGCTTGCCTTCATCACAGACTCAAAACTCTTCGATGGCTTCTTACTACATGTTAAGCAAAGCTCATCTAGAGCCACCTCTGCCTTATTCCGCATTGGTCTCTTTGAGGTCTCAGAACTCTCTCATCGACGAAACGTTTTCTTTTTTCTCCCTCTGGAACGCACTTCCGCTGGCTGTCTGCATTGTGTTTCCTTTTCTGCAAATGTTAGTTTCCACAACAGGTCTTTCCACCCTATCCCTAAGTTATTCTCTATTGTCGTGTGGAGTTAATTCCTTTCCTAGTACTTTTCTTTATTGTTAATTATACATATGTTTGTTGTATTCCCTGACTGGACTGTAACCTTTGTGAAATGGGGACCATTCTGAGTCCCTCTTCATTTTATAGCACATAATAGTGAAGGCTTATAAAGCACGTATTAGGTGCCAGGCCCTGTTCTACAATTAATACACCCTCACCATAGCTCAATGAAACACCATTATCGTCCCCCTTTTACAGATGAGAAAACTGAGGCACCAAGAGGTTAAGTATTTGTGCCCACGAATAAGCATTTAAAAGCAATGGCCATGTTCAAACCCATGTGCAAAGCTAAGAGATCCTTTAATTAAGCGTTATGTTGTGCTATCCTCACAGTGACAGGGGCATGATGGGTCCTCAACAAATACTTTTGTTGCCAGAATGAATGAAGGAGCCATCAAAAGATTAGAGAGTAAGTGGGGTATAGGTGAACAGCTGCCCAAATATCCAATGGATGGTGAGGGATTACCCTGTTTCCCCGAAAATAAGACAGTGTCTTATATTAATTTTTGCTCCCAAAGATGCGCTAGGTCTTATTTTCAGGGGATATCTTATTTTTCCATGAAGAAGAATATGGTACACATTTATTGTTAAATGAAAATAAAGGAAATTTATTATCTGTATACAGTACAGTAGTACAGTAGTTGTCAACACAAACCAGACAAACTGTGAATCCTACGGTATCAAGAATTTATTCATTTATTCAATGACAATCATGTCATCATCATCTGGAACATCATCATAACAATCCAATTCCTGAATTTCCTGGTGAATTTCTTGTGACTCCATTTCTTTCAGAATCAGTGGACCAAATCTCTCATGTTTAGCCTAGGGGGGGCCTTATTTTCGGAGGATGCCTTATATTTCACTCAGAAGGAAACCTGTAAGTAGGTCTTATTTTCAGAGGATGTCTTATTTTCAGGGAAACACAGTAGGGACAGCTGGTCCTTTTTATGCCTTCCCTCGGGTTCAGTGAAGAACTGACATTGGAGTGAAAATACTTTAGATGATAAATATTTTGGGCAAAAATATAAACATTAGTTTTTAAAATTTTATACCAAAGCTAGATGCCTGGCACACGAAATTTGTGCACAGGTACGGCCCCTAGGCCTGGCCTGTGATCAGGGCCATCTTCCCCAGCTGCTGGCAGTGGGCTCTGGATTGCTGTTCACCATCGGGCGATTGGAGTCTGCTCGCCCTGAGAAGGGACCAAGAGGTTGGCTAGCAGACCCCAATCCTGTGGGCTGGGGACAGCTCCTGTGTTGAGCGTCTTCCCCCTCGTGTTCAGTGCATGTCATAGCAACCAATTGTTCGGCTGTTTGGTCAATTTGCATATTACCCTTTTATTATATAGGAGGATGTCTCCTATAAATGACTTTCATTAGAATAACTGTAATGGAGAAAGACCAGGTAGCTCCTTAAGCTGATACCTGTATCACACTTGAAGTCACAACCATATGTGTGGAATTTGACAGAATTTCCCTGATATTAAATATCACTTAAGGAGATATTTTGCTATGAGAATCTAACAGCAGCATTCAATGAAATGAAAACAAATAAACAAAGACTGGCTGAAACCAGATAGAGCGTTAGCCTGCGGACACAAGGGTCCCAGGTTCGATTCTGGTCAAGGGCATGTACCTGGGTTGCGGGCACGTCCCCAGTAGAGGGTGTGCCAGAGGCAGCTGATCGATGTTACTCTCTCATCGATGTTTCTGGCTTTCTATCCCTTTCCCTTCCTCTCAGTAAAAAATCAATAAAATATATTAAAAATAAATAAATAAATAAACAAAGACTGATACCTCTTCAAAATAGAGTTGACCTCGCAGGAAATATGCCGTGGCATCCCCTCTTATTATTCTTTCCTTCAAGAGCTTCAATGCCTTATCCACCAAATTAGCATGGCTGTAATAGTCTGTTTTAAGAAAGGTAAGGAAGTGCAACTTTAAACACAACATGAATCTTCTCTCTTCAAGCCACCAATTATACCGAATTCATCTGACACTTTACACCGGTTTCCTTCCTAGTTCTCATTCCGCCTTGGCTAAAGGAGAAGGCATTGTCACGAGGAATACTGGTGGGTGGGTTTTCACAGTAACCCAGTTCACTACGAGGAGAAGCTCTAGCAAGCAGTCTACGTGCCATTCTTTGGGCAAAGCCACCCACGGGCGAGTGAAATTCTTCATGTGGGGCTTCATTAGAGCTACTCTAACCGAAGGAGCTAGCTGTAAGAGAGTGAGAATGTTGGCGCATGCTTCCAGAGAGGCCGTGGACTACAGAGTTATCAGGCCAGGCCTTGAGATACAGCCTCATGGCCCCTTCCCAGCACGTAGGCCTTCTTTCAGCCAGAGCAGGACTGACTCCGTTTTGTACTGTATAACTATGTCTCCGACATAACCCCTTTCTGAGAAAGACCACAGAATGTGTCAATTACCCACCCCATCCTTAAATCAGCCAATAGAAGTACAGAGGGAAGTAACCCAGTGTAACTGGACCCTGGCCCTCACCCCACCAATCAGAACCAGCCAACTCAGTCGTCCGAGCATCACCCCACCATCCAACCCTAAACCCTATAAAAAGACCACACTTTCAGAGCTCGGGGCTCTCTGCATCCTGCCGCTGCGTCGGTAGAGGCAGGGAGATCAGACTCAAGTTTGAATAAAGGCTCTTTTGCTTTTGCATTGTACTCGGCTCCATGGTGGTCCTTGGGAATCTTGAAATCTGGGCATAATACTAGCCATCCCCAATTTAATTTTTTAAAAGACTACAGAAAAAAAAAAAGGTAGCTTTAAAGGCCAGTTTACAGTAAAGTATGACATTGTCCTCTTTAACAGACAAGCTACCAGGCTTCCCTTTTCCAGAAGAGGGTCCTACACCCCAGATGTAAACTCAGGATCGGGCTCTTTGAAACTTCCCCACTGGTGACTTGCTGCCAGATGCGTGAAATCAAAATTTCACGTATTCCTACAGGAAAGCTAGAAAGGGCTCAAGTTAACCACCTCCTCGACAGCAGTAAGACTCATATTTCTTGTCTCTCTCTCTTTTTTTTTCTCTCGGATATACGGATTAACTTTTAGTGAAAATACTATCATTATTTGTACCAGTTTTGTCCTTTTGCCACTGGGAGAATTTGGAGTTCTTGACGGTAAAATGGGATATAGAGGCATAAACGGGGTCCTTGGGCAGCTTTTCATAGGTCAACTGCATCCTGTTTCCACGTGTATTCTGTAAAGGAACACAAAAAATAAGATAGAAGTATCTTCCTCCAGAGAAATTTGAAAAGACACTCCATCCCCACGTGGCACTCATGAAAAGCAACCTCCCCATGTTGTCTAGGGATAGGGCACCAAACTACCAGCCCTGGTGGTGCACATTCCTTCTTAGGAAACCAGGGCCCCTTGGAGCTAGGGGAAGCAGCCCAACCATCCTCCATGCCCGACTCCACAGCGTGGGGTTAATGAGGAGAGCTCTCTGCACATCCTCGCTATGAATTTACATGCTGCTGTGGGCCACCTCACCCGCCACAGCTGCTGCCACTAGTAGAATTTGGTGACACTGCCCATAGATTCAGTTCTTGTGCTCTAGTCCCTTCCTGTGGCCCTGTATCTGAATCTCCCCAGGCCCATAAGCCGTTTCACACCAAAGCATGTGTCTGCTCTACCTGGGTATACGCTTTATTTTAGCTGTGTTGCTCAGTTTCATCTTCCTGCCTGTATTGGATTGCCATGCTCTCAGACGGGTTGTGGTTAAACGGAAAATCAGAGCCTTCATATAAAATGTAGGGGCCACCTCATCTGGGATGAAGAAGTCCAGGTTGGCCTAGGCTGAGGATAGCGAGACAGCAAACTCAGTTGTTGCTATGCTTTCTGTTTATTCCTCCGCATTCTATGGTTACACAGGGCCTTCACCAATCAGAAACAAGCTTCCAGGGGCGGTCCCTGATTGGTGGTGAAGAACACCCTTGGGCGTGCTTGGAAAGCTCCATTTATACGATGATAGGATGCTGTGCTGGATGATAAATTGCTTCATTAATGAGAATGACGTGCAGGAAAGGGAGACCATTCAGTATATTAGGGGGGAAAGCAATTAAATACCTGTGATTCTGGAATAGTCACTTAATATTTTTAAGAGGCAATTTCCTCACCTGTAGTTTGGATTATCAGGAGTTGGAAGTAGAGGGTTTCAAAATGTCCGTTCCTAGATGTGTAAAATTCTGTAGGAAAGAAGAGCAAGAGGGAAATGACCTTCTCACCACTTCATCTCAATGATGCATGCTCTTAACATGACTCATCACCGATGATGTTCACAATGATCTGGCCGAAGCAGTGTTCCCCAGGTTTCTCCACCATAAAACTATTTTTCCCCCTACCCCTACTAGGCTCTTCGGGAGCAAGTCATTAAGTGTCATCCGCACTCCAGAGGGCAGGGTGGGGGAGGATCCTCTCCACTTCCTGGAGCGGGAGTGTCCACATGAAGAGGTTGGAATTCTTTTGTGAGGAAGGGTGATCTTTTCTGTATCGATTCAAACATTTATATCAGTATGGACTTAGGGATATCTATTTTATTAACTTATAATCCAACAGTACATTATCCTGTCGTCCAAGTTGCTTTGGCCCAGTGGTCGGCAAACTCATGAGTCCACGGAGCCAAATATCAACAGTACGATTGACATTTCTTTTGAGAGCCAAATTTTTTAAACTTAAACGGTATAAGTAGGTACATTGTTATTAACTTAATTAGGATACTCCTAAGCTGACCTTTGCTAAACACACAAGGGGCCAAAGAGCTGCATGTGGCTCATGAGCTGCAGTTTGCCGACCACTGCTTTGGCCAGTGAGAGCTCTTTTAGGTTGACTTCCGTGTCCCTTTGACCTTCCTGGACAACCTCGCAAAGGCTTCCTCAGTCTTCAAGACAGTCCATGTGGTCACTTAGTCAGCATTCAATCTATTTTTTTGAACTCTCACTCTAAATGACATCCTCCTTCTGGAAACATATTTACCTGCAAATCGAACTTAAGTGAAACTATCACTGCTTAGAAGAGTGCCTGTTGAGAATATGCATCTTAGACCATCTTTCCTTTCAAGAAAATTGATCCCATCGGTCTCATGTTTACTAAAAACTCCAGTTACTTGCCAATAAGACACTGTCCTCGCGAACTGATTCTGCTCCACCAGCTTTGTTCAGTTTTTGGAAAGCTTTTGGGTCCATTACTAAGAGTAAGCCATCCAGACAAATATTTTTTTTCTGAAACTATGTGAGCAACAGAGACACACACAGTGAGTAAAGGGAGAAAAGCTTTAAAAACTACTCACAAAATTCCCTTTCCTTGTAAGGCTCACCTATGTATCAGGAAGTTAATAATTACCAGACTTAATGCATGTTTTAAAGGAAAAGGATGTAACAGGAGGCACATTGAACACACAAACATCCCATCCTATGTTAACTGCAGTCCCTATTGTTAGACAGACACCAGCAGAGCAAAGAGATGGGCCAGGAAGAGAAACTCACCGGGCAGAAAGCCCTGGGTGCCTAGTGAGGGGCAAACCCGGGAAAACAAGAACCTCGTCTCCAGGGTAACCTCTCCTCCCTAGCCTGTCACTGGTCATGAGGTTTAGACCCCCTGACCTTTTCCTCCCTGAAAATAACATCTAGGGCTCCACTGTATTTCAGCTCCAGGCCCAGAAAAGCAGCAAAACCAGGTAAGTGGCACCAAGTGACACCCTGGCTGCCTCAGGACCAGCTACAGTGGAGACCAGGACCCTGAAAGAACACATCTGGAAAACTGATATTCCTTTAAGACCCTCCCCTAAGATTTCCTCCTGCAAGGGAGAGAGAAATCAGTTCCCACCCGCTAAGGGACCCCATGAGACTTCCAACCAGGGGAGCAATGGGCATTGGCAGCTCGTCCTGGGCTCACTCCCTGAACCTGCCTCCGAGGCCCCCCTTTCTCTGACTTCCCAGGGAGCCAGAGCAGCCCAGCCCAGGCTCTCCTGTTGCTTCCCCGTGCCCTTGCTCGTTGCACTGTCCTAAGCACGTTTTTTGCTGCCATCATGGACCCAATGCCTTTGGCTCAGTGCCGTGTCGTCCTTCCCTTTGGCTATCCCCATCCCCCAGACCCCTTTCCTTAAATAAAGTCAGTTGTCTTTATTCAATGCCTGAGTTGGCTATGTGGCCTGCCCGAGCCTCACCGTGCACACGTTCAGAGTTCTAAGTACGTCTCTGCCAATCCCTCGCATTAGTTAGGTATTCCTGTAAGGGAGTGTCTGCGCAACCTTGAAGCTCAATTATACGCTTTAAAAAAGTGCTTACCTAATTGACAAACACGTGTCCCTATTGCCAATTTGCCATTGGCAATAGGGACTCCTGTTCTCACCGGACAGCAGTATCTTTGCAGTGACATTCTTGAAACAGCTTTAAAAGGTACTGTGAATTGCTTAAGTACAAAACATACAGAACAAAAGCATGGCTCTATGTAGGTGTTTGAACATAAATATATACCCACATTTATGTTCCGGTACACATAGGAATAAACATGTTTAAATCTACCCCTTGGGTCGGTGCATCAGAATAGTAATATAAATGTATTACTGCAAAACTCATTTTATGGCTTATTACAAAATAAATGCTCTGCTGCCACCAAAGTTGTAACCACAAGGGCAATGAGCTGGTCCTTGGAAGCATAATAACCCTACCTGTTGTTCAGTCCTGCTCTCAGAGGTATCCGTACGGAGGAAGGACTCACTCAAGGCTTTTTTAGGGAAGGGAAACACACGGCTGGAGCTTTAGCTTTTAGCTAGATCAATCTGAAAACAAAAAGTGCCTAGGAAAAGATAACAATCCATTTCACACTGGGGCGCATATATAAGAGGTTATACAGTATAGGCGCTCAAGGGCTAGTTTGAAGCCAGGAAGTCTGTTTCTGAAGATTTTTTTTTTTTTTTTTTAAAGGAATGAAGAGATAAGGAGCCATGGGTCAGACTGTTGGACCTCAAAGGGAGGATGGGGACTTATGTGCACTCATATGAGCCTAACCAGTGGTCAAGGACAATAAAGGGGCATGAGTGTGGGGGGGGTGTGAGGGATTGGAATGGGGGGTTGAGGACAAATATGTGATCCCTTAATTAATAAATTAATTTTTTTAAAAAGGAATGCGTCCTGAGCTAACAGTTTGTTTATAAACTTAAGTATAAAGAGCTTCATCAGAGCGGGGACCAGCTGAGATTGTGCGGGCGCTGCCCATGGGTCATAGCCCTCCAGGCCCGGCCCCTTCACCTATCCCGTCCCCGCTGTCAGGGCGGGCTCGTCCCTCCCCGGCCGGTCCCCTCCCCGTCTGCCCCGCCGGCCCGGCTGCCTGCTGGGACCCCGCACCTCCCCAGGGGACCAGCCCCCCTGCCTGCTGGGACCCCGCACCTCCCCAGGGGACCAGCCCGGCGGCCGGGAGGGCGCTCGTCCCGATGGCAGCTGCTTGCACAGACCCCCACGAGGCCAGCGGGCCGGGCTCGAGAAATCACTTAATTTGGGGGGTGGGTAGGGCAGTCCAGCGGAAAAACCTACCCCCTTAGGCCACATGACACATCCCTCCCCACCCCCCCACCCCGCTTATCCTTCCCGCCCTGGGGGAGGGGGACGGAGGGGCGACTTTGAACTGAAGGCACTGGGACCTCAGTCCCGCCCCGGCGCTGGGGGCGCGGCGCCAGCTCCCGCGGGGCCCTGGCCGGCACGGGCGGGGCGGCGGGGCTGCTAATAGCTCCCCGCTTCCTGGCTACGTGCGCGCCGGCAGCCACCGCGGGCTCCCCGCGCCTCCCGCTTCCCCTCTGGGACCCAGGGCGGGCCGCGCCGGCGCGGGACGTGCCGTCACCCGGGCGCCGCGAGGACGCCGCGCACGCGCAGCTCCGACACCGCCCCCACGGCGCACGCGCACTGGTGCTCCGCGGGGCGGCCCGGGGCCCCGCCCCCTACGGCGCACGCGCACTGGGGCTCCGCGGGGCGGCCTGAGGCCCCGCCCCCAGGTGGGCGTGCCCCGGCACCTCCCCGTGGCCAATCGGATGGCGGGCCCGCGCCGGTCCCTCCCCTTCCTCCCTCCTCCCGGGCCCGAGTTGCACGTGTGTGTGTGTTTGCGTACGTGCCGCGGCCGCGGGGCGGGGACCGGCGGTGCAGCCAAGGGTCAGGCTGCTGGGGCGTCCCCACCCCATCCCGCCGACTTTAAATTTCCCCGAGCTGGGGCGGCTGGTGCACACTTACCGGCCACTCTGCTGCTCTGCAAGCCCGACGACTCCAGCCCTCGGCCTCAGGCGGAAGATGCTGCTGCTTGATTGCAACTCAGAGGTGAGACCGGACCCTTTGTGTCCCGCAGGCGGAAGCCTCCAGGTGTCCGTCTTCTTGGGCGCGCTTAGCGGGGGTGACTGTGCAGGGAGCGCTGGGCGCTGCCGCCTCTGCAGGGCTGGGAGGTGTTCAGCCCGCGGAGGTGCTGGAGCTGCTCTCCTCCTGCAGGTGGGGAGTCTGACGCCTCTGCTGGCGGCCGGGGCCTCGGTCAACGCACCCCCGGACCCCTGCGAGCAGTCGCCTGTGCACTTGGCCGCGGGCGGCGGCCGGGCCTGGTTTCTCCTCTGGCAGCTGCAGATGGGCGCGGGCCTCAACCAGCAGGTAACCGGGTAACGGTTTCTGTGCGCAACCCTCCGCCCCACCCCAACCCTCCCCCCCCCCCCCCCCACACACACATTTCTTAGTCTCCGGGGCATTCAGTTCAGTTGTTAGAAACAGGTCTGTGTAGCGATGTCCAATAGAGAAATATACGAGACACGTAGGTGATTAAATTTTGTTTTGTAAGAGCCACAATAATGAAGTAAAAACGAAACATGAAATTTATTTTATAATTTAAACCAATTTATCCACAACATTAACATCTCAGTATAAAATATTACTGAGATAATTTACATTTTCGTATGTCTTTTCAATCCGATGTGTATTTTATATTTACAGCGCATTTCATTTCAGGCAAACCATATTTCAAGTGCTCATGAGCCACATATATGCCTACTGGCTCCTACATTGGACGGCATATATAGGTCTGCAATTTCAAAAGGAACACTTACTGTGCTATCAAATGAAGTTTCAGTATAGCAACTGAAATATTGGTGAGGCATGCCCACAACTGTTAGTTTTCTAGGTAACTTTTTGTTATTCCTCACCTGGGGTATGCTTTCCTTTGAGTTTTAGAGAGAAGAGAGGGGGAGAGACCTAGAGAAACATACCCATTGATTGCTTCCTGCAGGTGGGGCTTGGAAACTGGCTATTGAGCCAACTAGCTGGGGCTGTATATAACTTTTTTTGGTAGACTACATCTTCCATTGAACTTTAAAGTATGGTGAATGTTCAATTGCTTTTTTTTACTTCCATATAACTCTTATTTTTACTCACTTAAATTTTAAGGTTCAGTGACTGCACATGTTTTTACTAATGAAAGCTTTGTATTTAATAACATACCAAGAGGCCCTTATTTAAAAAACAAAACTTGAAAAATTCAGCCCAGTACAGTCAGGTCCAACTAGCTTCCTCAAACGACAATTAGACGTCATCCACCAACTTCCAAAGCAAGCATCTTGGGGGACTAACATGTGTTGTCTTATGTTTAAGGATGTGTTTGGCGAAGCTCCACTCCACAAGGCAGCCAGAGTGGGAAGCCTGGAATGCCTTAGTCTGCTTGTAGCCAGTGATGCCCAGATTGAGTAAGTGTTAAACTCGGTGGCTTTAAGTTGGATTAAATGAATCAAACTTCTGAAGCTTCATTACATGTGCTTTTTAAAAAGATGCTTGTTGCCCTAGCCCCATGGTCAGCATACTGAGGCTCTTCCACAAAATACCATGGCCTGGGCGAGTCTATTTTGAAGAAATGGAGTTAGAAGAAGCTTAAGTTTAAAAAATTTGGCTCTCAAAAGAAATTTCAATCGTTGTACTGTTGATATTTGGCTCTGTTGGCTAATGAGTTTGCCGATCACTGCCTTAGCCGGTTTGGCTCAGTGGATAGAGCATCTGCCTGCCGACTGACAGGTCCCAGGTTCGATTCCGATCAAGGGCACATGCCTGGGTTATGGGCTTGATCTCCAGTGGGGGAAGGAAGTGTATAGGAGGCAACCAATCAGTGATTCTCTCTCATCATTGATGATTCTCTCCCCCCCTATCCTTCCTCTGAAATCGATAAAAATATATTTTAAAAAAGATGCTTGTCTAATTGATAATTTGGTGTTATCATTTAAATGTTAACTCAGGCTGTTAATATCCGATACTATTCACTTTGAAGAAGTGAAAAGTGGATCCTGAGCAATCAGAGGTGGCAGAATTACACCTTAGTTTTGGTTTAGGAAAATCCATTCTATCCAAGTTCTCATGGACTTTTTTGGGTACTTACCCCTGTATTGAACACAGAATGCTCTTTCATTCATTCAAAACTGAAATGCCCACTCTGTGCTGGACTCTGCTAGCCACTGAGAACACCATAGGGAACAAAAGTGGAATTTCTCTGTGCTTCTTTCACCAGCCAACATTTTTAAGAGCCCAAAGCTCCTTTGTTATATATATATATATATATATATATATACACACACACAAACACACACACACACACACACACACACATATTTTTTAAAGGCTAAACACTTGTCAAGCTTTACTTAACTCGGTTTTTATTTTAAATTCAGTTTATGTAATAAGAATGGGCAAACAGCTGAAGATCTTGCTTGGTCGTGTGGATTTCCCGAATGTGCCAAGTTCCTCACAGCGATTAAACGTATGCAGACAGAACACCCAGGAGAACCGTCCCACAGAGACCCCTGTGTGCCAGTGCTCAGGCAGAAACGAAGTTCTGCAAGTGCAGGAAATACAAATGGGAAAAGGAAGTGTCCGTAAGTAACTCAGTTTCTTCATTCTTCCTTCCTCAAGGGTCTCTTATTTGGCACAGAAATTATTATTTCATTTAAATATTGGCAGTCTTATTTCCAGTGTGTCTTTTTCATTCTTATTAACACATTTTAAGATCGGTTCTAGTAATTACTAGTAGATTCTAGAAAAAACAAAGATTGTCTGCAGAGAAGGTTGGGGAGATGATCTGTTAAGAGAGACTTTAATGTGAACGTGTTTTTAACAGATGACGGGTCTGAGGTGTGATGAGGCCTTCACGTCGTGCAGATCTGCTGCTCAGCGCCAAGCCATGGCTTTCGCTCATCGGGCATCTAAAGTCCTTCTGAGAAGGAGGAGAACTTTCTTCTAAGTGAAGATAACATTTATGAATACATGTATTTACATGCGGACACTATTGTGGTTGCACATGCTTTGTCTATTGAGTTCTGAAAGGAATGTCTAAAGACTAAATTCTTTTTTTGTGTGGAATTTATAACCTTTGGAAAAAAATCAAGGTTAAACCATCCAACTACACACCAGGATCCATTTGAAAATTAAACTTATTTTTTATTAATAAATTTATAATAAACTTTACTACAGTCTTTTGAGTCCAAGATATCTATAATAATAAAAGTGTAATATGCAAATCGACCAAACAGCAGAATCGTCTGGACAACCACGCTATGACACCCACTGGCACCAGGCCAGCCAAGGCAGGTGTGATGTGATGGGTCACCCACAGAGGGAGGCCCAGGCCACCGACCAGTGGACAGCAGCGGCTGTGCGGGGCCTACCTCTTTGGGGTGATTGATCATGAGGTTCCCAGACTGCAAGAAGGCACAGGCCGGGCTGAGGGACTCCCCTGGGATTTCGTGCACTGGGCCTCTAGTTTTAAATAATGCTTGGTCGCTGAGGAAGACATAAGTTATAGTACGCATCCTTATTCCAGAAGTCTGGACCCTTCCATCCACACCAGCCCTAGATTGGGAAAAGGGAAAGGAAAACATTTTACAAAGTTACAGGATTATAGGACCAAAATTATAAAATTTTACCATCCTGCTCCAATAGGATCTTGGAATAAGACTCTTAAGTACCTATATAATTCAAGGATCCTAATTTGTATAAAGCATAGAAAAGTAATTTATTTGGATCCCTTTCAGATAGATAAAAAAAAATTAATTATACTATATCTAATCAGAAATCAGTAAAATAAAGAGAAGCTTCCTATGGTAACTATGGCTTCAAAGTCCACATTTTATTGATGTTAAGATGTACAGTTTTGCCATTCTGGCAGGCAGTGGCATGGGACAATCTAAGTGGCAGTCTGTTTACCTCTGCAGTCCATAAAAGACTGCTGTGCACCATACAGAGGCATCATAGCTGAGGAAATACGGTCGTGAGAAATCTGAGGTCGCCCTTTGAGTGGCATTCATTTCCCTCAGGCTGTAATCATTTCCACTTTCCATTCATGTCCTCATTCATCCTTTTCGCCAGCAGAGAAAATTACTCTCAAACAAAATCTCATTGTGAATATAAAAGTTTATCGAATTTCTTCTAGGGCCATTGATTTATTTTCTTAAAGACCCAGCTAACATCTTGTCTGTGTTGTATGACTATGAAATGAAAAGCTTTGTTTGATAAATATGTGTGAGGGGGCTAGCTAGGACTCTTAAAATACCACCGAGTGCGGGACAAGCCTGGTCTCCCTCCCTCCCTACCTAACTCGGAGGTTGCAGGGTGCCGTCAGGCCTAAGGTCAAAGATCAGACCTCCTCCCAAAGAGAGTGTGTTAGCTGACCCTTTAGTGTGGACGCCAGAGGTGCTCTTTAGTGTTTTTCTGATTGCAAAAAATAAGATAAACATTATAAAAATTCAAATCACCTCAAAGTAAAACATTAACCCCCTCTCCCCCCCAAGTCAGTCCTACTGCCCCTGCTTCCTGCTGTTAAATTTGATTTGTGGCCCGGCTGGTGTAGCTCATTGGTTGAACATCAACCTTTGTACCAGGAGGCTATGGTTCGATTCCCGGTCGGGGCACATTTCTTGGTTGTAGGCTTGATCCCTAGTAGGGGGCATGCAGGAGGCAGCCAATCAATATTCTCTCATCATTGATGTTTTTCTCCTCCTTCTTTGAAATCAGTAAGAATATTTATTTTTTTAACTTAGGTTTGTTTGAGACATGTTGCTATACACAATAAGCTTCTTTTTATTATTTACTATTTTCAGCAAAACTTCTAATAATTTTAATGTCCTAACATCTGTGTTCTTAATGATAAATAGGAAGGAAAGCTTATACTATCTCGGTTTAATCTTCCTGTGATCCTTTCACACATTTAGGTCTTCTCCAGGTAACCAGGCTCAGTTTTTTTTTAAGGGACATGTGCAGAGAGGGTGCCCAAACCAGAGACTGATGGGAGTAGAGGGGGAGCCGGGCTTTCCTTTGAGGGGACTGGCCGGGAATGTCAAGCAGGAAAGCTCCACAAGAGGCTAAAGCGGCAGAGGCAGGCCTTCCCGTGGCCCTGCTATAGACTGACTGTGTCCCTTCAAAGTTCATGGGTTGAAACCTAATCTCAATGCGATAGTTGGAGGTGAGGCCCTCTGGCGGGTGGAGCCCTCACAAATGGGTTAGTGCCCTCTTTAAAGAGGCCCCAGAAAGGCCCCTCATCTCTCCTACCTGTGAACACAGGGAAAACGACAGCTGCCTGGGAACTAGGAAGTGGGCCTCAATGGACGGCTTATCTGCTGACGCCTTGATCTTGGATGCCCCAGCCCCCAGCACTGGGAGAACTTAATGTCAGATGTTTATAAGTTACCCAGTCAGTGGTATTCTGTGTAGCAGCCCAAGCGGACTCAGTGCCTTAGATTCTTGAATCAAGTAAGAGTCAATATTTCTGCACTGATGGCCAGGCCTTGGCTTCATGGTTTCTTATATGCATTAATAGAGCAAACCCATTATTCTGTCCAAATCCTTCACAGCATGAGATTAAGTTATATGTAAATAGCTGAAAAGTAGTCAGTCCTCCACAATGTCCAGCATACTGTTTAGCTATTGTTCGTTAATTCTAAAATGATAAAGATTTTATACTTTCCTATTTCAAGGCACTGATAGACCTCAGTACATTTGTTTGTGCAAAGCTGAAAAATCTCCAAAAGAATCCATATGTGAGCTTTGTGCTCCGTTATTAAGTTCAGTAACTGAGAACATTTTTATAAACCTAACCCAAATGGTTCTTTTCAATTTACTTTATTTCCCTCTTATCGTCCCTAGCAAAGAGACAGTCATTCACCACAGCCCAGATGCCTCCTTATAATGAGGGTCACTGCCCTCGGTTTATTATCCGTCCTGTTAACAGCTACTGCGCTCTCCTTTGGCTCTGGCTTGTCTTTGCATCTAAATTTGTGTTAAACAGATACGTACCTTTTCCAAAATAACCTGCAGATCTTCAGCGCCTGTATAATGTGGATCTAAAATCAGAAATTTTATCTGCCCTGTAATCTCATTCCATGCGACTCCCAGTATCGTGTGGGCCAAAACTCCTCCCCCTGGAGAAGAGGAAATATGAAATATGAGAAGCATACATTAATGTCAACTTCCTTTTCAATTTTAAAAGATTGCTTTGCCTGTTAATTTATTCAACAGCAATAAATTTTCTAGCCTACATTGTAAAAGACCACAATGTCAAATACACTCTGGAAAGATAAAATTACATCTCCAAGATAGAAAAGATTCAATCATATCTATAATCAGAAGGCTTATGTTCCACTGCCATATCCATGGAATTACCTAAACTGGGTTTAGAAAGGGCCACAGAGGGTCTATTGGTAAACTCCTCCCAGCAGGCTGAAACCGGTTTTGCTCAATGGATAGAGCGTCGGCCTGGGGACTGAAAGGTCCCGGGTTCGATTCCAGTCAAGGGTATGTACCTTGGTTGCAGGCTCATCCCCAGTAGGGGGTGTGCAAGAGGCAGCTGATCGATGATTCTCTCTCATCGATGTTTCTGACTCTCTATTCCTCTCGGTAAAAAAATCAATAAAAATATATATTAAAAAAACAAACAAACAAAACTCCCACGAGAGAAACAGACACTGCTGTGTTCTACTCAGCAGAGGGTGTGCTGTCTCCAAGGAGACAGCCTCCACTCATTCAGTTCTTGCTATTCTGCTGAAGTCTGCCTTCCTCTCCTTCCTTCACGCCCATTTGAGCTTTTCCCTGCCATCACAGGATCCATCTTGTCCCTCACAGAATATGAATCTTTAGATTAACGAATCAGTCCTCTTGTTTTATGCATAAAGCCCAGATATTAAGCAATCTGCAGTAATGGAATCTGCAGTAGCGGGCCAAGTTAGTGACAGACCTGAGACTTAAGATGCTCAGGCCTCTTTTTCATGAAGCTTTCAGCTCCTTTAACAATATGCACACCTTTATCATTTATCTCCTTAGCATTTTCTTCTGGTTATTTTAACTTTTTCTATAACGTTCCTTCTGCCTTGCACATTTAAAAATCTCCAAAGGAATTTGGAGGTCAGTGTGTATGGTGTAAAAGCTCATTTTAAAGTGGTTTAAAATTACTGATTTTACGTGACAGTAAATACTTATACTAACGGCAAGTTTTTCATTCTCTCCACGCCACCTAGGAGCCCAGGATGTCCCAAACTCGTACCAATCATCACCGGAGTGCCTTCGCTCTGGAAGTGATTGGCCAGGGCCCGTCCTTGAGCGGCCATCTCCGAACCCTGACTGGAAAGAAACCGTTTTCTATCAGATGAATCATCTCTGACAAAGCCAATTTTGCTTTCTTTGGTTAAAAAATACACACAACCATAAAGCCCAGCCTGTGTGGCTCAGTGGTTGAGCGCCAACCCATGAATCTAGAAGTCACCAGTTGGATTCCTGGTCAGGACTGGATTCCCGGTGGGGGGCGTGTGGGAGGCAGCCAACTGAGAGTTCTCTCTCATGGATGTTTCTGTCTCTATCCCTTCCCCTTCCCCTCTCTCTCAATAAAAACATTAAAAAATAACACACAAAACCCCACCCATATGATTTTAAATGCAGCTAAGTGGTAAGGAACTGACTGAGCAAGTTAAAGCACTGTAACTTTTCTAAACATTTAAGGCCATTAGATACGCCAGGAAAGAAGCAAGACTACCCTGGTGCTTCATGTCTGAACTGCACAAAGGAGGTCTGGGTTTCTAACCTGAGATTGAAAGTGGTCACTTGGATACCCAGGGGGTCTTTTGGGTGGATTTATTTCAGGAGAACCAGTTTTAAATCCTGGGTGCTTGTCTTCATGCTGAGACTCTGAGTCTGTATTTCCTTATCTTAAATTGGGAGCTTAATATCTGCCCTGTCTACAGGACAGGAAGTCCAGGACTAAAACAGACAATGTCTGTGAAGCCAGTGTGAAAGGTAAAACATGTTTTCAAGTACAACATATTATTTTTATTATTTGAATTGATTTTAGAGAGCAGGGAGGGAGAGAGAGAGAGAGAGAGAGAGAGAGAGAGAGAGAGAGAGAGAGAGAGAGAGAGAAACATCCATTTGTTGTTCCACTTATTTATACATTCACTGGTGGTTTCTTGTATATGCCCTGACCAGGGATTGAACCCAGAACCTAAGTGTATCAGGACAACACTTCAACCAACTGAGCTATCCGGCCAGGGCAACAACATAATGTGTTTAGGGAATATTACAATGTTCTTACAATTTGTACTGTTGAGAAGACAAAGACGGCCAGATGAAGACTTTTTTGAATTGAGGTGTCAGGTGGTGTTAAACCTTAGCTCTTGCCTAGTAAGGAACTTAAGTTTTAATGTGCCAAAATCTCCACTTTTCAACTTTTAATCAGCTATACTTCACTACTTAGCCTATCATTTATTTGTTGGCACTGATTTCCACAGCCAATCCAGACTGCAATAGTGAAAGCAGATGTATTAGAGTACTTGGCTAAATGAGAATAAAGTTACTATATTTACAAGGTAGTGATAATAGAAAATGTATTTAAACATAAGCTCACAAAAGGAAGAAGCTAGTTATTGTCCCAGAAATCAATAGTATTGCCCTGGCTGGTTTCGCTCAGTGGATAGTGTCAGCCTGCAGACCAAAAAGTCCCAGGTTCTATTCCGGTTGAGGGCACATGCCCGGGCTGTGGGCTCAAAGCTCAGTAGGGGGCGTGCAAGGGGCAGCTAATCAATGATTCCCTCTCAGTATTGTTTTTCTCTCTCTCTACCTCTCCCTTCCTCTCTGAAATCAATAAAAAAATATTTTTAAAAAAAGAAACCAATAGTATTTAATTTAGATTTGCTCATAGCTTAATGTTGGGATTATGGTTAAGCTATACTGGTAAAAGTGAAATGACTATTCAGCACATAATTCCTTTATTAACATCTTAAGGAGAAAAAGTGCAAGAGGTAAACAAAAAGGTCAGTTGTAGATCAACACTTGATTTTCTCCTTTCAAGACTTTTTAAAAACTTGAGCACAAAAAACTTGATTTTTCTTTAACTACACTCAAAGTTGACATATATCCAAGTTTTTCTCCTTTCAGCTAAAATTAGGCCTCAACCATATAAGTATGTATTATATATCATAAACTCCAAAGTCTTCTGAAGATTAACTAAAAAAAAAAAAAAAAAAAAAAAAAAAAAATTAGAGTTAAAAAGTGATATTTACAAAATAATCAGACAATGTGGAAGAAGAGAAAGGAGTGAAAACAAATGTGGGGGAAAGACATAATTTTTCTGTTATTTTAATAAAACGATATGATGTCTTTACTTTCTCGGAGTGTCCTTACCTGACGAACAGTATTTTTGAAGTTATGCCAATCAGTTGGTTCAGTACCAGCTGTACCTCGATAGACCCAATCCACTGCCGTGATCCCACAAAGGTTGCTGGCTTGTCCCCGGCATCAACGAGAGCCTTTTTGTATTGAAAATACAAAGAAATCCATACACAAGACAGCTATTAAAGTTACACGTACGGCCTTTTCCCTGATTAGCAGGACACATTTTTCCTTCAAAACAGAAATCAGTCTGTACTATGAGTTAATAATAATTAATGGTACACTAAGGGCTACTGAAATGTACACGTGCTCGTCATGGAAAAGGGCATGCTCTGTACCTGCTGGATTTCTCTGTGTGTGGGAACGGGCCTCTCTGTGTACCCCTGGTGTTTGAACCAAGAGCAGATGGTCTGCAGCGACCGGTAGGCGCAGCCCCAGCCGTTGTCATCCATCCGATCCTGCATGTAATGATGGTAACCATACAGGCCCTGGACCACAGAAACCTGTATAAAGAGAATAGAGTCTGAGAGAGAGAAAACGTTTATGTAATAATCTACTAGAAAACCATCAAGAGGTACTGCTTGAGACTCTCAGTTTTGTATTTCCTCTTCTGCGATTCTATGCCTCACAGAGTAAGACTTTTAACTAGAAGTGTCTCAAGATTTCCTACAGAAGCACAATAAAGGAAATCAGATCACTGACATGCTGACTACAGGTGCATTTGTATGCAAGTAAGTGTGAGTGCCCAGCCGTGTCTCTATGGGAGCAGGTGGGACAGCTGTCCCAAGCGCACTCTGCTGGCCAGGCCTAGCAGTGGGCCCCTAACTCCTGTAGAGTCATATATTCATTTTTACTTAAGATTTCCTTACAGAGCACCTGGAGACTCAGCAGGTACTGAACAAATGCCACAACCGAATGGCCAATCGAGTTTCCTGCCGTGGGGATCTGAAGGTGCAGAGTGAATCGGGCAGAAAGAAGGAGGGTGTGAAGCTGAAACAATGCACACTGTGAGTAGCAACGAGGCAGTAGGAAAAGCTACAATAAGCAGCAACAATGAGGAAACAGCAGCTCCGAGGCTGAGAAAAGACAGAGTGGAGAGAAGGCACACAGTCGGGACAACAGCAGAGCGAGCAGCAGAGAGGTCACCACGGAGTCCGTGTGGGTCTGGGACTGAGGCAGCGGCTCTGTGCTGGGCGGCCAGCTGTGCAAACACTCCTATCTTGGACATCACAAGATCTTTTCTAATTAAAGGGACCTTCCCCTCGCTCCTTATTTCAGCAACTTCAGTGAAGATCTACGCTTTGCAAGCAGGTACATGCTGCACAGAAAAACACTGTAGGGTCTTAGTAGACTTCTGCTACAGCGCAGTTTGGATAGAATATGTCCTTAATTAGCATGATTTCTCAGGGTCAGAAGGGAAATAAAATTGGACAAGCTTATGAAGAAGTCGGGGGACGGGATTTCAGGCAGAGAAATGTAGTCCATGCTAGCTATTCCTAACCCTTTAGACCACTGTGAACTGCTGCTATCTGAAGCACTTGGTTATTAAAAGAAATGGATGATAAGTTACATTTTAGGGGTGACATACATTGTGAATCAATCCTTACAAACAAAAAAACGATTGACAATGGTGATCAGCTGACTCTCGTAAGGAATTATTAAACTCACCATACCAGTCTCCATGTTGGGTGGACTGAGATAAGCGTGTGGGTTTCTAATGTAACCATCTTTGTATGGTTCATCTGGAAAGTGATAAGCATTAGACCTTTTGAAATAAGGTCTGTCATGAGGCAGACTGAAGAGATCGTGTAACTCCTACAGGAAGTCAGAATCAAGAGGGAAAAACAGTTAAACGATTTAAATTTCTAGTAAATAAAGTCAAACTAAAGATACAAGATAGAAAATTATATATCAGTTGTGAAAATTATCAAATACACTTATGATTTAATTCTCTAAGGTCAAAGAGTGTGAGACAACTAAAACCAAACAAGATTTATTTTTGCTTAGCTATGTATGTGGGTAGAAACTGAGAGAGAACACAGAAAAATGAAAATAATTTGTGAAATGTGAGAACACTGAGATCATTTAACATTAACTACCTGTTGTAACACAGTCTGTTAAATTACATCCAGGATAAAGACTGGTTTTGAAACAGCCTTGTGAGTAAATTATAACTAACAATGATGTACTTCTTTTAAAAAGCCATGCTTAGAGAACTTAACAAATATAAGGGGTAGTGATTAAATTTCAGAGTAGAAATTGGTGGTTATGAAACCAACCTATACGGCACTGAGCTAAAAATACACGTTTAAAATGAAAAACATTCCCATTATAAAAATGTGTAACAGTTACTTTGAAAAGTTGGACATTCTCTTCCTCACAGCTTCTGTGCGCTCTGGCAGGGTGAGCGGATCATTAGCTCGGGGAGCTGTGGCCTCTACATATCACTTCCCCTAGCCCAGAGGTGGGCAGAGGGCTCCGTCTCTCAGGGACACGAGAGGGCATCTCAGCAAGAGACTCTGATGTGGCCGGACAAGGCCACACATAAGAGATGCGTTCCCTGAAGCCGGCCATTTTGTCAGTAAGCCTCATGGCTTTGAGTGCTGATCGCGTTTTCTTCAAAGGCCTCTAATAAGACAAAAGAGGTACTGGGACTGAGGCAGCGGCTCTGTGCTGGGGCGTGGGGGTGGGGCGGGGTGGAGTGTTACTGTCACTCCTAACTAGGGTCAGCATGGATCCTGACTGCCCTCCCCTAACTGTAATCTCTCACAATCCTGGGAGGAATGAAAGGGAAAGGAATTTATTAACACTCATCAGATTCTCTAAGGATGGAAGCACATTTCAATTCTTCATTTCATTACGGAAAACTGAATAGTTTCATAGGACATATGAACCACACTCAGCATATAAAATTCAAATGTTACATATGGGTTTCACATACTTTTTCACTCGAAATACTTAAAAAAAAGTTTCATGAGAACAGAAATGAAATAATATGTAAAATGAACACTTGGGCTCCACACTTTAAGATTACTAGTAAATCGTAATATAACTTGTTTTTTTAGAAGTATGTAATTAACTATGAAATGGACGACAGCCTGATTTTTTCCAAGAGTACCTGGCTCGGTCTCACCTTTCTGTAGGCCTGCAGCTGCCCGTCCGGAATTCCCGATGGATATGAAACTGTTACAAGGTTTTTCCTCCCCGGTAATAAAAAGTGCAGCGGCTCAGGGACCACAATGGAGGTTCCTTTCATGTATTTCAAAATGCACTTTTCCATATCAGCCAGCTGACTATGAACTGCATCCACTAGAAGTTTACGAACCCTGTGGGGAAAATATACAAGTGCATTAACAGAAGTTACAGTGGCTCTGATAAATGATAAATGAGTGTGGAATTAATACATCCCTAATGTGGTACCAAAACCCCCACTGGACTGGGCCAGGTTAATTAGAGGAAGTCTAACTTATAAAAGGTTAAATAAACTCTTGTTTCTTCTGTGTAAAGGGAAAACCTTATACTACATGTTACAGACAACCATATTTCCTCCAAATACTTAATTACCAGATGTCTCTTACTGAAAAACAGGGAGGAAGTCACACTGAAAACTTCAACCACACCCTGGATGTGCCTACATGAGACCTGAAAGTGGCCTCTGTCACGTTGGGGCAGGGTCCTCAATGACACGGGGCAGGAGCACTCTGGAATACCTACTTCCCCCAGGCTTCTTCGGGGGCAACAGACACAACGGCATCCACCGGCAACGTCATGGTGACGTAGTGGTGTCCCCCGATTTCTCTCTCAATGACGGGGGTCACCGCGGTCTGGGAGGTGGACATCTCCAACATGAGATCTATGTTTACCACCTGATGCTGTAAAGACAAATAGTCACAGTCAGCTTACAGCACGGTGAACACTAACCAAAAAAGGGCTAAGCAAAAGGACTTTTTAAGGACCGAAGCTACAGTAAGTCATTTAAACGTTCAAATCTTAACAAAAAATGGTTCTCTGCTTCAAAATAGCCTGAGGAGATGTGGCGGGTGCGTGGGAAGTAAAGAGGACGTCAGATTGACTGTGTGCTGATAGACATGAGAGCTGGTATGGGTTCACCAGGGTTCATTATTCTCTAGACTTAATTTAAAAAAAGGCAATGAACAAGACACAATAACCACACACTGAAGGAACTTTTAAACTATGGATGCCTGCTCTAAAGACATGGAGAACTATAAACAGATATTGAATTCTATTACCAGGATTGGTTCTGACTGGCATGGAAGGCGAATTCTGAAAAATACCATTTGTATATTGAACAAATGTAGAAAAACACTGAGGCTACTGGAAGCTGGGTTTCTCACAGGGAAAAGGTTAGGAACTGTGTGAGGCTGAAACAGAACTGGAGGAATAGACATGACTTACACAGATAAATATGAGTGTCTGTGTGAATATGAATAGTATGGGTTGTACATGTGCATGCTCCTCGGAGGAATGGCTGACTCCTGAGTTGGATCAGGGAGAGCACACGATGTGCCTGAACAGCTTGTGGAAGAAGGTAGGAAAAATAGTGTCAAAAACCGCTGGCGCTCGCTTGAAGAAGTTTCTATTGGTCAAATCTTGGAAAATGAGCCTCAAATAACTAATAACAGTAACAGATGATAACTCATTGCATAAAATAAGAATCCATGCTTCTGTGCAGATAACCCATAAATAAGGAAAAGGAAAACTCTCCTCATAGTCTTCCTGTCATCTAATACATATAACATTTGGATATGAAATGATAGAAAAAGCGCCACTTTGCAACTATCAGCTTAATGTTGGATTCTGGCAAAAAAGATCAGCTGATGCTAGAAGAGGTAGCATTTGATGAGGAAGAGGACATATATCGATACATAGTCTTGAATTATCTTCTCACGAGCTACTTCCTAATTATAAGGGGAAAAATAGTGCCTTCACAGTGGAGAAAAGTGGCAGATGCCACATTAAGTGGTTGAGGTTACTATCACCAACACCAGGGTAGCACATACCTCTTCAATCTGGTGTGCTAAGAAGAGCACAATATTATCTCTGTGGTATTCCCTCCAACAATGACAACCTGCATTTAATCAGGAGGAAGACTAAAACAGTCTACAAAATAGCTGACCAGCCCTAACCGGTTTGGCTCAGTGGATAGAGTGTCGGCCTGCAGACTGAAGGGACCCAGGTTCAATTCCGGTCAAGAGCAAGTACCTTGGATGCAGGCATATCCGCAGTAGGGGGTGTGCAGGAGGCAGCTGATCAATGTTCTCTCTCATCGATGTTTCTAACTCTCTGTTCCTCTCCCTTCCTCTCTGTAAAAAATTAATAAAATATAATTTAAAAAAATAGCTGACCAGTACTCCTCAAAATGTCCAGCTCCAAATATCGGTAATTCTCAAATAATTACTTACAGCCCACGATTTCTGTGTACACTTCAGATGGGTAAAACCAACAGCTCATGTAGACACCTCACTGGCATTTGAAACATGACCCAAACCAACCTCAACTTCCATTTTCACTCAAGCAAGAAATGGTCATCCCATATCCAGTTAGTTTCCGAGTGTAATCCATGTTATCCCCCAGATATCTCTCCTAGGCTTTCCCTCCTCTCTATTGCCTTAGCTGCTAGTGTAGTTCGGTTTCTCCTGAAGTGTCCCCGGCCCACCTCACCGACCTCAGTCCACCCTATTTTCCTCTACCAGTCTGGAGAAACAGGACAGTAAATTAATTTCACACAACTTCCTGCCTTGCACAAGTAGCTCCATTTTTTAAAAAATCTCCAATATCACGCAAAGTTTGTAGCACATGGCAGGCGGGTAGTCATTAGTATAGGTTCAAAAATCAACAGAACTAAGAACAGTATGAAGAAAAGTAAATTATCTAGTATCTCACATGGCATAATGTGTTACTGTCATGTTTCAAAATGAGTCCTTTTTATTTACTTTTAAATAATTTGTAAATGTGTTTAAGCTGTTTTGTTTTTGTGGGAATAAAGAAAACATTCAAAAGAGCTGAAGAGAACTATTATAATGGAACCAAAGTTTAGATATGAAAGAAGAGATATAATGCCTAGCATGTCATTTATCTTTTAAATAATTTCTAAGATCTCAACTCCAAATTCAAGGATTTAAAATGTTTACCACTAGGAAGGCAGATGATTTGCTTACCACATCTGGTAGCTTTTTGTCTTTCTTCCTCATGAATTTTCGTTTTGTATCTTCTTCCTGTTCAAATCTAAGTGTTTAACACACAAAGATGTTTAGAATATGAAATGACATTTTGGAAACATTCCTAGCAATCTTCAACCATACTCACTGGACGAAGCGCAGCAGGGTCTTACAAGCAGAGCTGTCCGTCAGTTCTCCTGGGATGGTGTTTGTGTCACTGTTAGGCCACACGTACACCGAGCTGTGGCGGATTCTGAACACCAGTGCATTCGAGGACAGCTTGGCTGACAGGTCACACAACACATGTTTTAGTGCCTTCTGGACAAAAATTTCTAAATTAAAAGAACGTAAATAGAAGTTAATGAGAAAAAGTTTTACACTTTTCAACATGAATGCTTCCAAACACACAAAAGTAGAAATCAAATTGGCTCCCAAATGTCCATTCCCCAGATTATTTCAATAATTATACAAAATTGTTGCCTTTCTTTTCAAAAAACTGAGGTAAAATTTACAGGCCATAAGATTCGTTCTTAGAATGAGTACAATTCAGGTGCTTTTAGTGGATTCACAAGGTTTTACAACCACCACTCTCTAATCCACAAGATCTTGATGACCCCAAAAGAAACTCTGTACCTACCAGCAGTCATTCCTCATCCCCCCCTACACTTACTAACGACAACTGCTAATCTATTTTTCGTCTTTACAGGTTTGTCTATTTTGGACACTTCATATAAGTGGACTCATGTATTACATGGCCTTTTGTGTCTGGCTTCTTCCACTCAGTACAACAGTGTTAAGTTTCATCTATGAAGCTCATCTGTTTTGAATTTGTACAGAGGAGTCCCGTTGGTGGTGGTGTTGGAACACGTTGTCTTAAGTTTAAATCTAAGTTACATAACTTACTAACTACATGGTCTTGGACAATACATCCTACCTCCCGCACAGTTTCATGGGCAAACTGGTGAGAATCTCGGTCTAGGTCATCATCAAGTTTAGAGTGAAAAAGGAGAGCTTTTTGGCTGACCTACCATTCGCAGTGGCTAGCTGGAAAGCTAGGTCAAGGCCTCCTCTGATTCTGAAGAGTATATCCACCGTCTCTGAAATCACCTGAGGCAGATGAAGCATTGTGAAACAAACAAACTCATCCTTATATAAACCCAAATCTGAATTTAAGGCCTTCATCAACCTTGTCTTTGCAAATCATTTCACGGATTCTTCTTTTTATGAAGAAAAAGAAAACGGAACAACCTAAATTCTAAAGCAGGGGTTCTCAACTTTTGTCCCACACCAGAATCACCTGAGGAACTTAAACTGATTAATTGGTCTGGGGAGGGTCTGGGCATAAGAATATTTGAAAAGCTCCCCGCACCAGTGATTCTCGTGTGAAAAAGCTGAGGACCACTGCTTTAAGACAAATTTCTACTTCTTTTCCTTTTCTTTTCTCCAATTGTGCCACTGAGTTATAACTCAGGGTGTGTCTTTACACACTGGGCTTAAAGCTCACGGCTTTTGTTTTAATATTGCACTTCTTCAACCCAGTTATCACAACGCATCGCAAGCCTGTTTCACAAGGCCAGGATGCAGATAGCTCGGCTAGTATCGAGTGCTGAGAGACCACGTTTCTACATGATAGTCAACAAGGGGCTGAAGGATGACAGGAAAACACCAATGGTAAAGAACAAGTTTAAGAAAGGAACAAAAACACTGAACTTGATATAATAATACTTGGTGGTCAAGATGATGAGAGGAAACTAAGGCATCACTAATGGTGGGAGTACGGGTGAGAACGCTTCCTAAGTCAATGTGGCAATAAGAACCAACATTCATGGAGCAGTGAGCCTGCATTGAGAAATTTAGTCTGAGGAAATCTGCAAAACAAAGATTCAGGTATAAGGATGTTAACCTAAATGTCAACAATGGCAGGCGGGTTAAAAAATTATGAATATTATACAGCCATGAAAAAAAAAATCATGCTTTAGAAGAATATTTCAGAGCATAGGTAAATACTTGCAACTTATAAAGGGGAAAAAGCACTTGTGAAGTGGAATCTACTACCAGTTCTTAATCTGGGTCCATATGCTGAGCTTAGGTAGCTGAAGATTTATGACCAATGACATGTGCCATTTTGTTGGGGAGAAGAGGAGGAGAATCTCGGGGAAGAGGTTTCAAAGAGTTCATCAGAGTCTCAAAACATTTCCCAATCAGGCTGACAAACCACACTACGTAGTCAAGAGTCCTAGTTTGAAATAAATGAATAAGTACAAACATTTACAGAGCTCTTAAAAATGTAAATGGCACGGTGCTGAATGATTGGACATATGTTAACTCCGATCCTCAGAAGATGAAGTAGGTACCATTACTATTCTTGTCATTTACAAACCTCTTATCACACTTTAAAAAGAACAACTGCTTTTATTTATTTCATAAACTGTAACCTGTTGAAAAGTCATAACCTTTCCCCCTATTCTACTTCTGGGAATTTATTCTAAGAAAATCATAAAGGAAGTTCAACGCAAATTTAGCTTCAAGGTTGTCTACTTATCATACTCTTGTTCATTATAGCAACGCTCCCCCCCCACCAAAAAAAAAAAAAACCCACCTAAATAACTATCAATAAGAGGCTTGTTAAATAAAGAACAACACTGCCCTACAAAACACGACGTACCCATTTGAGCAAAAAAAACGTTTAATGACAAAGAAAGACACTGAAGGAGATAAAAGTGAAAAAGACAGGCTTGAGCAAATTTAACTCGGTGACTTACTGTATGATTTTGCACAATTGAACTAACGACTCAAGACTTCGGTAAGACTGGAAAATTCTACAACTTCATGGGATGGCTGCGAAGATTCCATAAAGGGTTACCTGTGAAAGCACTAGATGCTCCCTAGACTTCTGAAGAACTATGATGTAAGCCGAGATCTGCAGGATGGGCAGGAATGAGTATGAGCAATTCCAAAGGAGAGATGGGGGTAGGGGTAGCGGGGCGCGGCCCAGGTTGGGGAAGGCCTGCTTAGAGGACCAGGTAAGAGACTGGGCAGGCGGTCAGACGATGGTGACAAGGACAAGGATGGCAAGAGTCCAGAGTGAGAATGGACAGCCATGGAGATGGGACTCCATAGAGCTTCCTTACTGTTCAGGAGCTGAGAAAAGGGAGATAGAGGTCAGGGACGCCATCCAGGCTTTTGGATGCAGGACAGGGTGGCACAGGTAACGGAGTGGGGTCCCTGGAGGGAGAGCGGGCGTGGGGAGAGAGAGGTGAGCTGGAAATTCGTCCCCTGAGAACCTGCTGAGGTTGAGAAACACGAGCTATCCACGTGCAGCTGTGGTCAGCAGACGGAATAAAAGGAACTCGGAATAAAGGGCTAAGCTGGAGACACACATCTGGGAGGAAGCGCGGGGGTTGGAGAAGCGGGTCCCAGACGGACACCGCCACCTGCAGAACCAGGGGCAGCAGGACCCGGAGGAATCACACGCGGGGGGAACCGGAAGTGTCACATCCCTGTTTCTAAGGGAAGCGAGGATGTGAAGAAAGTTAGTCATCTTTCCAAGATGCAATCCTTCTTGGAAACCTTCAAAAACGCCGAAGAATCCGTCGTCCTCCCAAAATGCATTCGCAGGGAGGAGGCGCCGGAAGCGCGGGTCCAAACCCGGCCGATCTAGGGGAAAAGGTCCTTCCGGCCCCAGCGGGGAGGCCGAGGACCCGGCAGGGCGGCCCGAGCCACGGAGTTCCCCGCAGCTGCCATCGCGGGCCCCGGCGGGACTGGCTCCTCCATGGGCTGCGGGGCCGCAGGCGTGGCGGCCACCGAGGTCCCAGGGGTCGGAGGCGAGCAGAGGTACTCACCATGGCTGCGACGTGGCGGTGACGGAGGCGCCGACGACCGCCCGGAGCCTCAGGAGGAGGCTGGTCCGGAAGTGTCGTTATCGAGGGGCGGGGCCTCGGAAGGAGGACTACAACTCCCAGCACGCCCCGCGGCATGCGTCCAAGGGTGTACCATTCCACAGTTCCCGGAGGATAGATAATGGGGCGGAAAGCTGAAGTCTTGTTGCAGTTCATAGTGCAACAAAGCGTATTAAAACCTAAAAGGATACTCTTTATTGGTTGAGTTGTCCGTGTCCCAACCCATGCCTAAGTCTTTCCGCGTGTTGCTCAATGAGGGTTCGAAGTCTCTATGTGTCCCCCTCAGCGTCCTTGGAATGGATTCTCCCGTCCCCCAGGCAACGCGTCACAATAAACACCTGCAGTTCGCCCAGCGCGCTGCTCAGCGCGGCGAGGCGAGGTCTCGGCGGCGATCGCGTGCTTCCCAGGCGGCTCGCAGCCCCGGGCTCTCCCGCAGCTGAGCCGATCTGGTCTGGGTGGTCGGACTGAGTGTCCTTCTGAGAGGTGACTTGGTCCTCGCAGCCGCCAGGTGTGGGCCTTTAGATACCCACCTACTCTGAGTCTCCGTGGGAAACCTTTCCCCTCCTCACGTTAGCCTGAAGTTTCAGCCCCTCCTGCACCCACTCCCCACCCTCTCCCGCAACTCCCCACCCTCTGCTACCCCCTCCACCACCCACTCCCCACTCCCCACCCCCAGGCACCTTTCTCCATCCTTTCAGAGAGAGCTTGGCACGACCTGCTTGTGTTATACTTATGTTCAGCGGAGCTCTCTGGCGCAGCATCTATGCCTTTTAAAAATCTCGGTTTTCTGAGCTCCTATCGAAGAGCCTTACCCAGAAGAGGGGTTTGTAATGAATTTGCTAAATAAACGAATAAAGGATTTTGTAAATGTTGCTCAAGAAGAGTTAAGTCGTGGAAAGACTCACTGCAGGAACTTCTGTTTTCCCTCTGTTGTACCAGGTGCTGTGCGAACACTGGGAATTCTATATATTAAAACCCTAATATGCAAATTGACCGAACAGAGGAATGACCGGTTGCTATGATTGCACACTGACCACGAGGGGAGTAGATGCTCAATGTAGCTGCCCCCTGGTGGTCAGTGTGCTCCCACAGGGAGCACTGCTTAGCCAGAAGCTGGGTTCAAAGCTGGCAAGCGCAACAGTGGTGGCTGGAGCCTCTCCTGCTTCCACTGCAGGCTGTAGGGAGTGAGGGATCCTGGACTGTGAGAGGAATGTCCACCTGCCGGCCTACGGGCCTAAGCCGGCAGGCGGACACCTCCCCTCACCCTCCAGGAGTCCCAGGCTGTGAGAGGGCGAGGGCCTGGCTGAGGGAACCCCCTCTGAGTGCATGAATCTGGTGCACCAGACTTCTAGTATTGTGATAAAAACCAAGCTCAGACCTTGATTCCTGCCTCTGTAGAGCCAACAAGTGTGTGTGGTAAGACAATTGTTAAAGGATCCCTACACGTGGATGTAAAATGATAACCCATTAGGAACTATGATGCGGGCATGGGAAGAGAAGCACACGTGGCTGCGATAGAGGGAATTACAGCGATGAATGAACTAAGTAGTTCGAAGGTTCAGTGTTAATTGCGGGAATAAAAGGGTTTGGCATGGTGAAGTACTAGTAACCTGCCTGAAGTGTGGATTTTTGTTTGTTTTGTTGTTCTTTGTTTTTATCTTGGTTAGAAATTTGTTCTCTCCCCCCCTCTCTCCCGTCCCCCCATGAAATTTGGAAAAAAAACGCAGGACCTAGAGGGTAATACGTGTATGTGCTGTGCAATCTGAAAAACGGAGTTCTAATTTTCAGTACGAGGGACAGTGCAGTACCCTTAAGTCAGTTGATATAAACCAGTGGTAGGCATACAGCGGCTCGAGAGCCACATGTGGCTCTTTGGCCCCTTGAGAGTGGCTCTTCCACAGAATACCACGTGTGGGCGCACACATACAGTGCAATTGAAACCTCGTGGCCCACGCGCAGAAGTCGGTAATCGGCCTGGGCGAGTCTGTTTTGAAGAAGTGGAAGTGATGGTCACATGTGGCTGGTGAGCCACGGTTTGCCAACCCCTGACCCCAACCGAAAACACCTTCCCTAGTGAATTATGCCTTTTAAATCTAGTTTGCACTCAAAGGAAGGATGTGTTGTTTGCACAGTGTTCATACCTCACTAGAAATTATTACAGTCTTATTTTTATCATTTACAGAAGCTGACTGGCAATGCAACAAGGCCATCAGATACACGTTGTAATTTATGGATATTTCACCTGGAAAGGAAAAGGGAGGGCTTTTGAATACCACCAGCCTTCGCCCCACACAATAGGTTCTTTCCCCACTTAGATTGGGCCTACTGCTTTGTAGAGAACATCCACTTTCAGACTGAAGGTCATTGAGACTGAAATTTAGTGATCACTGTTTTCCTGAACATTCCCTCCTGTACATGTCGTTGCAGGGTAGGCTTGAGCTGTCAAAGAAGTAGCCCAAAGGAACCTTTTGAGGTTACGGATACAGGCAACGCCTCCAGGAGACGCCACAATGCCTGGCGAAGGCGGGAAATCGGATATGGAGAGGATTGGCCTCTTCAGTGAGATGGAATATATAACTGTTGGTGACAAATATGTGTCACCATTTGATCGTAAGTAGACTTGGTTTTCTCTACAGCCTAAGTGTGGGCATTTTCCGTATGGAGATTTGGTTAAATGACATTTAAATTTACTTGTTTATCCAGAGAAACACGAACACATCCATTTGTTATTCCATTTATTCACGCATTTTATTGATGGATTCTTGTATGTGCCCTGACCTGCCATTGAACCTGTAACCTTGGCATATTGGGATGATGCCCTAACCAACTTAGCTACCCTGGTTAGGGCCCAAATGATATTTTTAAAATTAGTTCTAAAGTTGAATAAACCCGAGAAATTGCAATAGAGTTAAGAGAATTTCATTTTTTTTGCACTACCCTGTCTTTAAGTATTCTCCTTGTAAGTAATTTTGTTTCTTTCCAAGAGTTCATGGCAGTTTTCTCCAGGATATGTTGGTTTTAGCCTTTTCCCCTTAAATGGGACAGTCTACTATGCAAATAGTGTTTACATTTGTATTTGAAAAGGCCATCTATTGTTCCTTCTTGAAAAATAAAATGCTAAATGAGTAGCCCGAGGATTTTTTTTTTTTTTAGAAGAGTTATAAATAAGAGCTAAAGTAAATAACCATTTAAAATGTCTGTTAAATTTTTGGCTATTAAATGACCTCTAAGTGGCAATAAAAAAGAATACATTGATATGAAACATCTACCAAGGTATGTTATTAAATACAATAGAAATTAAGGTGCAGAATAGTGTATATGGTATGCTGAACGCTAAAAATAGAGAGGAAAATATATGAAAATATGTATTGGAACATGCCCAATACTTACTTCTTTGGGAAACACATTTTTAAAAAATATATATTTTATTGATTTTTAACAGAGAGGAAGAGAGAGGGATAGAGAGTTAGAAACATCGATGAGAGAGAATCATTGATCAGCTGCCTCTTGCACCTCCTACTGGGGATGTGCCTGCAACCAAGGTACATGCCCTTGACCAGACTTGAACCTGGGACCTTTCAGTTTGCAGGCCCACACACTATCCACTGAGCCAAACCGGTTTCTGCGGGAAACAAATTTAATATCATGATTGCCTGTGGGAGAGGAACTGAGTGGCTAAGAGTGGGGGAAGATTTATTGTACAAATATTTATACTATTGCATTTGGAACGATGTGAATATATTACTTTTCAAAAATGTAAGGTAAAATATCAGTAATACAAATTCACATTGAAATAACTAGTTGATTTAAGGATTGTTTGCACTTCAAAAAATACTTTACATCATGAAAGGACTTCTATAATTAATCCAAATTATAAAAGAAGTTTCAAATATTTATAAAAAGTCTTTCAAGAAATTACAGGGTTACTGTTTATTTAATTTGTTCTAATGATGGACATTTGAACTATTTCTTGTTGTTTTTTAAAAATACATGTTTTTATTGATTTCAGAGGGGGAGGGAGAGGGAGAGAGAGAGAAACATCAATGAAGAGAGAGAATCATTGATTGGCTGCCTTATACTGAGGATTGAGTCTACAACCTGATGCTCTATCCACTGAGCTAAACCAACTAGGCCAGAACTGTTTCTCAGTTTTGATTATTATGATTGAATTGCTATGAACATTTCGGTTTATGTCTTTTAGTGTATAATGGCACTCATGCGTCTTGAGTATATACCCAGGATGGAAATTGCTTCAGTGTGAGTGTGGAACATTCTCCACCTTAACCTACTCTCTCTCTCTCTCTCTCTCTCTCTCTCTCTCTCTCTCTCTCTCACACACACACACACACACACACACACACACACTCATACACACCACTCTCTCTCTCTCTCTCTCTCTCTCTCTCTCTCTCTCTCACACACACACACACACACACACACACACACACACACACTCTCATACACACACACACACACACACACACACACACAGTTATTGACATTTCACACATACTGTTTCTCAGTTATGTAGATGGAAAGCATTGGATTAGATAATCTCTAACGTCTCTTCCGGTTCTGAAATTCACAGTCTACAACGTAACCCTCTTAGGTCTTATTGTCTACACAGCCTTTCACACAGACTTTCAGTGGACATTTGAAACCAGTTTTAGGCCTCAAGACTTATTGGCCCATGTCACATTTTGAAACTTTTCTTTTGTTATTTTTCATGTTCTTTTATTACCAGTGAGCTCAAAATCACCATCTTCCTAATGTATTTTTAAAGGGCCATTTAATGAAGCTGCAAGCAAAAATAAACAGATGCTACCTGGGGGATCCAAAGAAATGTCAGACCTCCAGCCAGGCTACTTTGAGCCCCGTTTTGTAAGGATTTTTGAAGGTGAAGGTTACGCAAATATGAATCAAATGAGAAGAAAGCGTATGATGGAAGAATCCAAAAAAAATATAGGCAAAGCTTTCCTCCCTAGTAGCGGAGACAAAAAGTCGTAAGTGTTTGGGGGAAAACTCTTGAATACATCTGCAACTTTCCTCTATCTGAAGTTAAGAGTTTGTTTTTCCATAGGACTTACATATATATGATTCACTTTAATATCTCTATATATTATATATACAATTGATTTTTTTTACAGAGAGGAAGGGAGAGGGAAAGAGTGTTAGAAATATCAATGAGAGAGAAACATCAACCAGATGCCTCTTGTACACCTCCAACTGGGAATGTGCCCGCAACCAAGGTACATGCCCTTGACCGGAATGGAACCCGGGACCTTTCAGTCCGCTCTATCCACTGAGCCAAACCGGTTAGGGCTATGATTCACTTTTTATAGTATGATCCTTTGGTTATTTTGTCTTAACTGGGGATAGTTATACTGGAAGATTTAAGTTGGCAGGTATTTTTTGCTAAATTGATTGTCTTTATCACATTAAGTTTGGGATTATTTATGTTACTGTCCTCTATTAGTTTATTTAATAAAGGCCAATTAAATAATGAAAATAAAGTTGGAGATGTACAAGAGGCAGCTGGTTGATGTTTCTGCACATAGTCAGGGAAAAATATCACCTTGGGCCATCATATCTGTGCCCTGGCTGTTTTTTCTATTTTTAAAAAACTTTTACAAAGTATTGATAAAAAAAGTGAAATTAGGAGAAGCCTTTTTTTTTTTTTTAATAAAGAAGTTAAATCATCAAAGATATGTTAAGAATCCTTTACATGTAATATGGTTATTTTACCCTTTAAATAACTTTTTCCTATTTTTAAGTGTTCCCCCCATGAATGTTGATCTCTTGTGGTTTTAATTGGAATTGCTGCCTTGATCCATTAGATTATAACTGCGATTTTCCACCTTTTTCATCTTATGGCAAACATAAACTAATTACTAAAATTCTGCAAACAGAAAAAAGTATTATATTTTATGCCAGTTTGACAAAAATAAATAGGTATAATTTTTTGTGTTAATTCTCACCTGAGGATAGTTTCCCCATCGATTTTAGAGACAGATACAGGGAGGGGGAGGGAGAAACATGGATGTGAGAGAGACACGTGGATTGGTTGCTTCCGGCATGCCCCCCTCTCCTTGTCACCTGCTACTGGGAATTGACCTGCAACCTAGGTATGTGCTCTTGACCAGGAATCGAACCCAGATCTTTCTGTGCACAGGCTGAGGGACACTGGTCAGGGCAAAATAGGTATAATATTGATTCATTCACACTGGATGGCTATTATTGTGTTGGCCAAACGTCTATTTTTTAATTTGACAATCTGAGGGAAAAGAAGTCAGTGTCCCTGTCTAAGTAGTCAGATTGTATATTTTAGTGCTAAATACAGCACACCACTTGAAAATTGCTAGATTATAATATTCATTTGTCAGTCAAAAAATAACATTTTTGCAGTTAGAATAATTTTTCTTTTTAAATCTCCGAAATAGGAGAAAAAAATCTGTAATTTAGTGGATACAGAAAGTTTTCAAAAAGAGAGATTGGTAGTAGAAATAAGAAGCCGTTATACTGGTACTTACCACCAAATTATGGGACCACAGGCATTTAATAAATCTTAAATGTACTGACATTTATTGCTTCATTAATAAATTGAATTCTACTTAGATTGTGTCTGTGGATAACTGACCTTTTATCTGCAATGTCATTGATTTGTCTCCTTATATTTTATTTTATGACATATATATTCAGAAGTATCAATTAATAAAAATGAGTATTTTCTCCTAATGGAACCTTTATTGGTAGGTCAGAGATAATATCAGTAACCAATATTGATGTCTTTCTAGACTTAAAAATTTTTAATTCAAATGTATAACCAGTGTCAAGTTTTGATGATGATAAGGTTTCATTGGTCTTGGATGCCATTTACTGATTATTAAAAATTGTTTACTTCATTGATAACTTGGAAAGTAGAGGCTATGACTGTTGCTAACATTAGTTATCTTATTGTGAAAATTTTATTAAAGTTAATATTTGTTAAAATAAGGAATTGGGTGGTAAATAGCTTAATGATTAAATATATATTGTGGGTCCAGAAAATTTAACATCAAAATTTAAAAAATTTGTTAATTTTTTTCTATAATAATTAGTATGAGCCCAAAAGAAGAAAATTAGCAAAATGTCATGAGATTCATTATGCCATCAGCAGCAGAAACAATATTCATATGTTTTGAAAGTATAGTTTCCAGTGAGTGGATGGTCAGAAGTTGGCCATTTATTAGCTACTTTGTCATAGAATACCTAACCTCACCTCAACACACCAGAAAGTCTATTTATTATTATGGTTAATGAGGTTAATAGAAAGTATTTTAACTTCCTAGAGGTTATAAATTTTGTTTATGTGAACATTTAAAATCAGCATAGCCGAAACCGGTTTGGCTCAGTGGATAGAGCGTCTGCCTGCTGACTGAGAGGTCCCGGGTTTGATTCTGGTCAAGGGCATGTACCTTGGTTGCAGGCACATCCCCAAGTAGGGGGTGTGCAAGAGACAGCTGATCGATGATTCTCTCTCATCGATGTTTCTAACTCTCTAGCCCTCTCGCTCCCTTCCTCTGTAAAAATCAATAAAATATATTAAAAAAATAAAATCAGCATAAACAATAAAAAATTCATCTCAAAATTTGTCTGAAACATAGAGAAAATTGGCTTAGGAACTATAATAAAAGTTTTTTTTTTCTTATCAAAGTTAAGCAAGTCAATTCCATTGCATAGGTTTTGCTCCTTTTTCAATAATTTTTACACATTGTGCTAAACTATATATAACATTCAATTGGCCACCTAATTAACCTGCTCTGTGTTTTTTGTTTTGTTTTTTTTTGACTGTAAGATGTGGAGTAGGAAGCTACTACGGAACCATAGGTGGCCCAATCCCATTTTTCAGTGCACAGGCTAAACCCAGAGAAAAGTATGAGGCACCTGGGAAGAATTTATACACAAGCCCCGGAAAGAAAGGAACTGGATATGGGTAAGATATAAATGATATAAAAGATTATATCATTTGTGTTGAAAAAAACGGTAAAATTTAAAATTCCTGAACTTTGAAGTCACCTTTACTTATTTTCTTTCCTTAGCTATGCCAATGTTACGATAGGTAAACAGTTCACACACTCTGCTGATGCCTATGATGCAGCAAAATTAAATTATAAGGTAAAATAATCTACTTCAGCTTTTTTTTCAACCTTTCTCATTTAGATGTCTTAGAGAATTCACTTGGGATCTAATGATGGTTTGTTTTGTTTTCCATGTTTGTATTACTTGGGCAATGGCAGGCAGGCTGATGTTTATGAATTGTGATAGTTTTACATTTCATTTTAAAAAAATTGTCTACAGTTTTACATATGTCCCCTCCTCCCCCCCAGCCATTCCCCCACCGCCCCAGTATCTGTGTCCATTGGATATGCTATATGTATGCAGACAAGTCCTTCGGTTGCTCTCTAACTCCCCACTCCCCCCACCCCCACCCTGCCATTTGTCTCTGGATCTATTCTTGTTCATCAGTTTATGTTGATCATTATATCCTACAAATGAGTGAGATCATGTGATATTTATCTTTCTCCAGTTGGCTTATTTCACTTATTATAGCATAACACTCTCCAGTTCCATCCATACTGTTGCAAATGGTAAAAGTTCCTTCTTTTTTATAGCGGTGTAGCATTCCATTGTGTAGATGTACCACCGTCTTCTAATCCACTCATCTGCTGATGGGCACTTAGGCCGTTCCCAAACCTTAGCTATGGTGAATTGTGCTGCTATGAACATAGGGGTGCATATGTCCTTTCTGACAGGTGTTTCTGGTGTCTTGGGATATAGTCCTAGAAGTGGGATTGCTGGGTCAAATGGGGGTTCCATTTTTACATTTCATTTTTGATATCTCTCCGCTCTCTCTAACTAGCTGTGGGACGTCTGTTAACTCAGCCTGATCAGATACCTTCTATTTTGAGTAGAGGAGCCATATCCTAGCCCTTAGCCATGTTCCCACTACAGCCAAGTAGTGGGAGTACCACTCCATTGGGGTGAGTGATGGAATGGAGGAGTGATGGAGAACATCCAGAAAGGGGAACTAGAGAATGGATGCATGCCTACAGAAGAGAGGGTGAAAGAATGGGGAAAACTCCTCACTTCATTAAAGAGCAGAGATAAACACTGAACCGTAACTGTTATACATCTTTTGCACTTACTTTATACGATATTTGACGTGTAATGAAACATATTCACTTCTGTGAAGAACGCCTACATGTAAATGGAGGAACCCTTATACGTTTTGGAAAAATATCAACATAATTTAAGAATAACAACATAACTTAAAGAGAGCTTGTAGTAACAAAAAGTCAAATTAGTTAGATATACCACAGTTTTTTAAATGTATCCCACTCATTTGATGTAATGATCAATATAATTTGATGAACACATTAGTACACACTTTTAAAACATATTTTATGGATTATTTAGTTTATATAAAATTACATATAAACTGCTTTTCATCTGTAGGAATAATAATAATAATAATACATAATATATGAATACATGTGGCTCAGTAATTAGTCTTCCTCCTAAAATTTATGGGTATAAGATACTTTTCTTCCCTCACAGTAGATGGAGCTCTTTTGTTCTTACTTTCATAATTTATTATTTATAAGTGAGAAATCTTGGATTTCCTAAAATAAATTCTGGAAATAATTTTTAAAAATGTACCATTGCTTTTTCTTTTAGAATTTTAGAGATTACTCCACTGTTTTCTTGCTTGAATTGTTTCTGACAAGGTATCTGCTGTCAGTTTACTTTGTACTGCCTCTTTTCCCTCTGGTAACGTTTAAAATTTTCTTTATCACTAGTTGGAGCAATTTGATTATGATGTGCCTTGGTTTAGTTTTCTCATGTTTCTTATGCTTGGGGTTTATTGAGCTTCTTGGATCTGTGGATTTATAGTTCTCATTAAATTTAGAATATTTTCAGCTATTATTTATGCAGATATTTTTGCTGTTTTCCCTCTCCTCCTCCACCCTCTCCCTTACTCTCCCCTCTCTTCTCCTCTCCTCTTCTTCCCTCCTTCCCATCTCCCTCTTCCCTCCCCTCCCCTCTGATTTGCTTGGGTGCTAGGTAGCTAAAAATATTTTAATATAAGCATGTTATAATGTAAAAAGTAAGTATTCCTCATTCTCAGAAGTAAAACTGATATTTACGAAGAGCCTACCATATGCCAGGTACTTTAGACATAGAATCTCAATCTTTACAGCAGCATGCCTGGGGGTGGGGGTGGGTAGTGGGTATTATCCTCATTTAGGCTTGAAAATGTGGCACTGAAAGGCCCCAGAGTCCCCAAGAAATGCTGAAAAACCAGAGGGAGTTAGAGTTTGAACTGGAGACCAATCTCTTGTTACCATATCATATCACCCAGAGAGTTAATAGAGATTTGCTAAGATGACCAATAGGTTTCTATACCTCAAATAAAGTGATATCCAAAACGAACAATCATAGTTGATCTTGTTCATAAGTAAGCATGTCTTCAGTTATCATAAAAACAGAACACAACAAAGGAATGTTTGAAAAATGTGAGCCTAGCAGTGTCTATTTTAAAAATCTATGTGTTTCTATTAAAATGTGAAAGAAGATTCGACTCTCCATTATTATCAGTCAGAGTAATTTATGCTACATATTTCTAACTCTTTGATTCACAGAAAGCGAATGAAGAGCACCATCGTTTACTCAAAGGGGGGCCTTTCAGGTTAAACCTTTACCCAAAAGAATATTTTGATACCAATCCTTATTTTTCTGAGATGTCTTTACCTCCCATTAAGAAAGTAGAGAAGAAAGAAGTAGTCCCAAGCCCCTTTAAGCCCTCTTCCCCTGGTAAAAAGGTAAGTTAAGAGTTTTAGAATGAAAACATATTAAGTGTTTATTATTATTATTATTTTTTAATATTAAGCATTTTAAAGAAATAGTACCTCTTGCTGTCAAATTGTTTTATTGCCCCAGTAAACAATAAACTTTTGTTTTGTAGTCACCCCAAGAATCATGAAACCAGTTTTTAGAAAGTTATGAAAAGTCATAAAGGATGGCCAGTGTGTGGGAATAAGGAAGCTCTTACAATGATTATTAATCAGTTCACATATAGTTGAGCTTACAGTTGATTTTTCTAAGGGCCTCTCTTGAGCTTATAGTTTTTCTCAAAACCATAAAAAGCCAGGCCATCTTTTAGTTTTTGAAATGAATGAGATGAATTTTCTCACTTTGCTGAAGTTTACAAGCTTGAATAAAAATGGAAATGCTTCTTTTAATTTATAAACCTTGGTTTTATACATTTTCCTCCTTCTGTGAATTGCCTGTTTACTTTTCCTGCAGATTTTCTAGAAGGATATTTGTAAGATCTTTTTGTATGCTAAGGATATTGTTCTGTTTTCATCTGTGTGTATATATATATATATATATATATATATATATATATATATATAGAATGTTTTCCTTTGATTATGGTATTTTGTGCTATTCAGAAATTTAGTAATTTGATGCAGTCAAACTTAAGCATTTGCATTTTAATATAAGAGAACTTTTAGAATTATAGTGTCTTAACCCCATGAAATTGCTGGTAGGGAGACTTTTTGCTGGTACCTGAATGAAGCTATTAAAATAGACAACTTTCTTTAAATGTAAAACCAATTCCATAGACAATACAAAATATGTGTAAACTTCACCATCGGATATTTTTAAGAATCCTTTTCCAAAACCACATAAAATGGTTTCATTTTGATTTGCAGGCTGGCGGAATGAAGGCAGGAACATTTGATCCTTACCCTACACATTCTACTGACCCATATAGGGCTAAATCGGAAAAAACCAGCAAAATTGCTAAGGTTTTCCACCCCCCAGGCGGACCAAAAAGCAGACCAATCGAAAGTATAATGACTTTGAATGTCAAAAGGTAGTATTCTGTTACATTTACTTCCTCAACCAAGAACAATGGTTTTTAACTTTCAGATTTCCTCGAAACCATGTCTTTGATTTGTACACACTTTTAAAAATGACAAATTTGGGTGATTTTAGAAATCTCAGCTCTTTCCACATACCTTCCCTTCCTTGTAGAAGTTATTTCCCATCTGAAATTCCCAATTGAAAAAGCTTAATTTATGTACCAAACTATTCTGTCCATAATTTTTTAAAAATCTACTACTTTATTTTTTAAAAATATATTTCATTGATTTTTTTTTTTTTTTTTTACAGAGAGGAAGGGAGAGGGATAGAGAGGTAGAAACATCGTTGAAAGAGAAACATCAATCAGCTGCCTCTTGCACACCCCACACTGGGGATATGCCCATAACCAAGGTATTCCTTGACTGGAATCAAACCTGGGATCCCTCAGTCTGCAGGCCGAAGCTCTATCCACTGAGCCAAACCGGTTAGGGCTGTCCATAATTTTTAAAGCAAATCTGAAGCATCTTCTTACAAGTCACTGGAAACTGCTTAGGTATTTATTGTCCAGTTAGCTGCACATGTTAGCACTGTTCTCAGAGAGAGTTTTTGACCCTTGTTATAGGCTCTCAGAAGAATCCTGATGACACTTAACGTTTCTGTTCTTAACTTTGAAATAATCTCTATTTTATGAAAACTGGAAATACTCCTCTTCCTAGGAAAAAAAATGCTATTGACATCAACCTGATAAAACTTTGAGGAAAAGCATGTTATGAAAGTATCTTAAAATTTCAAAGTTATCCCGGTTTTGAGCACTCTGAAAATTGAGAAGTTCTCAGGAGCTCAGAATATACATTAGAAAATGGGTTTCATTTGTATGTGTGTGTGCAATATCATAAAGAAGTAAAATAATTCATTTCTATCTGTTCACTGAAAATGTTTTAATGCCAGTGAAATGAATTCACGTATTTCTGACTTCAGTGCAATCCTGTGGTGGATTAGATAAAGGACACCAAATTCATGTTCTTTCATAAAAGACACGAGCAAGTACTCCCTATCATTTGTAGACGGTGATTGCGACACCGACATTATTATTACATCACAAAAATAGAATTGCCCTTTCACGTTTATGTAATTTAACTGTGTCTACAGGAGGGTTTTCTGAGTCCTTTTCTATCCAGAGCACAGATCTGAGAAAGTCCTGTGTGTGCCCTAGCGAATATGTTTGGACAGAAAAGAGCAACTGAATGTTGCTTTGAAAAATCGGAAGTTTATCTTCTGTTTAGTAATTTTGAGTTTATTGAGATTTCTTTCTTTTACCTTATCCCAAATATTACCATAAATCAAGTTTAAGCTCCTTTTACCCTAATTTTAAAACTAGTAAATCTCTGGATCATAGTGCTTAAAATTGGTCCCATAAATCAATCTTTCCTTCCTAAATGACATTTAAAAAAATTTTTTTTTTGGTTTATTTAAAGTGAAGCTTTTTAATTTGGTGAGGAAATGTGGTTTTGGGTTGTTCATTTTTTAAATTATAAAACATTTTGATAAGAATCTACAGATACATTACCTGTACCTATACAATTAAATGGACGTTTATTATCTAATTTTAGGGCATTGAATATGAAGAACTACAAGAATACTTCAATACCATCCTTTTAGACTCTGGAAGACAAGTAGCTTTCATTATCAAGTGCAAATTATTTGAAAAAAATATAAGATGTTGTAGGATAGATAACCCAAACATTTAAAAGTTATTTAATCCTACCACTCTAATACTCTTGTCTTAGTAAGTACTATTAATGAATAAATATCATTTGCTGATAATTTGATTGCTGGTATGTGTTTTTCAACCCCCCCCGCCACCCCCCCAATATATTTTATTTTATTTTTTAAAAAATATATATTTTATTGATTTTGTACAGAGAGGAAGGGAGAGAGATAGAGAGCTAGAAACATCGATGAGAGAGAGTCATCGATCAGCTGCCTCTTGCACACCCCCTACTGGGTATATGCCCGCAACCAAGGTACATGCCCTTGACCGGAATCGAACCCGGGGCCCTTCAGTCCCCAAGCCGACGCTCTATCCATTGAGCCAAACCGGTTCCAGCCCCAATTTATTTTTTATTGATTTCAGAGAGGAAGGGACAGGGAGGGATAGAAACAGCTGTGGTGAGAGAGAATCATTAAGCAGCTGCCTCCTGTAGGCCCTGCACTGGGGATGGAGCCTACAGCTGGGGCATGTGCCCTGACTTGGAATCGAACTGTGACTTCCTGGTTCATAGGTTGACACTCAACCACTGAGCCAAGGCCAGCTGGGCTGGCATGTGCTTTTGAGAATATAATGTTTAGAACTTTTGTACAGTTTTGAAATGTAGTGTCTCAACCGAAAGTTCATACTCCTGATGTGAGAAAGGGATGTGGGGGAGGGGAATGTGGAGACCGAGGAGGGGACAAAGGACACAGTAAATTCTTAAACTTGGTGAAAACTGGATGGGTAGCTATCAAGTGTCAGCCTTTGAAAGCATTCCCATTCAAGATAACTAGGGATCCATTCATAGTTCATAGAGTCACTTGCGCTTTATACACTGAGGCAGATGTCTCCGTTTCTGGGGCGCTGTGCCTTCCATTCATGACCTCTGAAGCATCACCCAGTGCGGCCCCCGGCTGAGCGGGGGGAAGGGAGCACAGGGGACACACTTTACTTCATTATTTTATAAAACTGACAAGCTGACAAGGCGGATGGAGGTGGTCCTTGGTGTCCTCTCTGCCCCTCCCCTGGCTAGCGGTCCAAGCTGCCTCCCCTGGCCCCCCCCCCCCCCCCCAGGCCTGCCCTCTTGTTTCCAAGTTCTCTCTTCCGCACTCGCTTTTCAAACTACCTGTTGTTAAAAGATACAATTCAAACACATCACTATAATTCACCATGTGGTCTATCATTAGTCCTCATTGATTTTAGGGGCGGTGTTTGTAATATAAAAGAGAAATTTACAGTATCTATTGATGTAATGCATCGGGGAAGTTTGTTTTTCTTTCTCTTCCTAATGATCTTTATCCCTTCTTTTTTTATTTAAAAAATTATTTTTTAAAAAATTATATTTTGTTGATTTTATTTTTATTTTTTTAATTTTTTATAGAGAGAGGAAGAGAGCTAGAAACATTGATGAGAGAGAAACATCGATCAGCTGCCTTCTGCACATCCCCTATTGGGGATGTGCCCGCAAACAAGGTACATGCCCTTGACCAGAATGGAACCTGGGACCCTTCAGTCCGCAGGCTGATGCTCTATCCACTGAGCCAAATCGGTTTCCGCTTAAAATTTATCTTTATTGTTGAAAGTATTATAGATGTCCCCTTTTCCTCCTTGGCCATCTTGACCCACACCACCCCCGCTCAGGCCTTCACTGCACTATTGTCTGTGTCCATGGATTATTTCCCTCTGAGATTATCAGTCTGTTTCATGTTTCTATGTCTCTGAATCTATTTTGTTCATAAGTTTATTTAAAAAAAATATATATTTTTATTTATTTCAGAGAGGGAGAGAGAGAGAGATGGAGAGAGAGAGAGAGAGAGAGAGAGAGAGAGAGAGAGAGAGAGAGAGAAAGAGAGAGAGAGATAAAAATATCAATGATGAAAGAGAATCATTGATAGGCTACCTCCTGCAAGCCCCCTACTGGAGATCCAGCCTGCAACTTGGGGAATGTGCCCTGACCAGGAATTGAACCCTAACCTCCTGGTTCATGGATGGACTTTCAACTACTGAGCACAACAGCCGGGCAGGAAATTATTTTTGGTTCATGGTGCTTTCTTAAGCTTGTTCTTCTGCCATCCTAGGTTTCTCAGAATTGGAAGTCAGAATGCACAGAGGCTGCAGTACTCTTTATTTGGATCCATTTTTATCCCAATGGGGGAAACTGTGTCAATCCAGGTATAAATCTGGCTTTTAAAGGGATTGCAGATGGCACAAAGAACTCTTATTGTCAAATGTACACATTTGTATTTTCTTGCCTCATAACTGTTTACTCTTTTCTAAAAGAATATTTAAAATTATTTCCTATCCAAAGTATAATGCAGATTGAACATCTAAAAGACATTATCAAGGGTATAAATGTAACTCAAAGGGGAATACGTGTGTCTTCAGAACGGGAGTCGTTTTAACAGGAGCATAAATTGCATAAAATTCATACAGTTGAACATTGATAAATCTTACCCAACAGGTATTACATACATGTTATTTTGAGAGAGAGGCTTATAATTTCAGGTATTAGTAAGACCTAAATAATTGCTCACTTTACCTCTGCCTTCATTAGCTGTAGCTTTTATTAATGTGCCTCTCCTAGCAACGCATACTTTGTGAAACATTCACAGGTGGGAATCTGTTCCTAATTAAGATTTTTAAGATGATGGAAGAACACACATACATACACTTTGTTTGAGGGTGATTTATTTGTGATGACCATTGACTTTTTTTTTATTTTTTATTTACCATTACTGACTCTCCTTTCAATTTTGAAAATATAACATTAGGTAGTTTCTTGTAAAATAACTTTTCTTCCCCAAAGTCAAACACGAGGAATTAAGACACATGGTCACTGACATCTTATCTCTTGATGACTGGAGCATCTAGTGATATGCGGGCCCATTATGATGCCTGTATGACTTCAGTAGCTTTCTGCATCCACCATCAGTGAATAATGGAAGAAATAAGCTTGCTTAGAAGCCATTGATGTCTACTATAAGTCATCCAACCATACCATTGTAAGACTCAAAATGGAAACAAGGATTGAGGGTGCTAACCTGTGCAAGAAAGGCTTAATTTTAAGAGACTTTTAGGTCAACAAGAAACTCCACTGGGAGAAAGTTAAGCAGCAGCACATCGTATCTTCTGGAAGTCTTACCTTGCGTCTTTAGAGGCTGATTTTTGAACAAAGCAATGTAATTGGTTATACTCTAGTGAGACTGACAAGGAAAAAAGAAGTAACCCCAAATTACCAATGTCAGAAATTAAAGATGGGATGTCACCAAATGTCCTCTGGATATTACAAAGATAATAAGGAAAATTATAGACAACTGTATGTCAATACATTTGAGAACTTCTATGGACAAGATTATCAGAGCATACCAATAATCAAAGCAGACTTAAGAATATAAAATCTGAAGTGTTCCATACCTAATCATGAAATTTGTTTTGTAATGTAAACCTTCCCATTTGGGAGACGGCAGGCCATTTGGTGAATTCTGTTATGTATTGAAGGGAGAGATAACGTCAATAATGCCAACCCTACATGAATCCTTTCAGAAAACAGAGGAAAAGGGAACACGTTTTATGAGGCCAGATTTCCTTGGTACCAAACCAGATAAAGACATTAAAAGAAAAAAGGAAAAAAAAAGATAGAGACCAATATCTTTCTGAGCACCAAGAAATCCTTAACCAAATATTATCAAATTGAACCCAAGAGTGTATATTAAAAAGATAATACATGATCTAGTGGGGTTTATTCCAGCAATGCCAAGTTAGTATAATGTTCCAACATTAATCAATGGAATTACCATATTCACAGATCAAAGGGGAAAAAGACACTTCAATAAATGCAGGAAAAGTACTTGGTAAAATTCAACAAGTTTATGTAACAAGTAGTCTTGGGAGATATAGTGTCTTTCTCTGGAGCAAAGAGCAGGTTTGCTTTTAGCCTTGGAAGCTAGAGTTAGTGACTCTGTGGAGCAGGGGCAGATATGCTAACTGACCTGTATACTTAAGGTAATGTTTAGAGCAAAGGACAGGCATGCTGACTGTACTTATACAATACTAGAGGCCCGGTGCATGAAATTCACGCATGAAATAGGGTCCTTAGGCCTGACAGGGGGCCTTCCTTCTTTCTGGCCACCCCCTGGTGGTCAGTGCATGTCATAGTGAGTGATCAAACTCCCGGTCTCCCAGTTGAACTCCTAAGGGGACACTTCATATTATATATATCTGGGTTCCCTAACCTCAGAGCTCTCTCTTGCAATAGAACTGACTTGTGGTCCTTTTCATGCTGTTTATAGGAATTGGGCCTTGGAGAACCAGTGCAAAAAAAAAAGCTAATATTCTAGCTACTGCTGCTGCTGTAACAAAATGTCCTTTAGCCAAGACCGGTTTGGCTCAGTGGATAGAGCGTCGGCCTGCAGACTGAAAGGTCCCAGGTTCGATTCTGGTCAAGGGCATGTACCTTGGTTGCGGGCACATCCCCAGTAGGGGGTGTGCAAGAGGCAGCTGATCGATGATTCTCTCTCATCGATATTTCTAACTCTCTATCCCTCTTTCTTCCTCTCTGTAAAAAAATCAATAAAATATAAAAAACAAAAAACAAACAAACAAACAAACAAAAACCCAAAATGTCCTTTATCTCTGACCCAGGTGTCTCATGAATTCCACTAGATCTCATGAAACGGTGAGGCTACAAGTTGGGTGACACCTCATACTGTTCACAGTTCTGAAATATATATGTAATATGTACTATATAATATACAATGTATAATATATAACACGTAATGTATAAGATATATATAAAATTCCAATTTCTAATTAAAAACTAGTCTACTGTAATAAATTACAGAGTAAATGTAGTCATATATAACGGCAAATTAAAATTATTTTGTAGACAAAAAGTTCTTGCACAAAGGATGTTGAAACATTGATTTTATAAATTTATTTACATCTCTTGGATGGAAGCAATTGATACAGTTTACTTGGAATTCCTGGGAAGAAAGAAGAATTTGTTTTAAGGTGGGAGTGCTGCATATACTTCAGAAAAAATAAAAATAAAAAAACCCCCGCTCCCTCCCAAAGTTGCTTTGTGCGTAGACAATGCATAGAATATGAATAAAATAACATGAATTTTATAAAAAAGAGCAAAACCTCTAAATAATTCTACTATATAATAAATTGGATACAAATCCTACAAAACTAAATTTTATTCATCTTAAAAGTTCCCTTCTTTTTATTTTTAAATATATATATATTAAATATATTTTATTGATTTTTTTTTACAGAGAGGAAGGGAGAGAGATAGAGAGTTAGAAACATTGAAAAGAGAGAGTCATCGATCAGTTGCCTCTTGCACATCCCCTACTGGGGATGTGCCCATAACCAAGGTACATGCCCTTGGCCAGAATCGAACCTGAGACCCTTCAGTCCGTAGGCTGATACTCTATCTACTGAGCCAAATCGGTTTTGGCTAAAAATATATTTTTATTGATTTCAGAGAGGAAGGGAAAGGGAGAGAGAGAGAAACATCAATGATGAGAGAGAATCATTGATTGGCTGTCTCCTGCACAACCCCCACTTGGGGTCAAGCCCTCAACCCAGGCATGTGCCCCGACAGGGAATTGAACAGTATACTGAACCTGCTTTATAGTTCAACTAGAGGCCTGGTGCACGAAATTCGTGCATGACCTGGGGGGGGGGTGTACCTTAGCCCAGCCTGCACCCTCTCCAATCTGGTAACCCTCGAGGGATGTCCAACTGCCCGTTTAATCCAGGACTGCTGGCTTCCAACTGTTCACCTGCCTGCCTTCCTGATTGCCCCTAACTGCTTCTGCCTACCAGCTTGATCATCCCCTAACCATTCCCTGCCAGCCTGATTGCCCCCAACTTCCCTCCTCTGCCAGCCTGGGCACCCCTAACTGCCCTCCCCTGCAGGCCTGGTTCTCCCAACTTCCTTCCCCACTGGCCATCTTGTGTCCACATGGGGGCAGCCATCTTGTGTGTTGGGGTGACGGTCAATTTGCATATTACTCTTTTATTAGATAGGAGGATGCTCAACCACTGAGCCACATGGGCCTGGTGAAAAAGTTCCCTTCTTATTACTATCCTCTGACCAGTGCCCAGTAGGCTAAAGGAATCTGACTTCCTACGAATCCACCACAATATACATACCTTTCAATTCAGGAGCTACAGGCCGATTCCTGGGATCAGTGGTGTCTCTGTAAGTATCACAGTTGTCAAAATGGAATTTCTCCCTTCTTGGCAGGTAACCCATTTTTGATAGGTCACCATGCTGACCGCAGATTTTTTGAGTTAGAGTTAAGTATTCTCTCTGAAGGTTCCGCATCTCAAACTCCAACGTGTCCCGCTCATTCTCAATACTCCTCACATAGTTCTCTAAAAGTACTTTGTCTTCTGCAAGCCGACTGATGCTGCTTTCAAATTTTATATTTTCTTGGCTGTGTTTTTTTAGCTCTTCTTTTAGAATCTGGTTATCTGTTTTAATTTCCATGACCATTTTTGATAACCTCTCACACTCGTTGCCCATTTCGGATAAACTGTTCTTATAAATACTTGCTTCTGATTTTGCACTTTTTATTTCGTTCCGGAAATTCTCTTCAGTAGTAGAGTGGTATGTTTGCATGTTCTCAATTTCTCTTTCCATCATTTGCCTGGCAGCAGCAGATTCTTGTAATGTGGTCGCAAGACTAACTTTTTCATTATTGACCGTTTCTATGATTTGAAGCAGTGCCTCTTGTTCAGATTTTGCCAATCTCTCTCTCTCTTTCAGCTGCACCATCTCTAGCTGATTTTCTTTCAGTTCATTTTCAAGCGAGCTTTTTTCCGTTAGGAGCTGGTAGGTTTTCTTCTCTAACATTTCCCTTTCATCTTGTATCAACAGAATATTTGTTTTCATTGATTCCATTTCTATGCTCATTCGATTATATTCATTATTGACCATGGCAATATCATTTTGAGTTTTCTGCTCTTTACTTTTCAGTTTATCTAATGTTTCTGTCATTTGTTGTTTCTCCAAAGAAAGTTGACTATTTTTTTCCTCTAGGGTTTTATTTTGTCCTTGGAGAACATTATATTGACTAATTAGTTTTTTCAATTCTTTAATACATTCTTTGCCATCTTCTTCAGTTTTAATTAACTGGGACTGAATAGTGTTCTTTTCTTCAACCAGATCCTTAAGTTGCTTTTCATATATTTCAATTTTCTGTATCAGAGATTGTGTGGTAAAGACTAGGGGTTTTATTTTAGTCTTAAGGGCTAGATTTTCATTCTCCAGCTCTGCTACTTTTTTCTGTATCTGCAGAGATTCCTTTAGGTAATTCTGTAAGTACTGAATTTTTGCAACACACTGCTCAGTCATGGAATTGACTCTGGATGTTTTCTCATTTTCAAATATGATGGGTCCTCGTTTTACTACAAGTGGTTGCCTTTCTCTATCGTTCATTTCACATTTTGTTGATTCAAAGAATGATGGTGTAAATGGAAGTCTGGAATGGAATTTTAAATCTGCAGGATTCTTGTTAGTGATAGGAATTTCTTTATTGTTTTTCTCATTCCTCTTTCCCCTATGTGATTCACTCCTAGACAGTTTTTTACATTTTCTACAAAAATTCAGATGGAATTTTGACACTGATTCCCTGAGTGGGAGTAATTTGCTTATTAATGCCTCCAATTCTAAAATTCGCTTTGATTTTATATCTTCATTCAAGTTACTTTCAATATTTTCGCCCTTAATAAAGTTACTTTTGTCCTTGTGAATGGGGGACAGGTCATATGGAGTATTACTTTGAACATCTGTATCCATCTTCAAAGTCTGAAGTTCATTTGTGAGTGCCAGTTCCCTGTCGTGTGACGTTTGAAGCTCTTTCTTCATCTGCTTGATAGAATGGCAAATATCATCTAAATTCTCATGAAATCCCTGCTGGGGGAAAGGCACAGCAACTTTGGAATTACCCAGAATTACTGGGTCAGTTTGAGGCTTAACATTTTGAGGTGCATCAGCTAGAAAGCTATACATGTTATAATTCTTCAACATGTCGGAATTTTCTGATGTGTTCATAATTGTGTTGGAGGCTGAATTATCCATTGAAGTTCTTAGAGCTAATATGTCCTTGAAATGCATCGGGGGTGGCATAGTTACACATGGAGAGAGACTGTCGCCATTATCGCTACGGAATTTCTCTTCCCTTGAAGGGAGCATCCTCGAGTCCTCAAAATGATAAATTTTCTCCACAGGGAGGATCTCTTCTTGATTTTCTGTAGGCTAATAACAATAAAAAGCACGCTGTAAATGTGCTGTCATTTGCCACATGGTCCAACATACTAAGATAACATGTTGTGGAGGGGTTATTTTTGCAAGCAAACGGACATCTTAATCACATGGACAGCAAAGAAGCCCAAAAAGTGTGATTCATTTCTTCTAGGAAATCTAACAACAGTTGAGATCTGTCACTCTGGTCTTTGCAAATTTCTAAATTTGCTTGAGAAAGTATACTTATCCCCTTCAGGGGTGAGATACATGGGCCAACCCCTCAATGTCAGAAATAGACATTTAACCTCTCTCGAGAGACCATTGCAGATGGCTGGGAAAGATAGAAGCAACAGGCCAAATGGAAGTTTAAAGGAAAATGGATATTTCCACTTCTCGGCTATTTGTCTCCCTCAGCTATGCATCCCTAGTTCCAGAAGATTCTAGGGTCGTGAGTATCCTGAAAATGTGAGTGCTAATCAGTATAGACACAGGGACAGTGATATGGACCTGACCTAGCGCATTCACCCCGCGTCTAGGTCAACCCTAAAGTAGAGAAACTCAAAAGTGGACAGAGAGGCAATAACAACTGCCTGGCATTTCATTTGCTTGGGAATCTTTGGGCATCTGGACTAAGTTAAATGCCCTTCACACACGCTCCTAAGGGAAATGGGAGGTTGCAGAAGTATGAAGGTAAACGCACGCCTTTTAGGGTTTTCAGGACAGGAATTTCCTTCTTTTCCTCTCTGACAATCCAGTCGCCCTGTGAAGAAGTTAAAGATGAACTGGTTGTGGTAACATTTTTGAAATACCCAACTGTAGAATGATTTTTGTACAGAATAACATACCTTTTCATGATGTGTGTTGAATACTAGACTTTTTTCTGAGCTAAATTGTGGGTTTTCTACTTCAATAATACTTTTGTTCAGTATTTCACTGATTTCAGACTGTACCTTTAAAAAGATAAATTGAGAATGTTAGAATTAGACTTCACGTTTATAAACTTATGACTGTCCAGGTAACTTAATTTCCCACATGTAAAAATTCTTTCCCATCACATAAAATGTAAGTTAAACTTAACTTATTGTAATCGATATCATTAAAGATATCTTTAATAAAGTGATCCCCTCAATACGTGATCATAAAATTAGAAAGACTAAACAGGAAAAAAATAAAATCGTATGCAGTATATTCAAATAGTTTTAGATGTTTGACTTTTACATTGTTGAACGCATCCGAGACCTTTGACCTCTGACATCAGAATGGAACCTAGTCTGTCACCCTCAGGAGTTCTATCTTCTCTTCCCATTTCCCTGCAATTGCTTTTAGTATAGGAATATTGAGTCTTTAGTGAATAAGTGTTGTGCTCTGCAGCCCCAATATTCACACCCAAACCTCCTCTTCCCACTACCCTGCACTCCTTCTGGGCCAAGTCCATTCAGGGCTGGTGACACTGACCCCACCTCCAGCTCCAGGCGGTAGGTGACTCAGCGCTAACCAGTGGGAGCATTGTCTTCCTTGGCACGTGATTGGTTCCAGCTCCTCCTATGACCGGACCTGGGCCAATCAGAATCAGGCCGGGACCTCAGTAGAAACTGGGAAGAGGGAAAGGCATGGTCCCCTCTCTGTCTGCCTGGGATCTGGAGAGAGAAAGGTGTGGGACGCCTAGCAGCCCCTCCATCACTGTGTGGAGCCTGAGGATCCATTGCTGTGACAAGCTCCTTGATGACCTGAGTCCTGATCACGTGACTTCAACCTTCCCCGAGTGAAAATCCCTAAGGTTTTCAGTTACCCCAGCTAGTTCACTTTCTCCCTTAGTCATTTTGGGTTAAATTTTGTATTATTATTATTATTGTTTTTTTAAAATATATTTTATTGATTTTTTTATAGAGAGGAAGGGAGACGGATAGAGAGTTAGAAACATCGATCTTCCTACTGGGGATGTGCCTGTAATCAAGGTGCATGCCCTTGATCAGAATTGAACCTGGGACCCTTCAGTCCACAGGCCAACCCTCTATCCACTGAGCCAAACCGGTTAGGGCTATTATTATTTAAAAAAAATATTTTTATTGACTTCAGAGAGGAAGGGAGAGAGACAGAAACACCAATGATGACAGAGAATCATTGACTGGCTGCCTGCTGCCCACCTCCCACTGGGGATGGAGCCCGCAACACCAGTCTGTGCCCTTGACCAGAATCAAACCCAGGACCCTTCCGTCCGCAGGCTGACACTCAATCCACCGAGCCAAATCGGCTAAGGCAGATTTTGTATCATTTATAATGAGAGTCCCTGTCTGTAGACTATATATAGTCAGTCCAAACAAACAAACAAACAAACAAACCAGTTAGCGCTATTTCTTTTTGTCTCATATCCGAGTATATATAACGGAATATAGTTTCCCCCAAATGCTGAGCCTAGGAATGTTGTGGCCTCTGGTATATTCCGTTCTGTGTTGGCTGATCAGTTGGCCCCGGGGTCCTCAGGTATCAATGTGGACGATCGATTCTGTTGGGATGTTTCCAGGGGCAGATGGAGGGGGACGTACCATGCTGACGTTCTGCAGGGTCTGCATGCGGAGAGCCTGGAACGACTCCAGCTGATGCTGAAGGGCCTGTAACACAGGGAACAAGGGGACTGAGCATCTCTGGGAGGTGAGCCTGTGCTGGAATTGTGGTGACTTTGTGTGAATATCCCCCAAGATGCCATTCAGCAGGAGGGACCCCAGGAAGGCCAGTGATGCACTCTCTCCACCATGCTTGCTAACTCTCCCATGAAGATTCTTGTGGAGAACCCATGGGCACTGAGGAATTATTTATTTATGAAAACAATCAGCCTTTGACAAACATGTTTGGAGAAAACAAAACGTACTCACCTTCAGTGCCGACTGTGGTTGGACTTGACTTTCTGATTCGGCTACACAGCCATATTCTAAAAAGAGAAATGGAACAACTGTGTGGTTTCTTTTCTAAGTTTTGTTTTTGGGCAACTGTCACGGGAAGCCATCTCCTGTTCTGGATGGTGAGGTGAAGAGATAATGAGTTTTTGAGGTTCAATTAGGAAGAACCCAAGGCCAGTCACAGAGTAAGTTTAAAAAAGAACTGTTTTCACTTAAAGTCTCTATCAGAGGTTGTAAAAGTGGTTTGACTTGTAACACCAAACTTGACACTTCCAAAAAATCAGATATAAAAATGTATTGTATTGATTTTTTACAGAGAGGAAGGGGTAGGGACAGAGAGTTAGAATCATCGATGAGAAAGAAACATCAATCAGCTGCCTCCTGCACACCTCTTGCTGGGGATGTGCCCACAACCAAGGTACAGGCCCTTGACCGGAATCAAACCTGGGACCTTTCAGTCCACAGGCCAATGCTCTATCCACTAAGCCAAACCGGTTTTAGGGCTAACTATTTTTGTTTGTTTCTGGGATATAAACTATATACATATTTTTGGTAAAAATACTAATAATCCTCATGTTATGAGAGACCCATGGCAAACTACTGTATGGACCTTAGTATCCATGAAACAGCCATGTAATATTCTTTCTCCTTATCATGGAAAGCAAGTTGGGTTAACGGAGCCTGAGTGTTGCCATACTCTTAGTTGTATAAAGATCCGCATGTTCCCCCCCAGAAAAGAGGTTACAGAGCTGTGTCAGGGAAGAGACTACATACATTTCCTGACACACGCCCCTCTTGGCTCCAATGGCCGGCGACTCCCTTACTTTGTAAATTTTTAGAATTTAAAGACAATGTAGAGTCTGAATGAAATGAAAGCTGGGAGAAAATGGGCCCCTAAGCCAGTGGTTGGCACACTCATTAGTCCACCGAGCCAAATATCAACAGGACAACGATTGACATTCCTTTTGAGAGCCGAAAACCGGCTTCTGTGCCTGGGCCACGAAGTTTCAATTGCACTGTATTTTGTGGAAGAGCCACAGTCAAGGGGCCAAAGAGCCGCATGTGGCTCGCGAGACGCAGTTTGCTGACCACTGCCCTAATCTGACAAGTTCTGCCCTACGTGAAGTTTTTTTTTTTTTTATATTTACTTTTGTTATTATTTATTTATTTATTTGTTTTTAATCCTCACCTGGATATATTTTTTCCATTGATTTTTAGAGAGAGCAGAAGGGAGAGGGAGAGACGGAAACACCGATGTGAGAGAGACACGTCAATTGGTTGCCTCCCGCATACCCCTGACCAGGGAGCCTGCAACCCAGGTATGAGCCCTTGACTGGGATCGAACCTGGGCCTCTTCAATCCGCAGGCTGACGCTCTCTCCACTGAGCCAAACCGGCCAGGGCCCGAAGCAAAGGTTGTGAGAGAGGTCAGCATGTCTTCTTTGACATGACAGTCTGCCGGACTGCCTGATCTTCCGTAAGCTGGCGGCAAAGTATGACCCCTCCCTGCCCACGGGCCCTCCCTCATCACTGAGAAGACAACTTGGTCCAGAGGCTGGAGCCATTTAGCCAATTGAAGAATTTTACCTTCATGGGGTGGGGTGGTGGGGGGAAGTGGGGGACAGGCAGGGCAAGCAGGCCCATTGGGGAGTTGCTCAGCTTTGTATCTGACTGGGAAGAAATGGGAGCCTGAGAGGTTGATCTTGGGTGAAAAGGAACTCGATGGAGGTCTGGACCAGTGCGGCAAAGCTTCCTAAAGCTCCTCAGACCCTAAAACAACCTCTGCCGATGGACTTGGAGAGATCAAAATGCAAATCCTAGAATCCCACCACCCAGAGCTAGCTGTTGTTAGTAACTATGAGTACTCACCCCCCTATTGAGTCCCCCCTCCCCCCAGGCATGTATGTGGAAAAACCAGAATGATTTTAGAACAGTGGGGTCATATTACACATGCTCCTGGGAAATAAATGGCATCAAACTTACGTTTAATAGAATAAAAACTACAAATTATTGCTAGTATTCAGGTCTTTTTTCACCACATGAGAGATTATTTCCTCTGAGATCACTCTAAGCTAATGAAAATATATCAGGAAGAGGATTATGAGGTTGGGATTTTTTTTTTTTTTTTAATAACAAGCATTTCTATTGTACTCGGTGTTGACTTACTCCCTGCCAAGAGCACAGTTATGAGAAAATGAGCATCCTACTTCCTCCCACAGCTGCTCCCCGCTTGTTCTGATATTTGCTCGTTCTGTTGTTTGTCACACTGTGAAGTTTTACGATGTTTAATTTTGTTCTGGAACCATAACTTCCACAAAGCCGTTTAGCACACAGCTGGGATATTATTCTTGCAAATAATTTCAGCCCAACTTCGTTCTTAATGGATTTACTGTCCACCATTCCATCTTCTTCCGGCACCTGCAGCTGCCACCTCCCTCTTCTCCCTTTCTCTCATGAGGAGGCCTCACAAGTTCAAGGCTGACTACTGGACTTCTGCTGCTAAAACCAAGTAAGAGCAGTGGGGCCCAAAGAAATCTGAAGGCTTAGCTAAGTAAACAAAAGCTTGTGAAGAAAGAACATGGAGTTTATAGACTGGCCTAGATTTATGTCACTTATAACGAGGGTCCCTCCCTCCATCTCCTCCTTCCTGACCAGTGTGTTTGCAGATCCCACACGGCTCCTTTTCAGATGGCTCACGGGCACCCTGAGCAACTCTGAGAGGAGTTTCTCTCGTTTCACATCGCCCTTCAGTCGACCTAGCCCTCTGCGATACCATTTTGGAGCCACTGTGTTTTCCTCTGCACTTTTCTGTGGCCTCATAATTTGGGGAGCACCTGGAGGAGGGGAGACCATGTGGATCCGTGTGGAGCCTTCGTTGGAGGTCCTGATCTCTGCTGTTGTGTCGGTCCCTGAGACTCTTGTTAGCAATCCAGTGGGAGGTGCATTCCTGTTAACACAGGAAATACTCTCTCTCTCTCTCTCTTTTTTTTTTTTTTTTAAATATGCTTTTATTGATTGCAGAGAGAGGAAGGGAGAGGGAGAGATAGAAACAGCAATGATGAGAGAGAATCCTGGATCAACTGCCTCATGCACGCAGCCTACTGGGGACGGAGCCCGCAACCCGGGCATATGCCCTGGCTGGGAATCGAACTGTGACCTCCTGGTTCATAGGTCGATGCTCAGCCACTGAGCCACACTGGTTGGGCCGAGGGCAGTTTCTGTGCAGTGACAGGGACAGGGTCCCAAGGAAGTGTCTTGAGAAGGGAGCGGACTGTGAAGGTCTGTCCAGCAAGGAGTTTTGCTATGGAAGTGGATAGGAGCCTAATGGGACAGGGTCCGTGATGGGAGAGATGTGACGATCAAGAAGGATTTTTCAAGCCTGAGAGCAACTAGTGGGCCTGCTGGCTGCTGGAGCCCCATAGGAGACAGGGAGGGGAGGAGATTCGGAGAAGAGGGAGGCTGACTGTGGAAGCTGAGTGAGAACTGCAGCAGAGAGAGGACTCGCAGGCCGTGGCCTCTGATTGAAACGGGAAGGCAGAGGGTAGGGGTGCCCAGCTAGGTAGCTGGCAGATTTGCAAGCCGAAGTGAAGGAGTTTGGGTCTGCCTGCTTCTGTTTTTTCCCTGCACTGTGTGACCCTGTGATTGGTTGAGAGGGCATGGCGAGAGGCGTGGACACACGGAGAGGGAAATAGTCATCTTGGAGAGGGTTTGGAAAAGCATTTTCTGGGAGATAAATAAGCTTCCCCAACAGCACTGACTGTGTGGTGTGACTCAGAGTGAAGTTTTCCCAGCAATGCTCAGGGGACTCGGTGACAGCACAGAGCAGGCAGGGGGGCGGATTTTTTTTTTTTTTTTTTTTTTTTTTTTTTGCTATTCAAGTAAGTTTTTGTTCTTTTCAGGAGTTTCTTATGGCCATTGTTTATTTCTAAAGGGAAGAAATCCTTTAAAAAAAAAGCCACAGAGAGTTCTGGAATCGGAAGAGAAAGTATTGCAGAAGCACAGGAGGGCGGACACAATCTGAAGGCCATTTGGGTCCCTGTGGCAGGCACAGTATGGGGGGTGGGGAGGTGCAGGCCAGGGAGAGGCTCAGGGCCCAGCCCCGGACTGAAGCTCACACCCCCGGGAGTGCACGCTCTGGGGTTCACAGTACCTTAGACGTAAATTCGCCAGCAGTAAATTCTCTTCTCGAAGTGTCAGAAGTGAGAAACAAGATAATTGCGGTGGAATGGCGTTGAGGGGGTTAAGTGAAGGGCTGGGGATTTACTCTGGAGCTTGCGGGAGATTAGGTCACACTCAGGGCACACAGGAAGTCTTGGGTGGGGGATCCCCTGCTGGTCTCGGCTCTCCGGGTCACCCCTTCTCTCAGCGCCTCTGTGCCTGAATTACCCACATCCCACATGCAGGTTATATGTGCCCCTGAGGGTCTGAGCCTGGCCCATCAGCCAGATAGCGCCTTCCACCCAGGGCTCTGCTTCCTCCCTGGCCGTCACTCGGACCCCCAGGCCCTCCGAGAGGCCTGCAGCCTCAGCCTCGGCAAGAGACTCCAATGTTCCGACTGCCCTGCGGGCTGGCTATTCACACACGCCCTCAGCACGCTTAGCTGGAGCTTGTCCGTGGAGCTCTGTGGTTATTTCAAACACCCTCCCCCCCAGAATACCCTCACCACTCGCCCATAAATATTTACTATAAGAAGCATTGCTTTCGGAAAAAGGATATGTCTTTCCGGCGTCTCATAAAAAGAAAAAAAATTAAAAAATCCACAGCTCCTGTTTGGTGTTGAGAGAACCAGTAGAGTACAGTGTGGTGTTCAAGGCCTGGATCTGGGCCGGCCCCGCTGGACACTGGGTTCTGTTCCTTGCTACCTGTGTGACCTTGGGGGTGTGTGGACCTCCCCTGCCTCAGTTTCCTCACCCCTAATGTGGGGATGATGGGAGTGCCTACTTCATAGGGCTGTTGTGAGATCAAATGAGTGGATGCATTGAAATGCTCTGAACAGCTGAAACCGGTTTGGCTCAGTGGATAGAGCAGTCGGTCTGCAGACTGAAAGGTCCCAGATTCGATTCCTGTCAGGGGCCTGTGCCTTGGTTGCGGGCACATCCCCGGTGGGGGGTGTGCAGGAGGCAGCTGGTCGATGTTTCTCTCTCATTGATGTTTCTGGCTCTCTGTCCCTCTCCCTTCTTCTCTGTGAAAAGTCAATACAATATATTTTTTAAAAAATAAATGCTCTGAACAGCATCCGGCACAGAGGGATGCGCTGTGTTAGCTGCTCTTAATCTGGGCCGCATGCTAGTCCCTGGGCGCACGCATGTGCTGGGGGCACAGCATTGCGCCGGTGGATGTGAGCCAGGGACCAGGCACCTGCAGTCCAGAGGCGGACACGCCCACCACGCCCTGGCCCTGCCCCGGGGGCTGTGGTCCCCCGGGGAGTTTACCTGTCTCACGGCCTCCGCCTTCCTTCGCCCCCTCAGAGGAGTTTAGGATCTTGGACGCTGAAAGGAGGACGCAGTCAACTTCATCCCTTTCCCGAGGAAGCTTTTCTGTAACAGAAGAACCAGACGTGGCTTTTGGGGGGCGGTGGGAGCAGGGAGGCGGGGCGGGCGCGGGGGTTCGGGGTGCCGATGCCCTGAGCGGCCACCAGAGGGCGCGCTGGGGCCACGCAGCGGCGGCGGCTGGACCAGGCGGCTGGGAGGCTGGAGGGATGGAGGCAGGGATGGAGGTAGCGCTGGTCTGGGGTGAGCCGGGGGGTGTGAGGGGGGTGAGGGAGGGATGGAGTGTGCGGTTAGTCGAGAAGACCGGATGGTCTGGATGGGATGGTCTAGACTCTAGGGGATGAAGGGGCCAGGCCCAGGGAGGCGGCCCCCCCCCACAGCACCCCCACCCCTCCATCCACTGACCACAGCTCCCCTTTAGGGACTGACCCCGCCCAGGCTCTCACCCGGGCTCATTGCTGCTGCCCAAGCTCTCTCTTCTTCCCAACTGCCTGCTCCCCTGCATTCCGCTCCGTGGCTTCCCGCCAGGGCAGCCCGTTGCCTGGTAACGGGATGGTTGGGTCGCCACAGGCGCACGTGGGCTCGAGCACGGGTGGGGGTGGGGGAAGGGAGAAGGCACGCGCTGGGGTCCGGGGTCCGGGGTCCGGGGTCCTGGGTCCTGGGTCCTGGGCCCGGAAAGCCCCCACCCTCTGCACCCCTGCACCCTCAGCCGCACCGGGGACACTGCAGGCGAGAAGGTCCCCCTTTGCTGTGCCCCCAACCCTAGGGCTGCTTGTCTTCCTGCGGCCCAGGACTTGCTGGTCCAAAGCTGAGAAAAGGGACTGTGTGGACACAGGCAGACACTTGGGGCTTTTGCCTTTTTTCTGATCTCGGTTTCATTGTTTGTTTGCTCTCCGCTGTGTTGTTCCTCTAACGTCCACCCTTTCAGCAGAGCAGCTGCAGCTGTGGCGGTTTGAGCGGCCCCACACCAGCATTGTAAAGGGTTTTCGTGTGCTGAGGTCAAGAGAAGACACCTGTTTCCAATGATGGACCTAAAAAAGCGAAGCATCACAATAGACACGTTGAAGCTGTGGCCATCACTGAGGCACTGGCCTTGGAGGCGGGCGTGGTCAGCTGAGGGCCCACGGTCCGCTTTGTCCCACTCAGAACATGGCACTCTTCAAGCAAATGCTTTACGTGAGGAGATATTAATTTTGCAACAACATCCATTACAGATTTTGAAGGGGAAATGTAGACCCAAAATACCCGCCACTACACAATGTCTCAATACTCCCGACTACATGGATCTATCTCTTTAAAAAAAACATGTTTTTTATTGATTTTTTACAGAGAGGGAGAGGGATAGAGAGTTAAAAACATCAATGAGAGCCAGACATCGATCAGCTGCCTTCTGCATGCCCCCTACTAGGGATGTGCCTACAACCCAGGTACATGCCCTTGACCGGAATCTAACCTGGGACCCTTGAGTCTGCAGGCAGACGGTCTAGCTCTATCTACTGAGCCAAACCAGTCAGGGCCATGGATGCCTCTCTTACAAGGACACGGGTCAATGTGGGCCAAATAGAACATTGCAATTTGGAAATTAGCATTGATGCATGCTTACCCTCTGTCATCAGACCCCACGCAGGTTCCACCCGCTCTCCCGATGACGCCCTTTGTAACAGTAAAGGGTCCTGTCCAGCATCTTGTGTGCATGCGACTGACATGTCACGTCCCTTCACTCGGGTCCCGTGGCCTCGGCATATCCTTTTCATTCAGAGGGCGGAAGCCGGTCCTCGTCGGTGGTGTTTCCGTGTCCCTCACTGGGCCCTTGGGAGTCTCTCTAGCTGGCTTCTGTGTGTTTCTGACACGCCCCCTCATTCCCGAGCCCCTCTCCCTGTTCTTCACGGACCGGATCTCCCAGGCTCCGCCTGTCCTCTGCCTGCCCAGCCTGGGAGCCGGCCATTTCTCCAAGGAGCCTTTGCCTCTCGGAGAGGAGAATGGTGTTCAACAGCCAGGATGTGAGTGCTAAGCATGCACGTGGCTACCCAGGCATCGCTGCTTCCGGCCATCTCAGTGGACAGAGCTAGGCAATGTCTGTGTGCACGTGTATTTACATTCACACACACACACACACACACACACACACCCCTGTATTATTTATTGTTTCTATATCTGCCTATCATCTATATCAAGTCCCATGTGTTCACAATATGCCTGGTTTAACATCACAGTGGTCTTTCTCATCTCCTCCATTTCTATGTTTGTAATTTACCAACAGTGAGAAAGTTGACTTCCTTATCCTTTATGTATTTACGAGGGGCCCAGTGCACGAATTCGTGCACCTTCAAAGGAACTGTGGGCCGTGAGGCTGCAGTAGGCACAGGGGTGGGTCTTGGTCCATCCTCCGTGCCCCTGCTCAGCCTCTCCCACTGCAGCCCCTGGTCCCGCCACCATGTGCTGACTGCACCAGCCCTGCTCACACCTGCTGATGTGGAGGGATTGGGGCTGTCGCCAGCAGCAGCAGGTGCGAGCAGGGCTGTTAAGTAATGCCGTTCCACCGTGATTAGGGCCGTTCCCCGGCAGTGGGTGCAAGAGGTGGCTGCCGTCCCGATTGCCCCACAGGAGCAGGGAGAGGAGGAGAAGCCATGAGGGGTGATCGGGGCTGGCAGCCGCCACTTGCACCTGCCGACGGCGCAGAAGGCCGATGGCCCTTGGGGCTTCAGCAGGGCTGAAAATCTGCTTGTGATCACCTGCTGCTGAACAGATGAGGGAGTCTCCCCTAACCCCATCATCCAGCATCGGGTAGGCGTGGGAGTAGGCAGCACCGTTACGGTGGACTAGAGGAGGTGAAAATGCAGAGCAGCTGGAGCACCTCTTTTCCTGTTTATCAAACTTACCTGTTTGTGTTCCTAAAGGGCCAACATGCTTCCCAGCAAATAAAAAGCCATGGGTCTGGAGATTCGGGGAGCCCACTTCTCTAGGCCAGTGGTCGGCAAACTCGTGAGTCCCGGAGCCAAACATCAACAGGACAACGATGGACATTTCTTTGGAAAGCCAAGATTTTTTTTTTTTTAAACTTAAACTTCTTCTAACGCCACGTCTTCAACATAGACTCGCCCAGGCCGTGGCATTTTTGTGGAAGAGCCACACGCAAGGGGCAAAAAGAGCCGCATGTGGCTCGCGAGCCGCCGTTTGCCGACCACGGGACTAGAGGGTGAAGGCGGGGTTCCTACACGCGGACGCCAGTGGCAGCTGCTGGAGAAGCACCAAACCCCCATGGGTCCCCACTGCCCCCCACACTGTCACACGCCCCGGGCACTTCCCCGCCTGCTGGGTTGTCTGCGGGGAGGGTGAACGGCATCTCTGAGCTGGACGCAGGAAGCCCAGTGGGGAGCACGTGTACCCCGCTGTAAAGGGTTCAATGAAGTGCGAATGAAAGAGTCCTGACCCGAGAAAAGGGCTCACTACGAGCCTCAGTCCCCTCCCCTGTTTGCCCAGGACCGCATGTGGCCTGTGAGCTGCAGTTTGCCGACCACGGGCCTAGACCCAACTCTGCTGAGAAAAACAGCCCCGGAGGCACACCAGGGACTGCCGTGGGGCTGCAGGCAAGGCCCAGGGGACCAGCAATCCCCCCACCCCTCCCCGTCTCCTCCTGGAGGTGCTGCCTTGGGAAGGAGGAGGGAGTGGAGAGTCTGCACCTTGGATTTGACTGAACATCGACGTGAAAGAGACATTTGAAATGAAAGAGACGATTTCAAAGCCAAAGAAACGGGTTTAATCTGAGCGGCGTCCCCTCTAACCAGCCAACGCCAGCGCCTTTCCCGTCGGCAGAAATCAGGGGCTTCCGAAGAAAGAGCAAGTGAGCAATACACGCCAGGGAAGCCAGGTCTTCCTAAAGCGGCCGCGCTGCACATCGGGGCGGCCCCCGCACGGGAACGTGGATGCCGCTGCCTCCGTGGAGCGCCGCCTCTAGGCACACGCCCGATGTTCCACGTGGTCCTTACGTACGTATGTGTGCACACCCCGTGGTGGGATGGCTGCAGAGGACACTAGAGAAACCCAGGGCCTTCCCCCGGCATGCACGTTCATGGCTGAAGCAGGGAACATACAACTGCGGGCTGTGCCAGAATACAAGGCCATCCTTCGGTGCTTACGGCACCGCCAAACCAGCTGGGCAAGGAGAGACCATCAGCCTCCCCCCGCTAGCTGGATGTTTACAGTGTTTGATGGTCATAGTATAAATGCGAAGGGTGGAGTTGGACATACAAAAAGGAAAAATGCTCGGTGCACCTGTCCGGAAGTCATTGCCGACCCCAAAGAGAGAGAGAGAGAGAGAGCTGCGCGCACACCGACAGGCGTGTCTGGGCTGCAGCCGGCGGGCAGCCGGGGTGTTAGTTTTGGACTCGACAGTGTGCTCGACTCCTGCCCGAAGTCATGACCGTCGTCCCGGGTGACTGTGTGCGCGTGCTGCCGGGCCGCGGGGGGGCTTAGGCCTTGGGGTACAGCGTGACTGTGTCGTAGCCCTCGGGGGGCCGCGTGCGGGCGCGGGCGTGGGCCTCGCAGTACAGCTCGCCCTCCACGAAGAAGTAGCCCTTCTGCTTGAGGTTGAGGCTGCAGTCGGCGCACACGAAGCACTCGGGGTGGCGGTACTTGTCCCGCGCCTTCACCACGGCCCCGCTGGGGAGGGAAGGAGAGGGTCAGAGCCCCGGCGGCGAGCCCTGGGGTCAGGGGCCGGGGCCGGGGCCGGGGCCGGGGAGGCAGGCGGTGTCTGAGCCACATCCGATGCCAGAGGCCCCGGGGCAGGAGGGGCACAGCGGCCGCACGGATGTACGGGTGTGTGTGTGTGTAGGGGAGGGGATGCATGACGGCCAGGACACGCCATTGGGCATCTCCCTCTCAGATGACTTGCAAACAAGTCCTTGCCATGGAAATGATCGGCTGTCCGGCTGTCCCTTAATCACCCTCCCCCGTGGTCTCTCTGAAAGAGGGAGGCGCCATTCTGCAGAGGGTTTCGACCTTGGCCAAGGCCGTTGCCTACACAACTGAGCGCCCTGTCACGGCTCTCTAGGGCGCTGGCCCAGCCCCTGCTCTGGGCAGCTCAGAAAACACGGACCACGGGCAGAGAGGAGTTCCCACAGCGGGGGGGGGGGGGGGGGGGGGGAGGGGGGGAGTGGGGGGGAGAAGAGGGGGCTTGCCTCTCCTGGCAAACAGTTCGCTGCCATTTAGGAGCAGCAATTGCTTTTGTGAGGTCCCAGCTCCCTGCTGAGATCCGCTCTGCTCCTGAGCTTCCTGTCTTGCCTGCTTCCCCTGCCCTGCCCCCTTTTAAAAGATTGTATTTTTATGGATTTCAGAGATGAAGAGAGAGGAAGAGAGAGCTATAAACATCAATGACAAGAAAGAATAATTGATCGGGTGAAACCAGTTTGGCTCAGTGGTAGAGCGTTGGCCTGTGGACTGAAAGATCCCGGGTTCGATTCCGGTCAGGGGCATCTACACTGGTTGCGGGCATATCCCCAGTAGCTGGTATGCAAGAGGCAGCTGGTCGATGTTTCTCTCTTATCGATGTTTCTAGTTCTCTATCTCTCTCCCTTCCTCTCTGTAAAAAATCAATAAAATATATTAAAAAAAAAAGAATAATTGATCGGCTGCCTCCTGCACGCCCCACACTGGGGATGGAGCCTGCAACCCGGTGCCCCGATGGGGAATCGAACCGTGACCTCTTGGTTCCTAGGTTGACACTCAACCACTGAGCCACGCAGACCGGGCTCCTCCCAACCGCTCTGCTCTGACCAGGACTGTCTCCCACCGCCTCGCCTCCTGGGACGTCCCCTGGACGCCTGGCCACGCGGTGCCTCTGTGTGGCTGCGGCAGCAGAACACACCGGAAGGAGAAGTGGCCGTGGGCCGTTTGTGGGGGGAGAGTGAGAAGACCTGGTTCCCGTGAAGATGTGGGGGTTTAGACATCAAGGCCCTGGACGGGGGAGCTGGGACTCTGTTTTTAACAATCGTGTTTGACTATTTGTGCCACGTAAGAAACAGGAAAGAGAATGTGTTGTCAAGAACAACCCAGTGGCTGCCGTGTGTGTGTGTGTGTGTGTGTGTGTGTGTGTGTGGTGTGTGTATGTGTGTGTGGTGTGTGTGGTATGTGCGCATGTGGTGTGTGTATGTGTGTGTGATGTGTATATGTATATATATGCGAGTGTGTATGTATATATGTGTGTATGTATGTATATGTATATGTGTGTGTGTGTGTGTGTGTGTGTGTGTGTGCGCGCGCTTGTGTGTGTGCTTCCCTGGCTTTAGATAGAACAGGAAAACCTCAAAGTTGGTACCTTCCCAAAGGGGGGAGGGCTCTTTGAAGGGAAGTTTTGATTCTTGGAAATGACTTTTTAAATACACTCTGGGAAAATTTTCTTTCCATGAGGATCCTCTGAAATGGTCAGTGGAGATGTGCTGACTCGCAGTATGCACCCACGGGAGGGCCCAGCTAAGGAGTTCTGGTGGAAGGAGAGACGGGTGGTGGACGTTGCATTTCTAGCCAGTGAACAGAAACGGAGAGCTGCTCCCAAGGCTGACGCCCCCGCCCCGGTACCGGGCACTCACACGATGCCGCTCCCGCACTTGTCACACTGCGGCATCCTCTGCACGCCGCCCGCGCCCGGGGCTTTGGTGACGGGCGCCCTCACGCTGCGGGTGCCCGAGGGCCGGTCCTCTGAAAAGCAAAGGGGCGCCTTTTATGGCAAAGGCTCAGCTGGCTGCAGGCGTCCTTGGCGTCTATTTTAAGGCGTGCACTTGACCCGGAGGAATTCCCAAGGCGCACCGCAGCCTCCTTTCGGAAGGAGAGGGGGTGGCTCAAGCTCACCCTGCGCCGGACAGGCCTGCCGAGCGGTCAGGGAGCAGTTTGTTGTGGTAGGAAGCTGCTACAAAGTGCTCAGAGGAGCAGAGATTTTGCATTTTTTTAAATCATGGTAAAATATACTTAATATAAAATTAACCATCTTAATGTTGTCAGTGGCATTAAGTGCATTCACAAACATTATAAAATTTTTGGCTGTATCTATTTTTAGAAATATTTTATCATCTCAAACAGAAACTCTTTACCTAGTAAGCAATAACTCTCCTCCCAGACCATGGTAACCTCTGCGGTGCTTTCTGTCTCCATGATTTGTCTGTTGTAGGTACCTCTTACTCACACAACTACCATCGTACAATATTTGTCCGTTTGTTGAGCTTACTTGACTTAGGACTTTTTAAAGCACTGGTTCTCAACCTTTCTAGTGCCATGACCCTTTAATACAGTTCCTCGTGTTGTGGTGACCCCCAACCACAAAATTATTTCCATTGCTACTTCATAACGGTCATTTTGCTACTGTTATGCATCGTAATGTAAATATCTGTGTTTTCCGATGGCTTTAGGTGACCCTGCTAACGGTTCTCAACCTGTGGGTCGCCTAAGACCATCAGAAAACACAAACCCACCCTCTCGGTGGCAATAGCTGTTCCCTCGCAGTCACCGTGAGCGGGAAATGGTCATGTGGGCCAAGGGCTTAGCGCAGAATTGGGAACACACCCACAGGTTTGTCACATTTTAGATTTTGATGACGATACTCTGGAGGATGGGAGGCGGAGACATCTTGCCACGTCCACTTACAACTCTGCTTACAGTATGGAAGCTCAGCCAGCCCTCGAGCACTGTGGATGGAATTTGCACTGGTGCCTTTTTACCAGGGCACCCGTTCTGGGAGCACCTCTCCTGACCCAGGCACTGCCCGAAGCCTCCGGGCACAGACTCACTTGGTTTCCAAACACGATGCATGCTCAGCCTTCCATCCCCAGTCTGTCTGCCACCCTCCCCGCCCCCGGCCTGCCAACAGGCTCTGCCCACCCCTGGCACGGGCGCCCGCACTCACCGTCATTCACGAGCTCCTGGAGCACCCGGAAGGAGCCCGACTGGCGGGGCTGGGAGGGCTCCTCCCGATTGTCATGGAGCATCCGGTACACGTCCGACTGGGGGGGCACCGAGGCTGTGGGTTCACTGAAACGGCACGGCGGGGGCAAGGCAGCGTCAGGGGTGTGCGGGCAGCAGGAGATGCCAATTATATCGACTACACTACTTTTCCTAAATAGCCACAGACAGCCGTCCACAGTCCTCCCTACACTTGCAGTGACCCCTGCACAGAGATCCTGTACTCTCAGGCCCATCCCTGCTACAGCTCCCAAAGAGCATCTCTTCACAACGGCTGCCTCAAACATGTCATTCAATAACCTCAGGCTCACGCCGGCCTATCTCTGTTTGGCCACATACGATGGAGGGCCACTAAGAGGCGAAATAGTAATTCAGAAACAGACCTGTGTCTTTAAGAATGGATAATTATAAATGGGACCAAGATAAACTGTTTCTCAGAAAAAGAAGAGACAGCATACACACGATAGGCAGTACGGGAGTGAGCCCAGTGCGATGACCCTCAGTCATCCGATTGTCCTTACGTTCAGATTCCCTTCTGATGCTAAACTAAAAGGATGTGGTTTAACGGTGTTTTTAGGATTAATTTGCTTTGTTAATTCCTGGAAACCACAAAGGTATCGTTTTGCTTTCAAATGGAAATAATTCATACTGCCAGTGGTTGGTAGCTCCTAAAAGGTAGACACTTTCACGTATATGTGAGTTACATCGAATACACTACTTTTCCTAAATAGCCACATTAAAATTCATTTACAACAATACTGGAAGGTTTATTCTAATAAACTTCTTACAAACATATGATGAACAATAAAAAATGCCACAATAAAACTACACGTCAGGCGCTACGTGCTTTATTAGCTTATGCCATTTCACGACATTGCTTAGAAAAGGTAATTACTATCCACACATAATTTTATTATCTATGTCATTTGTGAAGAAAATTATATCTGAATTTCCTTGCAAACTGGCTTTGAGATACATTATGCTATTATTATCTTATTGTATTCATCCCAAGAAATAGCTTTGGCATATTGTTATATAGCATACTTAAGAATGATACTATTTTAATTTATAAAAAAGTGGTTCTGTAATATTAAAAAATAAGATTTTTCTTATAATAAATTTTTAATTAAAAAAACTGATGGCAAAAGTACTTTCTATATGGGGATGGGAGACTAAACGTGGATTATATATAATACAAATGTTTATAATAAGGAAAAAATTAATCAAAATAGAGACCATTAGAAGTTAAACATCTACATTAATAGCTTAAGACATTCACTTATAAACCCTTATTCATGGCAGAAATTTTAAATGGAAAATAGTGTCTTCTCCACAAGATGCCATTGGAAGGGAGAAGTATCATTTCTTTTAAAATTTCTCTGGACCTCTCATCCCTCCCCAATTTTTGACCCTCCAAGGAGAAACATAGAGTATGCTAGATTATTGATCCTGTTTGAGAGGTATTGTACCATAACTTGTAAAGTACACTGTAGCTTTTCAGAACACATACATTTGGCCCTCCCATGATTTTAGTTTATTAAACTAAATGGGTCACATAAAGCTCTATTTCATTCTTCAAATCACTGTTATCATTAGACCTAGACATTTGCAATAAATCCTTAGCATTTCCTCCTTAAAGCGTCTCACACAGCTTCCTTTCAGCTAAGACCGTGTTAAAAGACCCCCGGAGAGCTGACATCACCCACGTGTTTAGTTAGTATGCCCACGGTTCAGAATGACTCGCATTACCTCATGGCGGGTGCTTCCCCTAGCGCTGTGGAAACCTGACCCTGCAGTGTTTCCATAATATTGTCATCTGAGTACAACTGCATGGGAGTATTAAACTGAGCATGTACAATCTTCACACCGGGAAGCTCCATTTCCAAAGGAATGTTAGGGGCCATCTTAGCAGCAACTTTCAAGTCGCCGGGGCAAATAGTGCTAACAGTGCTGATGGAGGAAGGGGTGCTACGTCCACTGCTACCGTCAATACCGGACGGAGTGCTGCATCCACTGTGTTAATGACCACGTGACACAGAGGGGACACGGGACCAGAGACACCAGACAGAGGAACACAGAGAACAAGGACAGAGAGGTTAACAGGGATTGAAGACAAAAAAGTGAGAGGTGAATCAAATCAAATGAAAACAGAGTGTGGATTTCTGGCTACCATTTATTTTAACTGGAAAGGACATTTAAAAATTCGTGGTTGCAAAAAGTTGCACACAGTTGAAAGGTACAGGTGACAGCGCATTTTCTGGCTCTGTTCTACCAGGCGATATGCAAGTTGAAGGTCACACATAAACAGGTTGTATGTAGAAAGTGAAAAAGGTGCGACCCTACTCGCTTTTTCAACATAGGCCAGGTCATTTTAAACTTGACAAGATCACAGACAGGGGGTGCAGGGAAATCACATTGGCTGGGTACCCTTGTACATTTCTGAGATGCAATATTTAAAATAAAACGATTAAGGAATGGTCCATGCAAATAATGACTGACTAGGCCACATGAAAGTCCAATGAAATTTTTAGGCTAGACATTTCCAAATAAGGGCGTCTCAGAAATGCAGTTGAGTTTAATTGAATCACACCTAGAAACATGTTGGTTCTGTGATACAGATTATGTTTCAAGGCTATGTTGTAAACATTTTATCTGGACTATTTTAATGTTTTCTGGGTCACTCTTTAATTTGGTGAGGAATTACTTCTAAAAACTGTCCAGTGATTTAATACAGGCTCTAGAACAGCCAACAAATGCTTGTCACCTTGAAATTAATGATTAAAGAGCACATACAGTGATCTTGGACTCTTCAGAGGCTCTGTAGAGCTGAGGTCTATTTCTTTTATACATCACTATTTCATGCAAACTTTTGAAAACACACGTATATTCATGCATACTTATCATTTTTTTTTAATAGACAAGAAGGGAGTTGTTATTAAAACACCAGAGTGGCCAGTCATGCAATTCTCAGGACAGCTGGGAGAGAGCACATGTTCTCTATGAAGCTAGGTAGAAGGCTGGTCACAACTGACATGCCAAGGACTAAACTGTCATGCCTCTCCATGCATTTTACATGCAGCATGAGAAATGCATTATATGAAAATAAAATATCCTGAGATTTTTTAGAAGCACAGTCATTTAAGACAAAGCCAAAGGAAACATTAGTATTACTGTCACCTCCATTATGCCTGCAGATTAGTGTTGCTGCAAACTCAAGACAGACGATTCATATGGTGTGTTCATCTCAACGTCGGTGTTCTCTGAGGGCTCAGGTATGATCCATCTCTGCATTTACTCTCTAGAGCTGCTCATGTTAACCTCAGCCCCACACAGAGAGCACAAACCAAGAGGATTTGGGGGCCTTGATGTTGTTGACTGATTAGTCTGGACAACCCATGCCACTAAAGGGATGAAACGTTGTTGTTTTTGTGTCTTGTGTTATCCGATTCAACCACCTATAGAGCCTAAATGAGGCAGGGTGCATCATCAACTTTATAGGTGGTCTTGTCAACTCCTTGGCTTGAGAACCTATTTAAAACTCAGTCTGTGAATTGGTCGATCACATACCAAAAACAGTGCCTTATTTACTGTTTCCATAGGCTCAATGCTACACTGGCTCCTGAAAGTGACGTTAGTGAGTAAAAGAATAGGAGGGACATTTCAGTTGTAATGCCATTTAGTCAGGATCCTATTGATTCGATCTAAGTGAAGCTTATTAAATTGTAAGTTTGGGATTTGTAACACTTGAGTTAAATCTTAGGAAACCCGGGCCTAAAATAGTGAGCCTTTCCCACAAGCATTGTAACTACTCTGATCTTACTGTGGGCCCGGCATCATGCTAGTGGATGAACTAGGATCAATTCAGAATTTACAGGTATTCCTCTTTTTTATAGTTGTAATGAATAATCCCTTTCCATTGTTAGTGTTCTTTATACATGCATGTTTGTGTATATAACTTTATTTAACAAATATTGTATTCTATCTTTTAATTTCCTTATCATTCTATTTAGGGGACCCTGTCTATTGAATAGATAAGAAATAAACTCTAAGCAAACTAGAATTAGTTTTCTTACACATTTTTGGGACTATTTAAAAAGACCTCTTGACCTGATGCTTTAAAAAAATGTTTTTTTCCTGGTGTGGTTCAGTTGGTTGGTTGTTGTCCTATGAACTGAAAGGTTGATGGTTCAATTTAGGGCGTATGCTTGGGTTTCAGGCTCAATGGGTGTGCAGGAGGTGTCCCATTGATGTCTTGCTCTTATATCGAGATATATATATATATATATATATATATATATATATATATTCAATAGTAAAATAGCATTTTAACATTTAATTGAGTGTTATAGTATCAGGAGGGGTTGGGAAGCTGTTGGATGTGGTGAAATAGGGAAAAGATGCAGAAGAAAATGGAATGGGAACAAGGGGACAAACAGAAGTGAAAAAGGACTGTGCAGAGTAGACGGTGTGAGGGAGGGATCATGGCCCCTGGTTCTTCTTGCCACTAAGGAAATACCAGGTACTCATGGGGTTGTGTTCCTTTATCTGATGACATTTACTGGGCGTGTGCTTTGTGCCAGCTGCATTTCTAGGTGGTGGATATAGTCCTGCACTTCCATTCTAGTGAGGGAAGTTGTATTTTGTCATAATTGCCTTGTGAGCATCTTTCTCCTGCTCTTTTCAGGTGACACCACATAAGTGTCTGGCTTATTTTGAGGAATCCTCTGCTCCTGACTCTAGCTTCTGGGAAGGTCTGCACGTGTGCATCACATGTAAGTGATGACTGACCATCTGCAGCTGGCACCATAACCTCAGGTGTCTCCAAGGGCCAGGAGGGTCGCTTCTATAGGAAAACGGGCCAGGAATCATACACTTAGGAGTGATGGGCATGTATTTGGGCAGCTAGAGAGTAGCTGTTCCATCTTAAAGGCACTCACCTAAATTCATTTGAATAATCAGAGGGCTAAAAAGCACTACCTGTGAATGGATCCACCCGTAGCTCACTGGTTTGGGAAACCTGATATAGATCCTCAGCCAATGATCCTAACCTGCTAGGATCCATGTGGCCTGACCATACTACTAGTTTTATTGATTTTTATTGATATTTTTACAGAGAGGAAGGGAGAGGGACAGAGAGTTAGAAACATCGATGAGAGAAAAACATCGACTGGCTGCCTCCTGCACACCTCCTACTGGGAATGTGCTTGCAACCAAGGTACATGCTCTTGAATGGAATCGAACCTGCAACCTTTCAGTCCGCAGACTGAAGCTCTATCCACTGAGCCAAACCGGTGAGGGCCCAACTCTGTCTTAATTTACTTATTTTCCTTCAGGTGGAAAAGTTCCTTTTCAATCCCCTCTCTTCCTTTGCAGGTATCCATAGAAATGCAAATAGATATTTATGTCAGGGCTGGAAGGAGTGGGGTTGCCCAGCTGCTTGATGGTGCTGGAGGAGCAGGTGCCGAAGTGGGGATGATGAGAACCTAACATAAACAGCTCCCTACATCCCCACTTGTGGCCCTCCTTCCTTCCTCCTGATGGGAGGGCTGGTTTCCACTTTTGCTCCTGCTGGCTGGGCCTTCCTGAGCTGCTGTTGGGACATCTGCCTGCCTCAGAGGTCAGTGAGTCCTGTTGGGATGCCGGGGGTGTTAGTTATAAATATACGTGATGAAGGCATAGCATTTGGAGCTCTGTAACCTGGTCAGTATTTACTCCTGGAAATGGAGGAGCTTAGTTGGCTCTCTACTCTGCTGAGCTTGTTTCCTTTGCTTTTGAAATTAGCTTCCAAATGGAAAGAAAAAAAAAAAAAAGAGTAGTCACTCCAAACACCTCAGAAGTTACTCTTCTGGGAGATTAGTAAGGATTCATTAAAGAAGCATGCACTCCACATCTCACAGTCTCAAAGCTTATGACCTGCTTCGGCCTGGGATTATGAAAGGTTTGGGCCGAATATTGTGCTTGTGTTCAAAGTAGTTCACATCCTGTGGAAACAAAGGGTTAAACAGTCCCTCAGTGGAAGATTAATCTGTGACTTTAGATAAAATCAAGCAAACAGTAACTGGACAGAGCCGGTTATTTACCACCAAATATTGACATGACTGGTTTCTTCCTTTTAAACCATCGACTCACTAAACGTTCCAGGACTGGTAGATTGGAACGACGGTCTAGATGCTTGTCTTTAGGTCAGGAAAGTAAAACAGCAAGAGCTGGACTTTGGGAAAGGAAGAGAAACTGGGCTATTGCCCTTAGGAACGCGGTGGCCAGAGGCGGAGGCCGGTACTTACTTTTGAGGTGAACTAGGAATGAGACCCCGCAGCTGTCCGTGGAGCGCGTCTTGGATATTGCTAGTTGAATAGAGCCCAATGGGTGAGTTATAGGAAGCACTCACTACCTGTCTTTTGTCATCAATGTTTGCTGCTGCAACAAAAGGCTGGGCCCTTCTGTTGTGCGAGGTACCAATGGGTTTGAACTCCTGTACAATGGCAGACAAAATACACAGAGCCACAGAAGGCACAACAGAGCCATTAATGAGCAAACCAACAGCAACCGCGACGGTTAAACAAGGCTTCTAACCCAATACAAGGTTAATGCAAGGTTAAAGGGGGAGTCGGGCATAAACCTTTCTGCATTTTCCATGAACTTGACCTGAGCTGTCTGCATCCACCAGATGTTCAGGTGCAAAGGAACTGATCTTATTTGTAATATTATAAACCAGTGGTCGGCAAACTCATTAGTCAGCAGAGCCAAATAACAACAGTACAACGATTGAAATTTCTTTTGAGAGCCAGATTTTTTAAACTTAAACTTCTTCTAACGCCACTTCTTCAAAATGGACTCACCTAGGCCGTGGTATTTTGTGGAAAGCCACACTCAAGGGGCCAAAGAGCCGCATGTGGCTCGCAAGCCGGTTTGCAGACCACTGTTATACAAGAATTCAAACACTGTATCTTTTGTCTGTCCCCTGTGGACTTCTAGATCCATAGCTTTTAGAAAATTCTCATTTGACTCATTTGGATAGAAAAATTTTGTGTTAGAAATGAGATTGTTAGCTTAAAAAACTATACTACTTAACATTTTCTTAAGTAGAACTTACATTTGCTTTATATTCTATTAATATCTTAAAATTTCCCCATTTTAGGAAATGAAGGAATAAAATGGCCAGAAAGAGAGTGAGCATTTGTGAATAATTAAATCATTTTAACTAACCTAAGGAAAAGTTCTGCTTTTGCTTTTTCCTTTTTTTAATTGTTTAAAGTATTACATATGTCTCCTTTCCCCCTGATTGACACCCCCTGCTTTTTCTTAAAACCTATAACAAAAAACCAAAATCCTTAATGTGGATTCAGTTATACCTTAAGTTTAGAAAAAATAGTAGTAATGAAAAGACTCTTGTTTCTGATCAAAGTGGGAATAGCATTTATATAAAACCTCCTTTACTTTTATTGTGACGATTTCACTGCTATGTGTTTAAAAAACTCTTCATGTTTACTCTAGTTCCAGAAAGATTACAGTCAATAATGTAGAGATAGCTAATGCGTGTAATTCACAAAAGGATTTTCGCTTTATTATTCAGGGAAAAGGGTCCTACACTCTAAATTGGAAATATGCCCGCATCATCTGAAACTTTATATTATTATGTTAATGTCAGAACCATGTTTTCTAATTTTTGTGTAGATCTATAGTGCCATAAAGTTATTACAGTTATTTTCTAAGCCGCAAAAGAAAACCAAAAGTGAACACTGCAGTCCACACAGCTGATTCTCTTTCCACATCTTTTCATTTGGCAGACTTAGTAAGATAAGTCTTTGCAGCAGTATTTCCACTCACACGTGCACATTAACTTCATTTGTTTTTGCGAATGTGTCACCAGTGTCTCACGCAAATTTCAAGTAATACAAACATTTATGATTATTTGGAATGTTACCAGAAAGAGAAATTTTATTAAAAAATAAAAAAGATCTTATAATATTCTTATTCATGTCATTTTTTTTTCTTTTTTGTCATACAGATGAGAAAATTGTGGGATAGTTCTTGTGTGTGTGTGTGTGTGTGTGTGTGTGTGTGTGTGTGTGTGTTTTAATTAGAAAAGAGACTATCTCCCTTTTTTTAGGGCTGAGTGTTATGATTAACCATTTTGATTAGCCATTATTATGCCATGAAATTGTGAACTGGAAATAATTTTAAGTAACGACAGTGGCCATGACTCAAGCCTTTGATACTCTTTTCAATATGAAAGAAGACAGAAGGCTAATTGCTTAATTGCCTAATTTCGTTTTGGTGGATTATAAATCTCTCAGGCTAATTAAAAGTGAATCAGGCAGGACTGAAGGGCTCACACTATTTGGAACTGAGCTTTAAGAAAAAACACACAAAGTAGGATACGCTCTAAATATTTGGTAAATACAATTGAACTTATAAAAACTAGTTTACATAGTCTGATGGCTTTATAGGAAACATATTCTGCCATTACTTTATCTTTATAGTCTGAAATTGGTAAAAAAAAAACAAACAAAAAACATGGATGGCGATAGTCTTTTAAGGGAGAAAGCTTTCTGAAAAGGTTTGTGCACTAGTCATTGCTAGTGGTGCATCCAAATAGCAGCACACAGGTTAGTCAGCTACATGCCTTCCTTTGCCATGTTCAGTGTTGGTTATATGTTGTACAACTCAGATGTGTAATTTGTTAGGAAAAAACAATGCCTTTAGTTTCTAGTCAGATCACAAAAAGTTTTTCCAACAGGCTTCAAACATCCGTATTTAGGATTTGCAAAGCATTAGTTCATGGGTTGCTAGTCATTCCAAAAGCAGCGCCATGACATGTGTCCGCCAAAGGTAAACAACAGAGGGAAGACAGCACGGAGGCCACCTTCCGTCTCTCTCACCTCTCCGCTGGTGGTCAAACAGGGTGGAGAGACCAACCCAATTGGAAGTCTGCCATTTCACTTTAATTTCCTTTTAATTTTATAGTGGAAAACCATTCGTAATGGAAAATACTGGTAAAGACTTTATATAGCAGTGAATCGAGTCCAGCTCTCGTGTTTATTCTACCCAGACAAAAGCATCCAAGGGATTCTTATCTCTTAGGCAGTCAATAAATTATCATTGCAGTTAATTAACATTTTAAACATTATTTTTAAACGTTAGGAGCTTCCATTAAGGAATGGTATTTTGAGTTAATGAGATGGTAGGGCTGTCTGTGAAAGCAGAGATCTGCTGACATTGGGAGAAAGCAGCTCTGGACAACCCTCTCCCAAGTCCCCGAGTGACCTCAGCAGTGACAGCATCAGCAGTGACAGCATCAGAGACAGTTTCCCTCTCAGTGTCTCACGTGGAGAAGTTGTCACAGGTGAAGATTGACTCTGAGAACTGAGGCAGTTGTCACCTCCAATGAACAACATGTGTGTAACATACGTATAATTTATAAGGAAAAATGGTGGGGAATAAGGAAAAAATGATATCAAGGGATCATACATTTGATCAAGCCACACTGACTAAATGATTATATTTTATGCCTGAAATTTATGAACATTCACTTCACCAGACTCATCCTCACCCCACAAATGAAAAGTAAAGTCACCCTCACTTTATTACTGCAGAAAGTTTCACGTTTTTTTATTTTTTATTTTTTATTTCTCACTGGGGAAGAATTTGGCGACATGGGATTGTGAAAACTTGCTTTGTGTAGGCTGCCATCAGTTATCAAAATATTGGAGAACAAGGTTATTTTATGAACATATCAAGAACTCCAGCTCTTATCCTATTTAACTGTACATGTAGTACATCCTCATTAGCAGATCTTCTATGACCAGGATTCAGTCCTTTTCATGGAAGTGGAAACAGCTTTCTTATCATTTAGAAAAGAACCATTTTTTTTTTTAATTTCGGGAAAGCCTCTCTTCTGTCTTGTGAAAGCTACATCCTCAACTCACATTAAACAAACATGAGGGTAATGTTTTGTTTAAGAATGTAGGCTTTGGAGAATGACGTAGAACTCTACGTCGTTAGTCTAGAATGCTCTTAGTCTATTATAGAACAATGTTTTTAGCCTGCCTTTAGTGTAGAACAATGTTTTATAGAGAAAAATGCGGGCCTGTGCTATTGGCCAGGCCCAGGGCTGAATGAAAGGCATGTATGCAATGACTAGAGTTAACCTAAATAACCACTAAAGTTTCAAGTCTAAATTCATAAAAACAAAATTTAACTAGAAACTTCATAATGGCATAGAAAAGTGAAAAAATTATATATTAAATGTTTGTATCAACTATTACTATAATTGTGTATGAAAAAGTCTCTAAAGCCTAACCCTATGCACATGGAAAAAACTGGAAATAAATATACGAAAGATATTATTTGTGGCTGTGCTTAGATATAGGATATACTATATAGTAGTGGGTTTTTCCTCCATTAAACATATGCTACTTTTAAAATGAAGAAGAGTATTTTATTCCAAGAGCAAAGGCCACACAACTCACAATAAATGCTTGACTGGGGCTGCGAAACAAGAACCCACACTGGGTATTGCTCAAAGGCATTTCCCTGCTCCCTTGTGTGGCATTCTGAAGCATGCTGTGCTAATGGCATTGGCTTCTCAGACTAACACACCTTTGTTGTCCAGAAGTTTGCAGAGTTCTCATTTGGGATATGAGGGTGGGTGTAGGGAAGGCAACTCTTTGCATAGCGTTGTGCTTATTAAAAAATAAAAAAGAATATAAACATGACTCAGTTTAGCTTCCTCCAGTCTCATTCTACAGGTGGCACGCACTGCTTGGTTTTATCACTGGGTTATGTTCTAGGGTGTGCTGTGGGCATTCAGGCAGCAGAGGCTGTGAAGTGAGCTGTGCTGTGGAGGGAATATCTGTCCTCAGTGCTGGTCTGGCAGACACCTGGCCTGAAGATGTCAGGAGGAGGAATCTGCTGGTCCATCAGGAAAGAAATCCAAGTGCTTCTTATCTCAGAGCCCTTCACACACAGGCCTCTCAGAGAGGGTGTGAGTAAGAAGTACTCATGACTCAAACTAAAGGAATGTTCAGAGGTTCCATCTGACTGGCTCCTGAGCTCTTAACCCAATCTTCACCTTTCTTTTTTAAAACCCTACTTCTCCATCTTTCCCTCATGCTTGGTGTCAATGTTCCTATTGTCTAACCCCCAATATACAGGACACATGAGCTAACCCATGATTGTTGAGAGGACAGAGTATTTCAAATTAGGGTTATGGTTTAAAATTCAGTTCTTGAAATAGCTGAGTCATAAATTATAAACATAGTCATAAATTCATGCTCATAGTTTACAAAAGGGACCTCTTCTAGCATTAAAACTCAGACAATTGCCCTTAAACTCCATTCTGGAGAGAAATGTTCGCAAATCACAGGGGACCATTAGCCAAAGTGCCCCCTGAGCTTCGAAAGTACAGTAGTTGCTGAGTCAGTCACCCACACTCCAGAGGGAGCGCTGTGACCTGATCAGGGATCACTGGGGCTCTAAGAGTTGGGTCAAATTTGTCTAATTGGGCCCCTATCTTGGCATCTCACGTTGATGAACTTGAGTTTAAAAAATCAGGAGAGATTTTGAAAGAAAAAAAAATTCGCAGAAGGATGCAGTACAATTTTGGGTGTGTGCTATATGTGGAAGAGGCAATTCAGAATTCTACCCAGTTTGTCCTAGTGATAATGAGATCAGGGTCAGGAAATGCATGTATCTGAGCCTCAAATTTCCTTTTTATTTTATTTATTTATTTTATAAAGCACCACATGATCTCTTTTTCTAGAGTGTTGCCTCTAAGTGATGAATTGATAAGGTGGGAAGAAGCCAGTGGGCTTAGCTATCTATGAGTGACAGCTCTGCATCAAGAACTCCATTTTTTCTTCTTACAGTCTTTTTTTTTCTATCAACTGTAGCATTGATTAGTGGTATTATTACTCACCCACCCACCTGGGTGCATTCAGATCTCTTCCCACCACCTTTATTGCCTGTCTTACCCATTTTTTGCTTACCCTCATCTGACCTAAGCACCCCCTCGCCTTGCACAGTCACTTTTACCTGCAGCAACGGAGGTTTGGGATGGGATTGGGATGGAGGTGGGCAAGAGCACTGTGCTGAGAATTGATTGGTTCCCAAGACTGGTCCTGAACAATGGTAGAAAATGCAACTTTTCTTTAGAATGTCCCATTCCTTTCATGTTTGAATCTAAAGGAATCTGTGATGGGCCTTGTGACAGTGAAGAGGAAGGCATCGTGTCTCCAGGAAGCCCTGTCACAGTGGCAGCTTCCTGTCTCACTAGGGGGAATTGGCCAGGGGGCCTTCTGACACAGCCTGGTGGGAGGGGCTCCTGTACCGATAATTACAAGAGCTCCAACTTAACTCAACATCTCTATGAACAGTTCGATGTGCCAAGTTATTTTACTTTACTTACTCAAACTTTACTCATACCTTTGAGAAGCCCTGTGAGATCCATGTACCATGTACCATGTAGCAGGAAATGAAGGCTGGCAGAGCCAGGTGGGGAACCTGCAGGGCAAACTTGGAGTTGAGGATCCTTGAGGATCCCGAAGGGAAACTGTGCTGAAGCATCCATTACAAAGATGCCTGCAGTGCATTTTCATGATCTACCTAGGAGAACTACATCTTGGACCGTCTCCTCAGTTCAGTAGGAATACTTGTTTTAGAAGGGATATTGACTTTGTATATCTGTCTCTCTAAATTTGGGGAGCTTCTAAGTAGAGGTTTTAAAATCCTTTTCTTAATTATATTTTCCATACAGCGCCACTGGGAGTTGGTTTAACTTTCAGATTTTTGGGGCCTTTGAGAGTAGACATGGTCAGATAAGCATCAGATTATTAAATGAATTTAGCTCAATAGACAGAGCTGCCTCGTGGGAAAAGTCCTTTATCTTTGTAATTCAACTGCCTGAGCAGACTATCACCATGATAACATAATGTAAGATTTTTCCTAGAGTAAACTAAATTACAGAAGGCCAGACTTGAGAATTAAAGGAGGATATAAAATAAGATGTGGGTGAAGATCTCGAAGGATTGAAGTTCCCTCTAACAGATTAGAGATATTTGTTGCAAATGGTTGCCCATCCCATTTTTGCTTTGTTTTAACACCCTAAACTTCTTGGATTTCCTCATGGTCAATTGGCAGAAATCCATCATAAAAATGAGAAAGAAAAAAAAAGAAGTGGACTGTGTGCAAATATAGGCGAATTTTTCCTGCTGAGACCATGTTTGTCTTTTGACAAGATGTTTGCCTGGGCATCCATCTTTGTTTTCTTGGTGTAAGTGAACATGGGTAGTCTAAATTAACCTCAGAGAGTAAAGGCAGACAGTTGCCTCCTCAGGTGACTTCTCCCAGTTTTTGATATTTGCCACTTCTTCCTCTTGGAAGTTACCCACATCAGTTAAAAGGAGGTGTAGAGTGAGTATCATTCACTCTGAAAGTCATACCTGTGGTTCCGATTCTAAGTTGATTTTGAAAGGATGAGCCCTCCCATCTTCAGTTACCTGTGGCGACCATAAGCGAGTTTCCGCCCTGTAAATAAAATAAGTTCATAAATTCCAACTTCTAATATACTTCTGGTTTTAGCACCCTACAATTTCCTATGACATTTGTGAAAATACTATTATTCCACAATAATTTAATAATTTAAGCAAAAGCAATATTCCTGGTTCACTATTCTGCATTCTCCCATCTAATTAGTCTTACATATTTAGTGTACTTTGGGGGAAACTTGAACGGATCAAGATGGGCTGCTATGGACTGTTTGTAATCTGCCCCATTCCTACTCCCCTCCCCAAATCATATGTTGAAACCCTAATCCCCAGCGTGATGATAATTGGAGTTGGGGCCTTTGGAGGAAAATTAGGGTTAGGTTAATTTATGAGTATAGTGGAATTCATGCCCTTCTAAAAAGAGGAAGAGACACAAAATCTGTGTGTGTTTTTGGGACAGCCAGAAAGAGGCCTCTCACAGAGAACCTGAGTATGCTGGCATCCTTATCTCAGACTCACAGTCTCCGGAACCATGAGAAATCAGTGCTTGGTATTTAAGCCACTGAGTCATTCCGTGGTATTTCTGGTATAGTGACCCAAACTGACTGAGGCAAAGACATTGTGTAATTTCTGGAGAAAGTAGGTGTCCAGTGCACGCGGAAAACAGTACAGGAGGGGGATTCTGCAGGGACCTCCTGTACATGACTCAGGGCAAGCTTCCAGGTCCCCTCTAGCTCCCTGCTAGCCTACTCAGGCCACCAAAGGAGAAGGGGAGTGACTGGCAAGGTGGATTTGCTGTTGGCATTAAGGATCTGTGCTTTGTGCAATCCTTTTTATGGATCTGTCTGGGACCGTGTGCTTGACAGGTACACGGGTTATGCACAGACAGGGAAGGCACCCGTTTCACTGGCAGATCAACTGTGTGCCTTCTGTACCAGCAGGGGAGATGGTGAATCCCACATCAGCCAGATAAACACACTAACAACCACTGTCACAAAACATTATTCCCACCGCTGTCTCATATCAGGTGCAATGACCTAATCCTGTTTTTGGTCAGAAATGGCTCATCATCTAACGCACTCATGCACACACACTCTCACACTTGTGAGATTCTTCTGGGCTGAATTCTGTACAAAACAGCCAATGGCCTGCAGCATATCAGCAACCCATTTTTCACATGATCCTATTTTGTCAAGCCAAGAGATTCTTTTAGGAGAATCTTTGAATTCCATTTTCTACCACATTTAGAACAGCAGGCAGCTGGCCATGCTGTGTCGTGTTCCCGTGCCCAATACCTTTTATGGTTCCTTTTTTCACTGTCAATGAACTAGATCAGTCCAGGAAAAAAATTCCATTAGCCTCTTTCACTATCCTGACATCCGGAGGAGTTCCTTTTACAAATGGTTTGTTAACAACGACTAGCTGTACGGATGTCAGGGAACAGCAAGCCAAAGTGGCTAACCTATGAAAAAGCCAGTCAGACGCCTAGTTTCCATGACACCCTTCTCGCAGGGAGCATGACGTCATTATCGTTTTGGTTCAGGCTCTCCTGCCACACAGATCACATTTGAGCGCCCTCGGTCAAAGAGCACCTGTCAATCTTGAGACACAGCTGGTGTGCCGCCGCTTTGATCCTGTCCTGTGCGTCCGCGTGAGTCATGGACTCCGTGCCGAAGCCGTCAATGGCCAGGATGACATCCCCAGGACACAGGTTGGCGGCTGCCGCCTTGCTCCCGGGAGTGATCTGGAAGAAATCACGGCGCCACTTAAAAATATAAAATCAGCATTGTGCAGATATCTTGAGTTTTGTGCCTGACATCTGTATTTTAGCTTGGAAACACTCTAAATGATTTCCTGGGTAGGCAATCTTAACTCTAACTTACAGTAACTCTGAATTGATCAATTGTGTTAGCTCTCTTTTCCCATCATGGGAAACAACTTTGTTTCTTACAAACCGCATTTCATTCACCATGACATGTGTTATTCTTTGTAAAAACACCTTCCTGTCTCCCTGTTTGAATCATATTTCCTTTGCTTTAAACAAAATAATTTTTTTAATTTTGTTTTGTTTTTCCTTTTAGGTTTCTTTTGTCAACCCAAACGATTTGGGAATAGAACTTTACAGAATTTAGGGGATTTTGTATTTGAACTGAAACGGCTTTAGTATCCCTGTAAGTTATGATTCACTCAGGGGTTACTTGGGATGTGGAAATGGAAAGAGAATCACTTTGGAGTTAATATGAATAACCCACATAATAAGTCCAATGGTAACTTTTATGAACTCTTCAGAGGGCTAAGGGCAACCAACTGGCCTGCAATTTTAGGAAAGACAGGTGCCTCCAAGGAAAGCACACTGTAAGCATGGGCTACCCGCAGTCAGAGCAAGGAGGAGATGGGGTCACCACACCAGTGTTAGGAAGAAGTCAAGTGAAATTATGAACACATTGCTAAAGTCCGAGTGTGAGTTAGTATGGAGCGACTAGAATCCTTGGGAACTGCAGACACAGGGGAAGTTTATAACCATCTAGTCTCTTCTTCATGAATGGAGAACAGATGGGACAAATAGAAAACAACTAATAAGATGCAACATTTTATTATGTAAGTGAAATAAGCCAGTCAGAGAAGATAGGTATCACATGATCTCACTCTTGTGGAATCTACTGGACAGCATAAGTGGATGAACCAATAGATCCAGAGACACAGCAGCATGGAGCCGACCCCAGAATCTCAGAGGGAAGGTGGGGGTGAGGTGTGGTGGGGAGAGATTAACTGGGGAACTTATATTTATATATGCATAGCCCATGGACACAGATTCCAATGTGGCGAAGGCCTGGGAGGAGTGGGTGCCGGGTGGAGGGGGTCCATGGGGAAAAAAGGGGGACACTGTAATATTTTGTTTCTTTTTCTTTTGTGCCTGAAGATTAGTGTCATTCACATCAACCTATCATCATTACATTTGCAAGTTCCCACTATTTAGAGCAGAATAATACATACCGTATTTTCCGGTGTATAAGACAACCCCCTAATTTTTACAGTTAAAACATAGGTTTAGGCCTATATTCGCTGTATAAGACTACCCCCCACTTCAAAGAAAAGACTTACTTTGCCATCAAGATCTGCAGGTAATTTTTGTGCAATTTTGGTCTTTTGCCCCCGATTTTCGATTGACTTTTTTTCATTTCAAAAGTCGTCTTATACGCCGGAAAATACGGTTCATAGAACTTGACTTAAGTCTGAAACTGCTCCAGGCATAAACTTGACTGTTCCTAATGTTTTACCTGAGGTTTAGTCCTTGGCCCATTGCCCCACCTACCCCCTGCATTTTTTTAAGTCTGCCTATTAACTCTATTTCACTTTGTGGCTCTACGGGAGATCCAAGACTCATCTAAATAAGCAAAATTGCTAAAATAGTAAAATCCCCATGTGCCCTTGATCTTCAGTTCCATCACTGAGATGCTTGCGGACCGTGAACTCTGTGATCACGGTGCTGCAGTGGTCATGCCACTTTCCATTAGGGATAGTTGATGGGATCTGGGTGAAAGCAATTGGGGATGTGACATCTCAGAGGCATTTCATAGATGTTTTCCATTTAGAAATTCTCCCAAACCCAGAACTGTTAGAAGAATAACATGTTTCCAGCCCCGATGTGACTTGTAGGGATAAAAATAATCTTAAACGTTTAATTTTCTCTAGCTAGAGTTCATTAAAAACCAGTACTATCTAATTTTTAAAATTCTAAGATCAGAATGCTTTTCTTTGAGTCAAAGCATGAGAAAATATGGCTTAATGTACATGCTTTTCAAACCTCATGAGGCTTGTCTTATATAGTCAGATAGATGTGAGTGATCTAACACTCACTCGCGCTTTAGAAAAGGCTAACTTTTAGCTTTGGTTAGGACGAGTGAGTGGAAGGTAGAGTTGTGTGTGTTTCTGTTTATATAAATTTTAAACAGAGACATCTGGTGTGCTGAACTTAGATACTGAATATTCTAAACGTTATAAACAGTGTTGATATGGACGTTAATAACACTATTTTATATTTACCCCAAAATATTGCATTTGCAAAGCTCTTTCTAACAAATCTGGCCACTGCTCTAAGGCAGGCTGGGCGAGGAAGACTGCCCCTATTTTCAGAGGAGTGTCTAAGCAACCCCGTGCCTTCTTCACTAAAGTTGGGAGCAGCTGTACACAGCTCTGACACCAGATGTTTCAGAGGTCAATAGGCAAGATGGTTGATAGTGATGGCCAGAGCCCACTTCAACCCGCATGTCCTGGGATCTCCAAGGAGAGAGTCGGTAAGAAAGAAAAAAGTATGTGGAGAGATGGATGAGACAGAAGGAGAAAACACTGTTCTTCACTTCTTCCAAGATCTCAAGTTCAATTGGTCTGGTTTTAGTAAGTTAAACTATATGTTTAAGCTCAAGAATATATTATTTCCATGCATTACTTGATGTTATTATATTATTTTATATTATTACTAACATGTTTTCCCAAGTTAGGAGAAAAGCAAGCTAAAATGAAGTAAAGAGTTTTCAATGGATTATTATCCAGGTCAGTAGGGCCTTCAGTGTCAAAGCACTGGAGAGACCATTGGAGCTAGTACTACCATCAATCCCCGAGCGCCATGTTTTCAGGACCTGTCTGATTTGAAGGACCCCCTGGGGTCCTTGCTGATCATAGACTCCCACCCACTCTAGATGTCTGGAATCATGAACAGAAGCTTTGGCAGAGAGACTAGGGAATGTGTGTTTCTAACAAGTGCCTCAGATGATTTTCATTATCACATCAACCTATTACTTGGGTATGTTTGGAAAAAAGTAATTTAAAACAGAGATGAAACATCTGTAATGTTCTGTTTACTGTAGGAGACACAAGGGAAGTCCAAGATATGGCCCTTATGGGATTTTTATGTTGATAATAAAAATGATTGAAATAGTTATGGAGCAAGACAAGTATAGACTGCTGGGCTTATGGGGGGGGGCATGTTGAAAAACCCCATTATTTGGTTGTTCTCCCTTGACTACAAATAAACTCCAGTGCCTCTCCTGGCATTCAAACCCTCTAGCATCCACAGTCTACATCTCTAGAGCTATACCCACACCACTTAACCCAGAATCTCTGTAAGTAGTACCTGGGCATGAGTATGAACTAAAGTTATCAAAAATTATCTGGGTGAGTCTAATGTGCAGCCAGCGTTGAGAACTATTATAATACTAGAGGTCTGTTGCAGGAAGATTTCTGCAAGAATAAGGCTTCCTAGGGCCTCTTCCTGTAAGAATAGGGCTTCCTGTGGCTAGAGTGGTGGGCTTCGCTCCCTTTTTGGCTGCTTCACTCCTTTCTCCACCGCTTTGCCCCCTTTTGTAGTGCTTGACTTCCTTCTATGCCTGCATATGGAAATTAACCAACATTTTTGTTGGATTAATTTGCATACTCGCTCCTGGGTGGCTAGTGGGCATAGTGGAGGGACAGTCAATTTACGTTTTCTCTTTTATTAGTGTAGATTTCTAGAGGTCCAGTGCACTTGGCCTGAAAGGATTGGGCTGAAACCAGCTCTCCAACATCTCCTGAGGGGTCCTGGATTGCGAGAGGACAGTTTTTCGGGTGATGCATCCCAGAATTGGGCTCCCTCCTCTCTACTTCCAGGTATGTTACCCAAGAACTGCAGCTGCCAAGTCACCGCAGCTCAGCAGCTCCTGCATTGAGCATCAGCCCCCTGGTGGTCAGTGTGTCATGGCTATTGGTTGGAGCTCTGCCCCCTGGGGGTCATTGTACATTATAGCTACCAGCTGGTTAGCTGGTCACTTAGTCATATATATATGTTGTTACTGATTTTGTATTATTATTGGAGAACTACGATCTCACTGAATTCTCAAGATGATCTTTTAAGGTGAGAAAACTGATGCTCAGAAAGTATAAGGAACTTGTTTAAGGTCACACATGCAGCGAAAATCTGAATTTCCCTCATGGATCTGGGTAACTTTACAACCCAAGCTCCTCCACTATCCCATCATGCCACTCCTGAAGGTACTCTCTCTCTCCCCCTGACTCCTCCTATCTCTTTGGTCATGCTTCATTTCATGGAGTCCTGAACAGGTTCTATCACAGTGGTTTATGCAAATGTCCTTTCTCTTCTACTGATACGCGAGCTTCTCAGGGCATAGAAACCAATTAAGTTATGATGGTATCTCCAACAGTGTCTTCCACATGCAACACATCGGCACTTAATAGATATTTATGGGATGGATGAATGTTATGCATATAGGAACCAGCACTTCCATGCAAACACGTCTTTGGCAGAACAAAATTAAACAGATTTTTAATCACATCAACTTTACTGCTACACTTGAATCTTGGAAAGGGATTGCCTTCAGCTGTATACATTTCTTTCTAAAAGTTCAAATTTCAAATACAGTTTATGTTAAAGAAATACACATTTCTATGGTAAAGCCTGAAACTCAAGATTGCATCAACATTGCCTGTGTTGGTACCCAAGTGCTCATAGCATTCTCAGTTGCAGTGATCTTGAACCTGGGTGTGCTCTGAATTGGAAGGAGGGAGGAGGGGAGAAGGGGAAGAGGAATTGAGTGGGAGAGGACATGCTAGCAGCAGATGTATACAATAATTCTCTATCATGTGCACAAACGAACCTTGCACTTTATTCCACATTGGACCCTTTGTGAAAACAAATGATCTGTAACTTGGCAGTGATAGTAGATCCACCTTCTGGGTGGTCCACACACTTCAAAAAGAAAGACTCCTTAGAATCTCCCTGCCAAGAAAAGAGACGCTGCTCACGTAGAGATTGAGCTCAGAGCTTTCTTCTGTGAAACACGTAGGCCAGGTATTAATACATATGGTGGCTGCAAAAACTTCCCACTCCTCCAGACTCAACACCACAGCATAACTTATGTTGCACAAAGTCAAGTCACCTATTGGTTAGAAATTGCTCTCCTAAAGATTGTGCATGTCATTTTGCTCAAGTTTTTGAGAATGTCTGGTCTTTGATATACCTTACTTCTGATGTTCTTTTTTATGATATAATGATCAACCTGACAGATCAATTAGATTGTAAGCAATGGTGGGGTGTATTTTAGTGGATGGAGAGAGTGACATTGATAACCCGATACCCAAGCCCTGGTCTAGCAGAGGATCATTATCGACAGCAAGGCTGAGTCCAGACTTGTATTGTGTGAGGGAGGTTGGTGGGGGTGGCTGGTGGGAGGATAAACATGGATTTAATTGACTTGAGGAATTCATCTGACTTATGGGACTTTTTGTGGCATTAAATGGAAGCATTGGTATCTCAATTCTTTGCATACGTATCTAAAATAGACAAATCAATTAATAAAATAATTGCCATTCATCTTTATTATGGGGTATTTTTGAGGACACAATCTGCACTTATTTGTGATAGCTTTGTTGAAAAGTGAGCAGTTTAGTCAATCATTCATGTTGTGTCATATTTATTCTGTAACATATGTGATGTACAAAGCACTGTCCTCAGCACTGAATAACCCCCAGATTTGAAAGTTCTTGCCTTTGAGGGGCATGTGGTTTCTGGAATACAGATGTGGTATCAGGTGAGATATGAGGAGAGGTCATAGGTCAGAAGCTATGATAGTCAAAGGGGCATAATGCTATTTGACTAGGTTACCATAAGCCTAGAGGGCAGTGGGATGGAAAAGGGAAGAGACTTCTGGAGGAAAATGATGGAGAATCAAAGATTTGTTAGAGAAATCATGACTAGTCCAGAGTCACGGCACTGCTGCCTATTGATGGGTGGGAGGAGAGCCAGAGAGGGAGGGAATGGAGTTAGAAACTCAAGTTGAGAGAGAGGGTGAAAGCCCTAAGAGTGTGAAGACCACACATTTTATTCGCTCTAGAGGCTCGGTGCACGGATTTATGCACCAATGGGGTCCCTGGGCCTGGCCTGCAGGGATTGGGCTGAAACTGGCAGTTTAACATCCCCTGAGGAGTCCTGGGTATGAGAGGGCACTCTGCAAAGCTGCTGTTGCTTGGCAGCTCCTGCATTGGAGCATCTGCCTCCTGGTAGTCAGTGCATGTCATAGCTGTCAGCTGGTCAGCTGGTTGCTTAGGCATACACACACACACACACACACACACACACACACACACACACTCTGGTGATGCTACTGAGGGGTGTATAAGAATGGGGAAGATAGGAGCAACCTTGCATCTCCCGAAGATGGCTGGGAAGGACTCGCAGGGTGAATTGGGGAGGGAGACTAACAGCTCAGTGGGACATTATGAAATCTTGAAGAGGTACAGTGGTAGAAACAAAGAAAAGTGGTAGATGTTAAGATAGAGAATCAACAGACTTAGGTGATGGATTGGTTGGCACTAAGCACCCATTGGAAATCCCTGTACGGCAAGCAGATTTTTCTTCCATGTGTGGACTTCAGAGGGCAGACTTGGGAGGCTGGTAGACCTGGCATCAGTGCTGCCCCCTTTTCCCCCCCTTGTCCTCAGCAGGCTGAAGAATCTCTCCAGGCCTCACCCTTCTCATCTGTGAAAAGGGATAATAGCGCTCCTGTTCTCATTGGATTATGGTGAGATGGGAGTGAGTCTGTGGCTATACATAGAGGATGTAGAGGAGAGCATGGCAAGCAATCTTCACTTCCTTCCCACATCATATAAAGATTCTAAAAGTAACAGAAGAATCTTACTACCTACGGACAACAATGATCATTGCTTTTTTTGCAATATCTTCTAGTCTTTTTCAAAGGATTTTTAGTATTCTTACAGTTTCAGTGGAAATAGTCTCAATTAGGTGCATGATAAGGCGAAGAAGTTCATGTGGATGTGTTTTCATTTATTCAACACGAATCTCCTACGCTTTGGGGGATCACTGGAATCCAGAACAGTGTAGTTTTGCCTGCCTCTACCTGCCTCCTAGAATGAAGTTCACCGAAGAGAAGAGGCACGGTCAAATGAACAAGCATGCATGGTGCTGCACTGCTATTGAACCAAGCTCCACAATGATCAATACAATAAGTAATGAGTTAAACATTCAAGCCAGCGTTGGCCTCCCAGGCAATAATTGTCATCATGTCAAATATGTTTACAAAGAGCGCCTGCCGCCCAGCCCCAGAATGTACGCACGGCTTTAAATAAACATTGTTCCAAATGTCAACAGCTCGACTTTCAAGTGAGCGATGAATCACATTGACGTGCTGCAAAGCCATAGCGGGAACCCTCCTTCCTTTGTAAATCACTTAATTATTTCTTTAGGGCTCGATATCAATATGATTTATCTTTTGTTAGAACTCAAAAGCTCATTTCATTGACTATAAACAAATGAGAATGAGATGTCAGAAACGTTAAAAATACTTCTCAGCAGAGATAATGGAAACTTGTTTTCTTGGGGAAATCCATAAAAGGCGTTGTTTGGCCCAGATCGCCAAACCATTTTCTGCTTAGTTTATGTTGGGACATTTTGGGGGGGAGGTATGTTGAGGTTTCATGTCTCATACAAAAAATGCATGTCAGATGTGTTTATATGCTTTTAAAAAAATGTAAATCAAAGCTTGAAATGTTCCATGCTGTGCCTTTGTATGATACATGTTTAAAGGTATTTAAAAAAGAAATTGGTTCCCAAATCTCATAGACATATAAGAAGAACAGAATTCAAAAGGTATTATCTTGTTCAAAAATCTATGTGAGTAAATCAGATTATAAAGTACACATTTATCAGATGCCGTATAAGCCGTAAGGAAGAGAAGAAAACAAAGCATAAAGGTATTAGGTTTATTATGGTTTTATGTGATGATAGAAATAATTTTCTTTTAAGACAAAATACTTGTGTTAGAAAGAAATCATCTCTAGACTAGGTAGAAGTTTATGGGGAGGACAGAAACCCCGGAGTTTCCTTTTTCTTTCCCTCTGATTAGACAGCACTGTACAGAATATTGAGTAAGAAAAGCTTGACTTTAATAACAGTAAAGCATTCTTTTCAGAGTTATTAGGCTGAATGCTGATTTTTCCATCAGATAAACGAAACTCTCTGACCCTTTTTCTTCGTAGTTTCAGTTGTAGGTGCTGATGTCTCAGCCAAGTTCCCAGCTTTGGAAAATATTTACTCAAAATGCCTGGAAACCTAGGGATACAGCTTAGCAATGTTTTCCCTGTCTGGGCTGATAAGAGTGGTTCCAGCTTGGCGGACCCAGGTAGCGCAGCCTGGCTGCGGTTTTCCTCCAGACAAGCCACAGCCGCCAGTGCCATCCTTTCTCTCTCCTTCCAGGGTCCCCATCTCTCCCTCCAGCGCCCATCTCTCTTTCCTGCGCCCCCCATTGTGGCTGGAAGGAGACCGGAGTGGAGGGTGGAGGGCAGAGGACACTTGCTCTGGCAGCCTCGCCCTCTCTGAGCCCAGAGGAAACATGCTGGGGGAAAGTTGCTGGGGATGAGAGGATGCAGGCAGACCAGTGGGGCCGACAGGTCAATTCGCTCAGCTGCTCTGCATCCTCCAAACCTCACATTGCCAAGTTGAGACCCAGTCCCAGGCAGAGGACCCACCCAGCGCACCAGGCTCCCTGGCCACCCCGCGCTCCCCCGGCCCCGCCTTGCAGCAGCAGGAGGGGGGCTGCCTACCCTGGTGATGAGCAGAGGCTGGTTGAAGTCGATGCCCCCTGAGAGCCGGAAGCCCCAGGGCGCGGGGCCAGGCAGGACCACGTTCTGGGGCATGGTGCCTTCTGTGCCTCCTTCCTCGGGTGGGTGGGGGCGCGGCGAGGGGTGGCCCTGCGCCCAGCCGGAGTCTGCAAGCCGGATGGACAGCCCTGGGTGCGCCCTGGGCAGTGTCCTCGCTGGGACCCGGCCCGGAGCTTTATGCCCGCTCCCCGGTGACGTCACGGCCCCCTCCCCCAGGATTGCTCCAACTTTGGAAGAAAGAGACGCGGGCCCCGGGGAGCTCAGGGCGCAGGGCTGCGTGCAGCCTCCGGGCCGGCGGGCGGGCGCTGCTGGCGCTGTGGAGGCTTCGGGTTACAGCCCCATCCCTCCCTCCAGTCACACCTGTCCGCCCGTTTATTTTCAGCGGGGCGCTCCTTTCGAAGGGAAAAGCAGCTAAACCAAGGCCTCTCTCCGTGCTTCCATGAAAGTAAAACACAGCAGCATCAGTCCAGTGAGTTATTTGGCAATTTTGAAAGCTGTCACATTTACGCACGAGCTGTGTGACTTTGGCCAAGTTACTGAATATATTTTTTAAAATGTATTTTATTGATTTTTTTTATAGGAAGGGAGAGGGATAGAAGGGATAGAGAGCTAGAAACAGCCATGAGAGAGAAACACTGACCAGCTGCCTCCTGTACCTCCTCCCCGCCCCCCTCTCTGCTCCCCGCCCCCTCCCCCCCATCTGCCTGCAACCAAGGTACGTGCCCTTGACTGGAATTGAACCTGGGACCCTTCAGTCCACAGACCGTAGCTCAATTCACTGAGCCTAACCGGTTTCGGCCTGAATATTCTTAAGTTGTGGTTTTCTCATCTGTAAAATAGGGATGGTAATGGCCCTAGCCAGTCTGGCTCAGGGGGTAGGGCGTTAGCCAGGGGACTGAAGGGTCCCGGGTTCGATTCCGGTCAAGGTCACATGCCTGGTTTGTGGCCCGAGGGAGCTGATCAATCTCTCATCATTGATGGTCCTATCTCTCTTTCTCTCTCCCTTCCTGTTTGAAATCAAGCAAAAATATATTTTAAAAAATAGGGGTAGTAATTGTACTTACATCATAGGTAGTAGCTGTACTTTCACTTACTGTGGAAATTATTCCTCCGCACACGAGCCATTTCCGCACTGCATGGGTATTAAACACGCATAGCTATACATATTAATGGGTGTGCATAACATACTCAACATGCATTCAGAGAGAGTCTACATTTATTTGTTTAAAATGAAGAAATTTAAAAGTGACGATGTCATGCAATCATGTACCCAGTCCAATGAACCTTCTAAAAATACATAGGAGTAGCCGATCAATCAATAGTCTGGAAATACATTTTCATTTTGATTGGAGCAATTATCACCTCCTTTGAATGCAGTCCCTAAACTTACGTGTTTGACACATGGGAAGTGAGCAGAACAGAAACCTAGGAGTTGAGACTGTCCTGGGTGGACGCAACAGGCAGAGTGAGGGTGGGGAGTGGGATGCTGGGTCAGAGGACCCCAAACCCAAAGCATGTGTGCAGGAGAGAAGGAGGGATTCCCTGAGCATCAGGCGGTCCTGGTGCTGTGGTGATTGCCTTGTGGGTGTGATCCTTCTTCACCCTGACAAATTTATCAGATTGCTGTTGTTATTCCCATCTCTCTCTCTCTCTGATAAGGAAATCCCTTCCTCGAAGTTGAGTAACTTGCATGAGTTACTTACATAATTGTCTGCTGGTGCAAATACAATTCAACCTGCGCAAAACCAAACCCATTGTTGTTGTTATACCAAACTGATTCCTGGCCCCGGTGGCTTCCTCCCTCCCACCTTCTTCCATCCCTCCCTCCTTTTCTTCCTTCCTTCCTTCCTTCCTTCCTTCCTTCCTTCCTTCCTTCCTTCCTTCCTCCCTTCCTTCCTCCCTCCCTCCTTCCTCCCTCCCTCCCTCCCTCCCTCCCTCCCTCCCTCCCTCCCTCCCTCCCTCTCTCCCTCCCTCCCTTCCTTCCTTCCTTTCCTTTTTTTCTCTCTTTCCTTTTCTTTCTTTCTAATATATTTTTATTGATTTCATAGAGGAAGGGAGAGTAGAGAGAGAGAGATAGAAACATTAATGAGAGAGAGAATCATTGATTGGCTGCCTCTTGCACACCCCCCTTCTGGGGAATCAAGCCCACAACCCAGGCATGTTCCCTTTACCGGAATCAAACCCTAGACCCTTGACTCTGCAGGCTGATGCTCTATTCGCTGAGCCAAACCAGCTAGAACCTGTGCCTTTCTTTTTCTTTCCCTTCTTTTCTTTCCTTTTCCCCATTTCTTGTCTTTTCCTTCTTATTAAGTCACTGATTTTGAGAGAGAGAGAGAGAGAGAGAGAGAGAGAGAGAGAGAGAGAGAGAGAAACACATTGATTTTGTTGTTCCACTTATCTATGCATTCATTGGTTGATTCTTGTATGTTCCCTGACTGGGGATGGAACCCACAACCTTAGCATATTAGGATGACACTCTAGCCAACTTGGGTACTCGGCCAGGGCCTCTGTGACTTTCCGTTTATTTATTTTTTACTACTGTTCCAGACTTCTAGGATTATAAATTTTCCCTCTTTTAAAATTTCCTGTGTAAAGGCCACCTGGGAAGACACATGGACATTCTTTAGATTGTTGCTGACTGGGCCCGGGATATTGACAGAATCATATCAGTTGCACTCCCGCCCTGGGAGTGCAGAGATGTTCTTAGTTCCTGGCTTGTGTTTGTCCAGGAGGAAGGAGTGGGGGAAACCTGGGCCCTCCCAGGCTCCTTGTTTTCCTGTGAAACCCCTTGTTGGATTGGAGTATAAATAGATGTGCTGCGTGGCTCAGGAGGTCATTGTCTGTCTCTCCAGCAGAGGAGATCGGCGGCCCTCCCACTCCCAGCTTAACATCTGTCTCTGTGTCTTCTCTCTTTATTTCTGTTATTTCTCAATCCCTGGCCACCTGCACTTAGAACCGGTTCGTTCATCTCTCTTTCCGTGCGGGACACGGAAAAAGGAGATCCCCGCTGCATCAGGCCCCCGCACTTATGTAGCAAATGTTGCTATCTTTGTATTATGGTTTCATTCACTAATTCATTCAATAAACTTTTGTTGAGCATCAATGACATGCCAGGCACTGTGAATGGGAAGATGAGGAAGACCCACTTTCTGTCCTCTAGGCAGTCATGAAATAAGGAAGATGGAGATGTGAAATGTGATCATATACTGTGATGCGCACTGGGACAGTATTGTGTACTAGTATAGTGATGGAATAGGAATGAAGGGTGTAACCAATCTCCTGGTAAAGTTGTCAGGGAAAGTTTCCAGAGGAAGACATGTTAGAACTGGATCATAAAGAGTAAGTTTTCCAGGGCCTGGGAATTGGAATGGAAACAGGAAAGGGGATAATCGAGGCAGAAAGAGCTGTACGGGATGTGCAATGGCGGGAGGCAGGAAACATTGAGTGGGACAGGAGACAACGGTCATAGCATTCAGAAGCTGTATCACAGGGTATGTTGCACTAATGTTCCAACTTCATCCTATTGGGAGCCTTGGGAGAGTTTTAAGCAACATATATCTATTGCCTTTTAGAGGCTTCATTCTGGGAGGTGGGAGGATGAGACACGATTGAAGGAGATAGGAAGCGAGGAGTCCAGTGAGAATGTACTGCAATAATCCAGGGGGAGATGTTGGTTTGGGCAGTGGGATGGAGGAGAGTAGGCAGACATGGGAGTCATTAAATTGACACAACCTGGGGACAGATGTTACTTGGAGGATTAGGGAGAGGTTAGATTTGGAAGGCTCCCCCAAGTCTTCACTGAGTATTATGGGAATGGTGGAATTATTAACAAAGAGAAAATATATAAGAAGTACAAAAAGGTATTTTTGTTTTAATTATGGAATGGTAGGTAAAGAACAGTTTTGGTCATGCTGAGTTTGAAATACCAATCCTATATAATAAAAGCATAATATGCTAAGTGTCCGACTGATTGGTCAACTGTTGGTTAACTGCTCAACTAGTCACTGACTATGATGTGCACTGACTACCAGGGGGCCGATACTCCAACCTGTAAATTAGCTTGCTGCTGGGGTCCAGCCGATTGGGTCTGGCTAGACAGCCCCGATCGCCAGCCAGGCTGAGGGATCCCACCCATGCACGAATTTGTGCACTGGGCCTCTAGTAGTAGTAGTAGAAGTAATAGTAATTATAATAATAATCCTATATAATAATAGAGCAATATGCAAATTAACCATCACTCTCCTACACCCACAAGCCACACCCACCAGCCAATCAGAACGAGTATGCAAATTAACCCAACAAAGATGGAAGTTAATTTGCATATCCAGAGGGAGGGAGGAGTGAAGACTGAAGACAGTATAAAAGGAAGAGGGAGGGAAAGTGGAAAGCAAGGTGGCTGTGGCTGCTTGGAGGAAAAGCGCTGGCAGTGCATGCTGGGCAGTGTGAGGCATGCACAGCAGCAGAGGTGGTGGTGGTGGGAAGCAGAGGGGCGGGCAGGCATGGCAGGTCAGGTGGGTGGGTGGGGCGGGGTGTGCAATGGTGGCCGCAGGCGCTGTGGGGCGGGTGGGACTAGAGGGGCGCTCCTCACCCATCCCGCCCCACCCTGCCTGCTGCAGCAGGAGAGGTGGGGGAGCGGGGGTGGAAGGAAGCCCGCTGGAAGTCTTGCAGGAATATTCCTGCAACAGGTCCCTAGTAATAATAATAATAATAATGGCAGCAAATGATTACATGCACTTAGCCAGACACACTTCAAAGAATTTTGTATTTATTCACATCAACTTCACAATAACTCTGGGAGGCAAGTACTATTATTACCATCATTTTAACAAAGATGCTAAATAACTTGTCTAAGTTCACAGAGCAAGTACAGTGGAGCTAGGGTATCACTGAGACATCTGGCCCCATATTTTGGCATTTCAGTCAGTGCACTATATAGTCAGAAAAACTACTGAATCTTGGGATAATTTATTAGACAGCAAAATAACAGATACAGGATGAAATCAAAGAAGAAAATTGTATATGTGAGGTGATAAGAA